ACGGAGAGGCTGTCTAATCGCGCACTCGTCGAGATATTACGCGCACACCAGCTTCGAAATCGACAACTACACGAAGTGACGGCAGAACGGCGAAAGAAAGCTCCGGTCACGGCGCGGTCGCGACGTCCTGCTGTGAGAAACTAACTCGCGCGTTGTCTTGTTTCTATTCGCGTTCTGAAAGTCTCGCACCTCGCACTGACGAGACACGTAACACCGATTGTGACGACGGCCAAAATACTATCAGCCGCCTGCAGAGAGAAGGTCTAGGCTACCTGCCAATTCCCGAAATCTTCATCTGCGTCAATCGCCGCGACGTGTTTACGTTATCGACGAAAGGCGGTTAAGGTTCCTTGCGCGATGCTTCGTACAGATCAGTCGAATCGCGACGTTAGAGACCGACAGAGAGAAAGGGAGGACGAAAGGCGTGTGTCAGGCTTGGTCTACAATATGTTTTGACTGCGTTCCGATATTTACTGTCAGTACTGAAAATCTATAGTATACGTGACACAAACTATATATTTTCAGTACTGGCAGTGAATATCGGAACTCAGCCATTGTAAGCTGTAAGCTGTAAAAACTGACCAATTATAGTCGATTATTTTTGTAATAATCGACTGTGATTCGCCAATTCTTACGGCTTACAACTTACGATACGCCTAAAGGCTCGTCTACATTAGCTGTAAGAGTAAGGCTGTAAGGTTGCAAGACACGAAATGAAATATTTTCATTCGCTGACAGCTTACGTTACAGCGCCTTACAGCCTTACTCTTACAGCTATTGTAGACGAGCCTTAAGAGTTCTCATTACCTATCCTTGTTACTCGCTGTACGTCTGGTCTAGCGCTAACAGTTAATGATAAATGGAGATAATTCGAAAGTACAAGTTGCAAAACGTATCGTCACAACTCGGCCGCGAACACGAGAACTGTCATCAGCGACGATAGCATAATCGTAACGAGGCTTCGGCGAGCGTCGTCGGTTCGACCCGTGCCGTCGTCGATCACCGATGACACACGTTACAAAACAACGCGTTCCTTTGTCTTAACAATATATAAGCGACGCGAGTGGTCGTGTGAAACCGACATTACGCCAGGCAATTCTCCATCTTGATCTCGTTATCACGTGATAGATTACCGAATTTTCTCGACTCGCTCCAGACACTCTCGTCAATATTCCGCCATCGTCCTCCAAGTTCCTTTACTCTTTCCGTCTTCCTTCGAGAGTATTCATGGCCGCGGTGCTATAAATGCACGGCGAAGATGGGCGAAATCCGACGAGGGAACTCACCGGGACATTCGTTCCTCACGATTGCCGCTTACACTCGCTATATTTCGCATCGATCCGCGCTCGCCTCGCGAACTTTAATTAACTCCGCCTTCCGTGCAGCCGGATAAAGCGTCGTAGCTACGCGCGAGTCGTGACTGCTGTTATAATGCGCCCGCCGTCTACTGCCGCGCCGTAAAACCATTTCGCGCGATCCTGAGCGAAGGTGATTGACCGCCGCGTCGGCCCACCCAAACGCCCAGTCACGAAAAACACGACGTCTATGTAAAATCTCACCATCGAAAAAAAGACGCGAGATGAGACTGTAGCTAGTCGATAGATAATCTCGCGATTTTCCGCCTTAATAGTCCGCCATGATAGTCGTTCCAAATATGATCGCGCGTGATCGTTGAGAAACTGCGGGAGAACTTCCGGCTTATAATTTCTTGGCATAGTTTCTCAAAATGTCAAAGAGCAGACCTGACGGACATCCCCAATGTACCAAAGAGCAAGCCTGCAAGTTTGTAAGTTCAGTGCTGTCAGAAAGTTAAGGAGAAGCGTGTCCGCTTCGTAAGGCAACACCCGACGGGGACGAAAGACTCCACGATAATGTTGTGACGTTGGAAATACGAGTTTTATTACACGGTGTCTTGTTTCACGGGATAAGTTATAACGAGCCGTGGCACTCGCCCGACTCGGAATGCTGTGAGCAGCGAACCAGTTACATTGCTAAATGGCAATCGATAAAGTACTCACGATCGCGGTGGTGGTGGTCCGCATTATGACCCGGCGTAGTCGAGCTGTCGGCATCACCTTCGCCGTCCAGTTCGTAGTAAATTCTGTCCCCGCCGTTCACCTCCTTCATTCCGTTCACTGCGACAACATCCTCCATAGTTCTGCAAGCAAGTGCGTTTATCTCGTTGAGCACGTGCGACTATTCGGCGCGTGATCGGCACTTATGAGCCGCGGATTTTTCGAAAGCGCCGTGCGCGAGAATGAAACCCTTTGAACTTTTACTTTTATCGACAACAAGAACGTCGTCGGAACTGTCTCAGTCACACCGCGGAAAATTCGAGCCGACAATTTCAAGCTGTGTGTTTTCTCGGTACATTCGTCATCGTGTTACTCAGGCTGCACCAGTACACTGATTTATCACGAAATGTTGAAGCAAGCGAGTCTATCATGTGGTTGAAGCTTGACATTATTTCCTTTACCTCTTGACTTTTTGCACTTTCGGCGAGCTCTCTGTATTTATATCAAAATCGATACTGTACATTATATATTTTGATCTTCTCTTTGTATACGCGAGAGTACGTCACGTATCTCTCCTTATCATCGAGATGACATTTTGCGATAAGCGGACGTTAATTATGAAAGTACGAGACGCGCATGGCTTGCGATGCTATCGCAACTTTCTGCATACACACTCAGGTATTTAGGATAATCATGTTATAGTCCGGCTTAGTTTCTCAATTAAAAATTTAGTTAATAATTAATTTAGTTAATTAATAAATTAGTTATAATCATGTTATAGTCCTGTCTCCTATGAGTGGAACGTACAATACGATCGACAGTCATTGAAAAGTTGCGACAATAACATCCAAGTCCAAACAGTTCCCTCGTTTCCGCGCAGAGAGAGAGAGAGAGAGAGAGAGAGAGAGAGAGAGAAAGAGGGGGGGGAACTTATTATACGCGGAATACGAAGGAAAATATGCGGAGTCGAGGATCAACTCATATTCAGCTGGTTACTTTGAAATGCTATTGTGTGCGACAGAGTCGTCGCGAAATATGCAAAATGTGTTCTACAGCTACCTTGCATCGGCAACAACTGCCGGATCATATTGCTTTGCTTACTCGGGGACATATAAATATTTATGCGGGTGTTCCTTAACGCAGACTAGGACGCTCTCCGCAGACAATGGCGTTCGTTGAGGCATACACGATACACATGCATACACAAGCATACAAATTTAAAAGGACTGCGTCGCGAAATCGGCATCCTTTCTCCCCGTTCTTTTCCGTCTTGCGAGGACTTCCAATCAACATCACGCCATTAGCAATTTTTCGAATTGTGGGAGAGAGCACGTGTATATACGTATATGGCGTTCAGCTAATCGATCGATACGCCGAAAAATTCGCTGTATCTCTCTCGAGCGCGCGTCGCGGAAATACATGCACCACGGCTTCGTCGGCTACGATCTATCGCGGGTCACCGATCTACTACCGTTGATCCCGCGACTGATCGTCGTTCTCTAGGATCAGTATTGAGAGACCTGCTACACTTACACGTTACTCGCCGCGTCTTCTCGCCGCTGCCGGTGCGGATGAGAAAGAACGTTGCGAGTGCGCGGCGCGGCACACCGGACCGGACGGGGACGTTCAGCGGAAGACACACGGCTACAGCGGACGCAGACGGCGGCGAGCGAATCGCGAGGCGACGTGGCGCGCGCGCTTGACCAATCACCGCGCGGCAACGTGGGCGGCAGCGTTCACGCCGTTGCACTTCCGAACCTTTCCGATACGTGGCCGCGACCGAGTCGAAACGACGGGACGATCACGTTGGCTGATGAGAGAACGTCACGATGACAGATTGGACGCTGCTCTCGGCCGACGAGGCCACGAAGACGGACTCGCGTTTCGCTCTTCGGCGACGTGGACGACGCGACGCGCAGGATCCCTCTCGACGCGACACGCTGGAGAACTACTGCTGCTGCTGTCGCGAACTGTCATCGCATCACGCTGCGCGTAAACACGTTTGTACGTCGTGATCGTGGTGCCTGATGCTTGCCGCGAATCGCAGCTTTCGATATATCGAAGCGACGTCGAGGAATCTTTATGAACGATCGTTACGTATATGTAACGTGTGGTATGAAACAATGTCATGTAATACCGTGTATACGTTTTCCCTCAAAAACGCCTCTCGTCCTTCCTGACAAAACTTTCACTCGTAGACATATTGCGGTGGAAAGCGGGCGATAGTTTATCGTGAAAGAATCGCACTGGAGATAAACTCGCGTCTGAGATTTGATAAAAACTGAAGATGAAAGGGAGCAGAGGAAGAGTGCTTGAAAGGAACAACCCTTGTCAATACAAGAGAGAGAGAAAGAGATGAGACAACGCTGTTACCTCTCTTCCCCCGCTCTCGCTCATATATTAAGAGCTCAAGATAAGCAAGCGTAATTCCTACCTTCTCTGATACTCGCGACGAAACGTACGAAGAACCTCGTGACCTCTTCACCAGCGGCTCTTACGGCACTGCGCCCGTGGTGACGTGCGTGGCACTGAGCGTGATTGGTCGGCGAGGCGCGATACCGCCGCAAGTCGCGACACCGCGCTCTGGCGCAGACTCGTTCCCCTCGATCCTGTGAAAATCCATACCGGACTAACGGCTGACCGCCGTCGCTCTGTCGGAGCGCGTTAATTTCTACGGGGTACAAGGACACCTTGCTGGGCCGCTAAAACGTGCGTCTACACAGCGCGTATGTGCTGGTCCGCTTGCCATCGCAAAGTCTCGAGGGGCACGCAGTGCTCCAAAGAGCGAGTTCGATCGATTCTCCTATTCTAAACCCGGGATCGATCGTGGTACTAAAAAAAAAATAAATAAAAAAGAACAATACAACGATGAAGTACAGTCGGGGCTTGTAACGGTCTATGCGACATGCAGCAATGATGACTAAGATATGGACTTACTCATACTGCTGCGGCTTCGAGCTATGAAGCACAAATGCACTCGGCGAGTGGTGTTTAATTGTTTATTGCACATGAGCGCGAAATGTCCTACATCCTAAAGCAGCTGAAACAGGAGAGAGAGAGAGAGAGAGAAAGTAAAAGAAAAAGAAAGAGAGAGAGAGAGAGAGAGAGAAAAAGACCTAGCTTTCCAAAATGATACCTCGAGGCTCTCTATTCTACTTCGATGTTACAGTCGATATTTTGCAGTGACCTAATTAATTGTTCCGTTTGCACGACTTTTTCCTTCTCAGTCTTTGTGTCCGTACTTGTCCTCCGGGTTTAATATCTGCGATAATCAGCGCTGATTACCATGTGACTCCGCGCTATATTTAACGAGAGCAAATCTTCTCGTTCGAGCAAGTATGCGTTCATACGTGTGCAAGTGTTCGCTCCGATTTCGTTGTGAGCTACCCGGCAATAGATGATGTAGTGTCCAACACGAGGTAATATATTTCCTTCAATTTTGCGTGTTTATTCTCTGCCTCTCTTCTGCTTCCTCCTCTTTTTCTCTCTCTTTCTCTCTCTCTTTTTCTCTCTCTCTCTCTCTCTCTCTCTCTCTCTCTCTCTCTCTCTCTCTCTCTCTTTCTCTACACATAAATGCAATTTACGGTAACAATTCTGGTAACAAACAGGACTCTTGCGACGGAATTCACCAACTGCGCTGTTCGCCACGCGACTCGCGCACTTTAATTAAAGATGTAATTAAAATGAAAATCACCGTCTGCGCTCGAAATACATTTCTCTTAGCGTCCAGACCCAGCAGGGAGCTCAGTCAACGATCTTCCGTCTCGTCAACGGAAAGTGGTTACAAAGTTTACAAAGTTCAGCTCCTCAGCCGCCCGCGCTGGGTCTCCACCGATGCGACACACGTTCTGCGTGTTAATTAAAATCAAAATCACTCTCTGTATTCGAGACGTTCCTCTCGATCGTCGTATCCGTGTCGGAATCCAGCAAGGACTTGATTACGTCCTTCTTTTTCTTCGACTGTGCTGTTCCCTCAACGCCGTCCGTTCGCTGCGCTTTGTCCTCGTCCGCTTTCTGCTCCAACTGCAGCTCTTGCTGTTTCTGCAAGGACGCTCCTTCCGTTTCTGATTGCTCTTCGCGACCTGCGTTCTCGTCAATGACAACGTTATCTTCGGGATTCTGTTGCTCCGCCTTGTACTCTTGTTCGTACGCGCCATCGTACCTTTGATCAGGGTCATAAGCATGCTCGGTGTACTCGTACGTCTGATTAGGATCGCCCTCGTATCCTTGACCAGGCTCGTACTGCTGGTCGTAGCCGTAGTCGTAGGCTTGATTTGGATTTTGCTCGTATTGGACATTGGGATCATGATGATACTGCTGTTGGCTGTTCGGATCCTGCTCGTACTGCGCGTTAGGATCATGCTGGTACTGCTGTTGATCGTTCGGGTCTCCAGCATACTGCTCGTATTGGCTGTCCACGTACTCCACGTACTCCTGGCCCTCTTGGGCGTATCTTTGCTCGCCATACCTTTCGTACTCCTCGTGACTAGCGCTTTCATACGGCACATTTTGATCGTAACCATAGTGTCCGCTCGGCTCTTCATACTGTTGCACCTGATTCGGATCCTCGACGTATCCCGGCTCGACGTTGTATTTTTCTTGTCGTGCATTTTCGGCTTGATCGTCGACCTGCACTTTCGACGTCTCGTCGCCTTGTTCCTCGCTGTCGCCTTCATCTTGCGCTTCGTCGAGTTTCTCAATTGTCGAACGTACAGTAACAGCGGGTTCGTCGGTTTCACTTCCCTGGTGTTGATCTCCGCTCAAAATTCCCGAGACTTCCGCTTCCTCGACACGGACATCTGTTTCGTTTTTCTCATGGGATTCTGTTTCGTTCTCACTTGATCTCTTTGTCTCCGACGGAGGAAACGTATCCCGTGGCAAATGCGAGTCTTTGTCTTCGCCGTTCACGTTGCTTTGCTCGATGACCCGTGACGTTTCGCTCGCGATTATCTCGGCGATCCCGTCATTTGTCGTCTCTTCGACTTGTTGTTCTATTGCTCGCTCTTTATCCGGATCATCCGAGCGTAACTCATAAACGCTCTTCTGCACACTCGCGAGGTCCCACGGCGCCAGTTCCTCGACTGTGTCGAATATGCCGTCAACATTCAATTCCTCACCGGTAACGAGATCGAGCTGTTTCTCTCTCGCTACGTTCTTCAAATCGTCGTCCGGTAATCCGCTGCTCGACGATACAGTTGTTTCCTCCCTCGCGACGCCATCATCCTTCGCGCTAGACTCAGCTAAATCATCATTATTCCAGTTTTCTCTTGCAGTCCTCGTGTCTTCGTGAGGCTGTTCTAATTTCGTTGTGGGTGTCGCAACGTCTTCTCTAATTTCGTTCCCAGTCGTGAAGGCCGCGGTATCGTGTCTCTCGCTTCCATCCGCAAATACATCGCGTTCTTCTTCCACTGTTGGCGCATCACTGCGCTTATCGGTTCGATGTCTCACTTGGTCTTCGATTTCCGCAGGTACGTCGCTGCCATCCCGCTCTGCTGGATACGCAATATCCCTCGAGTCCGTTGTTCTGGAGGCAAGATCACTAGCCAATGCCAAGATCCTGCCCATTTCTTCAGGTATTCGCTCTTTCCTCACTTTGTCCTCGGCAGGTAACTCCTGAGCGTCCTCTGACAAAGTGACGTTCAGCAAGTCCCCGCTGGTGTTCTGCTCATGGTCCAGTTCCTCTTGGCTCGGCACACCATGCTCTCGATGAAGCTTCCGGATATTGCTGATGTATCTGTCCAGCTCGTTCTCCAATATCGCCGTCGTCCTGCCATTCTCCTCTAAATTAGCGTTGCTCGCGGCCAAGACGGCCGACATTCGGCGCGGTGACTTGACGATATCCGCATTTCCCCATAAAAGATGGTTGCGCTTGATCAGGTCGTCCATGTCGTCGCTGGTGAGAGAACGAGTAATAGATCCTTCGTCCTCGGACTTCTGCGGGCTCCTTAGGGTGTAGTCCATGTACCCGGGAAGCGGTCTGACTTGATTAACGATATTTGTCTCGGGGATCATCGATGTCGGATACGCGTCCGGTTTGGCGGCCGCGAAAGTGGCTGCTCGGAAGTCGGACGGAACGTGTTCTCTTGTTCGTACTTGCTGATCGGGAAGTAACACGTTCGCGACGCCATACTGAAATGGTTGCACGAAGGTCGAAGGATCGAATTGTCGCGGAGGATGCGAGAGCACGGTTTCGCTTTGCGCCGCGTCTCCGGCGGGGAACTGAGCGCTTGTCGACTGACCTGGTGCAGCATGCAGCGATCCCATGTGCTGCCTGAGGAGCTGATTAACGAGAGTCGCATCAATTGGAAACGGCTCCGAGAACGGCATTACCAAAGCCGGTGCGGTCGAATGCGTGTACGAAAATTTGCGAAGGTTTTCGACATCCTGAAGATCGCCCGGCGCGTTTCCGCCGTAATCGGGAATCGTCCGCGAGTGTTGCCGTATGTCAGCTGTGGGAATTGCTGGCACCTGGGCAAGCTGCTCACCCGATTGGCTGACCGGCGAAACGTAGACACGAGGCGTCCGTAAGACGCTTGGCTGATGATAATCGACACCGAGGGGTGTATCTAATGGCGTAGTTTGCAATAGGGTAGGGTTATTCAGTAAAGTGCTGTTTACTGGACTCTGATCGTGGAATTTGGACGCCGGGATAGACCTTGACTGGTTTGATTGAAGAGGCGCCCGATGTGTTCGCGGTGACGAAACGTCTCTCGTTTCCGTGGCCGCTAAATCGGGCCGCGTCGTTGCGATGGTCTTCCGCGAGCCTCTATCCTCTTGACTGGCAATGCCACTGTCCCCGGTGATGCTACCGGGTGGCCGGCGATTGGCATAAACGCGAAGCAGATAAGCCTCGTATTGTTTCTGGAAAGAAGCCAACATTCCACGCTCGTTAGAGAAGGTATATTTATTTGTTCGCAATAATTATACACCTCGTTATATGAGAGAAAATAATGGCAGTGTGATGTGCGAAATTTAGATTTCCAATATCTTTCATATATTCGTCGTGGAAAAACGATGAAGTAATATCTTGAAATGAAATCTCATTGATGAAAATATTCCCATTCTCTTGCACGTTTCAATGTTTTTCTTTGAAATTTTAAACTCTTGGATGGAAAAGAGATACAGCTTGAAGTTTAGAGATGAAGAAATTTTTCAAGCGTAGGATCTACTCTGTTTTATTCGAATCCGGATAATCCTGTGGAATAATGGAAATTACCAAACTATGAATCTTTTCTGTACCGAACCATAAGTCTCTATTTAGGAGAAAGCTGAAAATACAAGCGAAGCTTTCTGGATATTTCCCCGATTCCACATTATATTTCAAATGAATAAGTATTTATGACCTTTACTCACTCTAAGAACATTGAGTCTGTCTTTTTTGGCGCTTATCAGCGCAAGTTTGTTCGTGACTTTATCCAATGCTGAGAGGAGCTTATGATTCCTCTCGTCCCTCGTGCGTTGCTCCTCTAAGTACTGTATATACCTCATACGCAGTCGGTTGATACAGACATCGTGCCTGCAATCGGAAAATAATCCAGCTATTTTTCATATTCAATAGTAAATCCAATAAAAACGATGCGTTATATCCCCGTCATCTAAGTTTCGATCGATTTAAAGTGAACATATTTTTAAAGCAAGATTTTTTTGTTTAAGATACCGTCGCGAATAAAATTTAATTCAGAAAGCAAAGGATTTATACAAAATGGATCCGTCAGTACAAAATGGCATGACTGAAAGTGATAGGAAAAATTAGAGAATCCCTACGATCTCTTCATTTTCGTTCATTGTATGAACCGCGACACAACTGCTTTAAAGCGAAGCGACCATCGACGCGGAGCATCAAGCGGCGTAAAATATACGACTGTACTTTTATTCTGTGCATGCGATCGATGAAGTGCTCGGATGTCCCGACCAGACACGAATCGGAACGCGTAAACAACGAGAGAGCGGAATTCGCGTTCTGCCAACAGTAGAGATATGTTGGGCGACGACAAGGACGGGATTATGCTCGCGGCGTTATTGATCGTGACATTCCGTAGACCCGGGTTGCCATTGGATCGATATCGAGTATTTCGGGTAGCATTTTCTCTATATCACCACGATGCGTCACGTGAAATGTAGAATAATACGTTTTACTGTTTTCCACGTTTCGCGATCGGGAAATGTTCAACACTATGAAAGACAGATGTAGATTGAAACTAAATACAATGAAACAGATGTCATCCGTTACCATCACGAAGAATTTAGAAAACCCTTTGCATAACCTTGCTTTTCTTCTTTCAAAGAAGTCTGACTTCGGAAATTTTTTATTTAAATTTTATATATTGAGAATAGTACAAAATAAGAAAAAAACGACTGCTCACCGTTAATTATTTAAATGTAGAGAATTTTACTACAGTTCACTTTCTTTACGTTTTAATTTTCTCAATAAACCATTTTAAGAAACACTTCGACTTTTCCAAGAAATTGCAAAGTATCCCAAATAGTGAGTCGATCCATTAGCGTTCTTTGATTAGCTGTTTGAATGATTCGTTTGAGCTAAATTTCTCTCTCTCTCTCTCTCTCTCTCTCTCTCTCTCTCTCTCTCTCTCTCTCTCTCTCTCTCTCTCTCTCTCTCTCTCTCTGTCTCTCTCATATTAAATAGTCTTTAAACGTCCCAACTTTTATAAACAAATAACTAAATAATGCTAATGATATGATACTAATGATAGCTAAATAATTCAAAGTTCGAGCAAGTGAGAACTCACCTATTACGAGATTCTCGCGCCAGCACGTTGAATCGCTCCTCTAACCGTATTCTCTCCTCCTCGCTGCAACATTCGCAACATTACCGATATCGTTCCTCCGGCTCACTCGCGCATGCTGTTTCGCAACGTATCGCAAAGTATTGTACTTGCCTCTTTCGTAGTTTCTCCTGCAGCTCGAACATCTTCTTGTAATAGTCGTGTCCGTCGTAAAGCGGCGCCATATTGCGCGCGACCGAAAAATTAAGAGGTCGAAACGATCGAACGCATCGAGACAATCGATTTGCGATCTATATGTTGGATACGGCGCGTAATAAACTTCAAGTCGTATAACTCGCTCCAAGAAATATATTCACTATTTTCATAGCGATAATCCAAAAAATTCAAACCAATATCTGTGCGACAAAGTCAATAAAAGCGATCAATGCAATTCGTGCTCGAGAAGAACACGTTCCTATTCTTTCTTGCTTTCCATAACCTCCAAACCGGCACCTTGAATCCGATGAAAAATACGTTGCTTCTCTAAAAGAAAGTACGTAATTTATTTATTTGAAATAAAAATAAAATTCGAGAAATATATAATGAGAAAAGATATTTGACGCGAAGCAAAATTGCTGGATCACGTAGTATTTAAGAAGACAATTCGACAAGAAGTATAGGGTATTCAAATTGAACGCGAATCGGTTTAGAATGTAAAGTTGTTAAAGCGAGGACCAAAAGGATATTCGGACTCAGAAATAATCTCAAAACTGACAGATAAATATATCCTTGCAAAGAATCGTTTGAACAAGGATCGCGTGTTACCGTGTGTCACGAGGATACCCGAACCGCCTCGAATTGACCGTGCGCAACGGCGGCACTGAAACGAACGATGGAACGAACGCTCTTCTTCTTGTTCTTCCTCCTCGCGATGCGCGCAAGGTATTCGAATCAATTCGCGAATACCGAGCCTTCAGGCGCGAGGTAACGATCCTTCGTCATGCCGACGCAGCGGGCAACTGTCGCGCTTGACGTCGCGCCGCGCCAGGTCGGGGCTGTTTCAGCGGGTAAACACGCAGGTGTTACATTCCCTACCCTTGTACCGGACGAATTCGTGCGACTCGACTAAGCAACGGGCATTTCATTAAAGTTTCACGATATTACGAAATGTATGATGCCTGCGTCCTTACCACGTGATTAATGCGAAGTAGCCCCTGCATGTTCGTACATCTTTCTATTAAAGGAGAAAAAGCACGCTGGAAAAACCGATTTTGTATTTTAACCTTCTCCTCTCTTCAGTTAATAATAAAAAATATATTAAATTCTTATATCGGATATATTTTAATTGGTCGGTATGTTTAATAGGATTTTTTAGAATTTAATCCTTTCATCCATTTTTAATAAAAAGACTTGACAACGTGATTTTTCAACTGTCCTGGTATTTATATAACATTATTTCTCTCTCTCTCTCTCTCTCAACGCTGGATTGTAAAAAAAATTTTTTTAATATTAAGCTCCATTCCGCTATTTCTTTTTTAATTACAAAAATAGGTTAAGTGGAAAAATTTTGCAATAATATAAATTGCATTAGAGGTATATCGGAATCAATCAGAGTCGCATTACGGTGGCTAATAAGACAGTTATAACTAAATCTTCCATCGATCGAGTGAAAAAGGATACGTTTAAGGATCGTATGTTCGTGGCGCGGTTCTGTGCAGTCACGTCGCGTGCCAGTCGCGAATTTCCTCCTGCAAATATTGCGGCGACCTCCGACCTTCCATTTAGTTAATTTACTTTGTTAAAGCGAGATGGGACAAGGCGTACAGCTATACGTACAAGCCAATATATATACGTATACCATATATATTAATAAGCTAAATCAGCCATTGCAGTATTTATTAACTGCATCGCAGATTGCGTTGTGCGTCACACGCTTCTCTAGAACTCTTTATTCGCGCTCCTATTCGCATATTTATAACAAAATGCGAAAAAATGTGAGTTTGTATGAAGTTATCTTACTTCCGCGTCTCTCTCATTCTTCTTCGAAAATTGTTTTCTCTTTTTTTATGCTACTTTCTTATACTTCGCATGCAAGTGCTCCGTCAGTTCGGGTGTCTTTGATGTCGCCATGTAGAAAATTTGTTCCAATTGATCACCATCGAGTTTGAATACTCGGCGTGTCTGTGAGGAGAGAGGAAAACGAGAACGTTAATCGCAAACAACCGAACGTTCGTTAACGCGGTATCTATACGAAAATAGATGTGTATACCAGTGTCACGGCCGGCGATTTCTCAATATCCGTCATCACTACATTGTTGCCCTTCAAGTCGATGGTCTTGTTAAGTAGATTACCCTGTTCAATCGTGACCATACCCAGATTATTAATCAGATTGAGACTGACTTGATTCGTTCCCGGCGCGATCTGTAGGAAGCCAATCTCTCGATGCATCGGCGTCCCCGTTTCTGGATCCCAACTTTGCGCGATATAATTGAACAGTGGTTGACCTATAGACGTGATATTTATCTCATCGTGATAATTAAAGGGCTTGATGGTCGGAAATATGCCGGCCGCCGGCTCCTCCGTTATCCATGTGCCTTCCAGCCAGGACAGCATGCTGAGCACCTCGTGCAACGGTAAGATTTTCATCAGCATGTTCGTTTGTTATCCTAAGGTATGCTGAGTATAACAATCGGATGTAGAAATAGAGAAGAGTTCCTTGAGATATCTTTGATCGTAGCCACGCAATTTTCACATTCGCTTGAAGCACTCGATCACAGACTATGTTTTATACTGAGATTGCAGCGTGAGATTTCCGGCACTTATACCTAGTCGAGGATTTTATTACATGAAATTATACCCTGCCGTGCAGTGTTTCGTAATAACATGACGTTACAATATACTCGATATTTTTTGTCTCGCAACGGAAGTTGCGACTGCTGGTCGTAAAAACATATACTTCGTATATTATTAAGCCGCTACATGATGAAGGTTGAACGATATTTCTAAGCGTGTTTCTGCGTGTTTTGCGGAATACAACTACGAGTTTAAATTTGCAAATGATATGTTAGTTACGCAATGCGCAGTGGATCATGTATAGACACAATGAATTACCAGAGCTTATGAATGGACAATTTGGCACACATTTATTCTCCAATACTCTAGAACTTTATTCGCGTATAATACTTACAGGATATTACATCAGTAAATAGTAGTAAATATACAGTGAGGCGCATTCAAAATTTGATCTTCTCTTTGTATACTCTTATGCTATACTTCACACACTTTTTTATATTTTGCTCGCAAGTGTTCAGTCAGCTCTGGAGTATTCGAAGTTGCCATATAAAGCACGTGTTCCAAACAGTCACCATCTAATTTGAATTCTCTACACAACTATTGTAAGAAAAGAAACAACTGTTGTAGTAAAGTTTATACTTTGAAAATATAATCAAACTTGATTGTAGATATATCTATCTAGATATATCTATGATATCCTGAATTGTAGAATTTAATGTTTATATATTAGAATAAAATGTTATATTATATTAGATATATTAGAATTTAATGTTTATATATTAGAATAAAATGCAAAACATAATATTCTGATAAGCATGTATCAAATTATACAAATATCCATATTGACAACTTCAATTTAGATTCTTATCGATCCTTTTCTTATATTTCATGGATTTCATGGATTGTATGTTTTTAAGAGTCTTATCATTTATTATTTAAATATACCTGTGTAACAGCCGGTGGTTTTGTTCCTTGTACTCTCAATATAGTATCAGTACTCTTCAAATTAATAGCTTTCTCAGTCGCTTCACCTTCTTCGACAGTTGCTAAACCAAAATTGTGAGCCAAAACAAGAGATACTTTGTTGGTGCCTGGAATTATTTTTAGGAAACCTGTTTCCCGATGCATTGGTTTCTTTGATTCTGGATGCCAACTTTGTGCAGTGTAATTGAACATGGGTTGTCCTATGGATACAAAGCTTATCTCCTCGCAATAATTGAAATCTTTAATAGTTGGATATTTGCCACTGCCATAGTTCTCTATTTTCCATGTTCCTTCTAACCAAGCCAATGACTTTAGAGCTTCGTGCAGTGGTAAACGTTTCATGTTGTCCATTTTATAAAACTTGAATTGTGAATGTATAACTTGAAATGAATGGTTGAAGTTAATGACAAATAAAAACTTCAATCTCCGTTTCTAAGTACCTTGAAATTTCAGCAAAATATAACCTATAAATGATATAACTTACAATCAGTGACAATTAGCAGAATCAAAATACACTCAGTACATTTGATATAAAGATAAGTTTCTGACCTTATAAATGCCATAATATTTACCTTGTTTATTCAATCATGTTACATTTGCTTCATACACTATGTATAATTAATATTAAATAAAAGTTGCCTTTTAAACAGGGATCCCTCTATTGACACATGAATTCTTGTGAATATTCTACAAACAAATGTAATGTTTAACTTTCCAACAAGTCATATATTCCTTAATTATATATTGTATATATATATATATAAATATTCTTTATAGTACAATATTAACATTTCTTGAATTTAAAAAAATATGAAAGGTTAGTTGTCAAACGCATGCGCACCTTACTATCTTTATCAGAATGACAAGTTGTTAACCTAAAATGTGCTCACGCACATTATCAATCACATCGAAAGACGAGAGAGATAATAGAATTCTTATGTGTAACACAAAATATGTTTTCACATTAATTTTTACTAAATGGTAGATTAAAGTGCAAATTTATTGAAAGATCATAGGAGGTTAAATGTCTTTCCTAATATCTGTTATACGTGCTATTTTCGTTTTAAAATTTTGAAACGATACGTTATGATTGACATAAGTATAAGCCAGCTTGTGAATCAAATAGACCAAAGCAATTTTACATTATATGCAGAATGGCAGGATACATATTTTAAAATAATATTATTACGCTCATCCATGACACCACTGAGTGGCGAGGTACATCATCATGTATAGTTATTTTTTAAATTATTGATATATATTACATGCGAGGAAACAAATTTACCTAGGATACTTTATTAATTCGTTGTTTATCAAAGAATCAATATAAAACGTTATTCTTTTATAATTATTACATTAATCATAACATAATATAACTAATAATTATGTTTAATATTTTAGATGCACACAGAAAATGCGAATTATTTTCTATATCATTTAGATGAATCCTTTGACACATATCTGGAAAAAACAAAACGTGCTTTTTCTGGTGAAAACATGGAAGTACAGTTTTTTCTGCAAGATGATACATTTATATGGAAACAACAAAATATTCTCACTCGTGGAAAAATTACTCTATATCCTCTTTCAAATATATTAATTATTTCTGATACTCTAAAAGAGATATTAGAGCATTATCAAGGATACCAGGAACGTATGATAATGTTGGAAAAAGAAAATGAACACTTGAATGAAACTAATGCAAAGTTAACCACAAATATAGAAAGCATTATAGAAATGAAAGAAAGTATGGAGAAGAATCTTTATAAGAAGTTTCTTTTGCTTTTGAATTCAAAAAAGCAAAAAATTAGGGAACTTCAGAAAGCTCTGAATAAAGCAGAAAGAAAGCCCATATATGATGAAACTACTGATGAAAGTGAATTGGATGAAAATAAATCAGATACTGAAGATAACAAAGTGCAAGAAACTAATATTAAGTCTAATAATATAAGGAAACGCAAAGCAAATTGCAGAGATGAACAGAAAGATGGACCAAAGATTAGTAAGAAAGATTTCATGAAATGTACAAATCTCTTTTCTAGTAAAAGTTCAAGTCCTGAACCTTCAACTAGCAAAGACAAATCAGCATTGCAATTAAAAAAGTTGCAAAATGCAGATGTGCAAAATATAACAGAAACTAAACAGTTCTTTAATACTTCACAAGAACAATCTGAAGACGATATGTTTCTTTAATGATAGGAAAGTCATGTGTATCATATACTTATTTAATGAAATGTACATACTTTATATGTACATCAATATGCATATTAATTATATAATGAAATTGAATGATCTAGTCTAATATTTTAATGAGAAAATATATCTAATATTGAAAAAAAGAAATTTATATACAATTATAGTTTCATATTTTATCAAATTTGATTGCTTTTTATATATATGATCGGCATTATTAATTGTATTTTAATCTTACATAATATATGTAATATGCAAATATATAGTATAATTTTTGTATAAATATTGCGAATTATATATTTATATACTGATATGAGAAATATTGATATTACGAAATATTTCATCTAATATATAAAAAATCATATGAATGATAAAAATTTTAATAAATATATTTTAATAAAAAGAATTCTGAAGTTAATGTCCTGCGTATATTTTAAATCTATTTCAATGATTAAATTGATGGTTTTATACAAGACTGAAGTCAAGGATCGGCGAAAAATTAAGGACTTTGAAAATTACGAGATTCGTGGAGATGGTTTAGAAAAATAACAACAATTCGGTCATCAGAGATTGCCTATATGTTAATGTTATCCACAATATTTTACATAAAATATATATTACAATATTGTTATTAATAAATAACGAACTCGGTAATAGAGTAATATTTCGGCTTATTTCGCTCTAATGATCAATATGCAAATATATATATATATATATGTGTGTATTATATATATGCCAAGATTTACATAATTAAGTACATCACGTCCCACAGAGTAGAAATTCAAAATGTGCAATAAAAGCATCAAGCGAATTTGATATAGTTGACATCACTCGACGGTTTCATTACAGATATCAATCCTCTTCGTCAATCACTATGATAATTGACTTATAATTAGCATATATTTTATCTTGAACAGATAAGTGTGTTTTCTTTTTTTCCCCCTCTCTCGTCTTCTCTCTCCATTTTCTATGTGACTGGGAATATTAATGATTGCTTGAATTTATAATGGATGAATCGTACACACGCAGTATCTCGAGTGCGTATGATACGTGAACATTCGTATCTGCTTCCTTGTATAGAAATAGTTTCAGAATGTTAGTAGGTAAATTTGGAACATGATACGAATGGATATAATACTTTGGAGCTGCTTGATCGCACGCAAACATCGTCAAAAGTACGTAGCCCGGACGAATTTCCTAACATATAATACATGAAACTTATCGTTATAACAAGTGTTGTAGACTAGAACATGGCCAAATGTGAGTTCTTAAATCTACTCAATCCGCGACGTAAACCTATATAATCGCGTCTCTACAAAAGACTACGCAACCGTTGAGCTGACAGAACGAACTTTGAACGTTCGAACGGAGAGAACGATTGTTACAACGTTAAATTATCAAATTTCGCAACAAAGTAAATATATATATATATATATATATATATATATATATATATATATATATATATACACTTCTCTAAAGAGTAAAGTAACAATATCAGTATCTTAATAGAATCACAAAACAATGTTGGTTCGGAATGTCAAGTGCATGCTCGGTGCTTCAAGCATCTAGAGCGGAGTTGTCCAACACGCGCCTGTGAGTGCACGTTAGACACAACTCTGATATATAGAGATTAGTCACGGTATATATTCTATATAGCGTTTCTTTATTCTTTTTTGTTATTTCCGACGTGGAAGAGCCGAGTGGTGGGTCGTCAGAGGTTGGTCTGAACACAGGTTTGAAAGGTAGCAGAAGTTCTTGTTTTGATTGTAATTGGGTCATTAGAAACATCCAACTCGCAAGCCCCTAGGGGTTGCCTCTGTCACGATTGCCCTTTCAAACTCGCATTCAGACCGATGTTACTCAGCCGGGCATTTTCCGATTTATCATAGCGCCTAGATCGTGCACGATCTGCTTCTGCTCGCGACTGAACAGCAAAGTTCTGGCGTTCAAGAACGACAAGTCCGGTAACTGATTCAGAACCTTTATCGTCTCGGCCTGCACGGTCATCGGTCGTCCGTATCTGTCCATAATCACTTGTTCCGCACCTTGTGTATTCTCTTTCCTACCTGCTGACAACTTTCTATGATACTCGTGCGCTTTGGATGAATTATTGCTTACTGGGAGCGATTTATTGTTGGTCGATGGAACACTTCTTAGTGGCTTATGCGATGGATTCTTTTGCCTAGTTCCGAGATCTTGCTCGATCGTCTTCTTCTTCCATTCCATTGTACAAGGTCCTGGTAATGGTTCTATTATCTTGGACGCCTGAGACGATTTCTGTTGTCTCAACGAACCGCTAGTAAGATCGGACAAGTTTTGCGACTTCACAGGTTGTAGGCTTGTTGCTTCTTGTGAAACTGCATCAGATGAAACTGTATAATGATGGAATGATAATTAGTAACTGGTATAAATATTACATACAGAAATGATGAAGATACTATAGATACTTAGAAATACAAGCAGGACCCTACTTGATATCTAACATATATGTGCTAAGGATCATATACCTTTTATTTGAAACAAAAATTATGAATATGTGCAAGGACGAAGGCTATTAACAGCTTCACTGAGCACTTACAGTAATACATGGAGTTCGTTGAGCAAGTTGACTGATGATAGGATTCGGAATGTGTGGAACAATGAGGTGTTAGTAGAGGATCAAACGGACACAACAAATCCAGAGGCAGAAGAGCGGACAACCCACCACCACCTGTATTGTTAATTTTTGCAACATTTAGGAACGAAATACGACACACAGGTCTACGCACGACGACAACATCGCTGTGTATAAAATATTCGCGCGAAACAGATTCCGTTACATGTGATCATATAACTTTATTACATGTCACTTTTACGAAACGAGCAGCGCTTTCTTTTTTCTCTATATCATAAGCAAGCTGTCATCATAGATCTCAATTACCACACGTACACGCACATAATCACAAGAAATACTTACTAGCATCTAGAGGATTTACAAGACCAGAACTATTCCAATCAAATTGGGCGGCAGGTACTTCCTAATATGACGTCACAATTATTAATCATTGTGGAGATCGTACCTACTGACATGCACCTTATGGGAATGAAACTTCAACTTACATCTGAAAAAGCCGCGCCTTGCGTCTTGCTGGTACTGGGTGTGAGAAGAGGCTGCTGAGGCTCAGCGTTAGCTTTGATAGGCTCTAACGGGGTAAAGCCAAGATTCGCTGCGAATCTCGGTACATTCGGATTCCATCTCGGTCCAAACAGCTTTAATTTCACAACATGAGTTATTGTACTTTCGAGACGCGACATGAGATTTTCAGTTTCAGTATGCGAGCTGCAGATATACTTACGATATTCCGAGAATCGATACCGAGAGCATTCAGGAGAACATTGTTGCTGCTACTGTTAGCCCACTGATAGGTGAGGGCGTTAGTTTCTTCCACACTCTTCACATTCTGCCAAACTTTGTCCGTCTTGTTTATCAGAGACTGCAACTCGACTTCGTGATGTTCAGTAGAGGCGGAGAACATGTTCGTTATTATGTCTTCTATTTTATTCGCGGCCTGAAATCAGATGGAAATCAGACGATATGCCAAATTACGCGTTTTCAATCGCGTGTTATATTTATCACATCACGGGATTCTAAATTTAAGCTGAAGCAATACTCCTTGTTTTTCTAACAAACTATCGACTACTTTACGTCACAAACATTCCAAACTCACATTCTTGTTCTCTATCCGACATATAGACTCTTTCAAACTAAACTGCTGCGTCTCTACTACACCGACTGACGTCTCGAAGTCGTTGAAGTCTCCGAAATCATCGTCGTCCTCGACTGTGGTCGGTCCTTTCGCGTCCTCGTGTTGCCATTCTACCGTTGTGCTCGAAAAATTCGTAAAATCACCGAAATCATCATCCTCGTTTGGCGCGTCCTCGAATCCGGGCCGACTACTTTCTTGCACCTTATTCAGTATCGGCTCGATCTTGCTCAGACTGATATCATAAAACTCGCCGTCGCTAAAATACACTACGGAATTCTCAATTTTATATGTGGCACATGCTTCTCCCGTGGTATTCGCAGTAAGATTACTTTTATCCTTTAAGCAGTCGAATGATGTATTAGTAGATGGCAGTGAGGCTTTTTCAATCGACGAGAGCTTTTGTACACAAGACGCGTCTGATGAAGATGCATCGCGGATTTGTACTGTTTCGTATTTTTCATCATCATCAGACAGCTGATTGAAGTTATCAGTTAATTCTGGTGTACTGCCGAAGTCTCTATGCTCCATAAATTCTGTGAAGTCCGAGTTGTCCAAGTCGTGTGGAAGGAGACCATTTTCCAGAACATTCTGTTCGCGTGCGTTATCCTCGGTCGATTCTCTCTTTGTGTAACCAGGAGTCTCCTCGTTCGTACTTGCCTCTTGAACAATTTGATTCTTTGTGTTTACCGCTACCCGCTCCTCGTTGTCTTTTGATTGTATGGCATTTTTTACATCGCAAAAATTATTAGGAAAAGTATCCGCGTTGTTTCTCGCAGTAGACTTTTCAACGTAGCTATCCTTGGTATGCATATGTACAGATGTGCGATCTAGATTTGATTCCTCTCTCACGGCGTCGTCGAAGGTGAAATCGAAACTGAAAGAGTCGTGCAAAGTCCCGCTCGTCTTGCTCGTCTCATTGTTGGATATTACATGGTCGTACATTTCTATGTATTTCGGTTCAATACTGAATTCGCAGTCTGGCCGATTAAACATGTTGGTATCGCCTACATTAAGTTCTTGCGAGGTAACGAAATCGGAAATTGTCCTTTCATCGTAAACGAAGGCAGATTTATCGTTATTAGTGACATTAACATGCGCGTCATCGTTGCCGTATGTCTCTTCTTCTACTTCATCCGCTTCATTGCATTCTCTGTTCACAGGATTAGGTTTGTTGACGTTCAGGTAATCCGTCTGCAGGACCGTCACGTTCGCCTTCTGATCGCAAACGGTGTCGTTCCATTCGGTGGAGTTCTTGAACTGGTCGTAGTTATAAAAATCGTCGTCCAGTTGCTGCAGAATGTCCGGCGTGCTCGCGGGATCTTCTAGGTCCAGACTCGCGGGTTCTATCTCGTCATTAGCTTCCAAATCCAAATTGGAGGATGCTTCCCGTTCGCTGATCGTCTTTACGCTATCGGCTAAACTACTATTGTTGCTACTAATTACATCCGTATCAACAAAATTCTCTTTAGCTAAAACATTCTGAGTACAAACATGATCGATACTATTACTAGTCTCAACATTATGCGACTCGCCATTCCTAGGTGAAACTAATACATTGCGCTCTGTTATACTAGCGTTCTCGGCATTGTTTTCCAAGACGCTACTATCATCCGTCTTATCCTTCAATTTTATATGATGGCTCACATTGTCCTCCGCCTTTTCGACGATAAGCAAGTCATCGATAGTGCCACATTTCAAGGCTTGGCTTATCTTAGAGCAATTATCCAATATTAGTGACTCATTAATACCGTTTATTCTAGGAGATACGTTCTGTGATGTTATTGGTGTTTGTATCGGAGTGATAAGTTTCTGCGGGGATTCTGATGAAACCGATAAGCCTACAAACATAACGATACAACAAATTAGAGAACAGATTCCCGAAGCTATGAAACGATAAGAAGTAATGATCATCGCGTATAAAACACAAAAGTTTTGCTTAATTTCCAAATAAATACCATCTATTCCACCAGCTGTGAAATCTCCAAATTCATCCTCATCGGATTCCCCGAAGTTGTCTAAAGGTGGAGGAGTAGAACTGACTAATGGTGGGAAAGCCATGGTTCTCCCCTTCTACTCTACGACACACCAACGATACGAGTCATTACGCAACTTATTATAAATATTAATTGAAAACTAAAATTAATAAAAGGCACTAAGAGATAAGGTAATTGGGTGGAGCGATATGCTGAAATATGTCATATTCTCGCGTCACAGAACTAGAGAACTATCCACGGTCGTGGACAATTCAACACTCGACCAGAGCCCATCGTCTCGAAGCTCTCGACAGCGAGTTTTGTTTACAACTACGCCGTTCTGTCAGTCTGCGTGCCTGCGCTCGTTACATATGTCAAACGCAGCGGAGTTAAGGTTAAGTGGGACAGAATCGCGCAGTTTTCGCGGCGGAATTGGCCACTCGGAGAAATCACACGGACATCGTTCGTTCGTAATGACAGCGCGATTTGCTGCGATGCGTCAGTTCCACTCGCGAAATAATTTTCCTCGACGGAACGACTAACCGTCACGCTTTTACTGACTGTCGAGAACTTCGTGTTCTCACCTATTCGGGAGCGCCCGTCAGCACGATTCTACCTCGCGCTTCTCATCTCGGCTCTTATCACGGCATTCTACGTGGGTGTGTGGGTGCGATGAGCTTGATATTTATCACAGTGAGATACGTCGGCTATCAGCGATCGTCCGTGCGCGACGGTTAAATATACGATGACGGGAGTCATGAGACATCAGACAGGTAACATCACCTGTTCCCCCGTTGCATAGGGCGCATGCGCGCTCGCCGAACGGCGCGCACCTGTCACCTGACTCGTGGTTGTTTAAAGTCGTCGGTGAGTTTCGCGGGAAAATACCGTCTCTCAAATACGGTAAGCGTTACTCGCTTAGAAATAACGTCGCAATGTACGCGATCAATAGCAAACGCATTCACGATTTACGTTTACCGTATCTGAGAGACGGTATCGCAAAAACTGCCTAATAACGCGGCAGTGATGGACCAACGATGCAATAATAATGTGCGGAATAAATTCTGATGTACACCCCGCGACGCAGAATATTTCCAAATTATATCCTGTGTGTATTCTGCCTACACATTTTTACACTACGTTATTATTCTATTTCTAACGAGATATGATTTTTCAAAGGTTTTTCAAAGATCATCATTCTGCTGCATGTTGCTATACTTGCAGAATAGGATTTGTTATATTGATTCTGCAATAATATACAATACATGCGTGTTACAATTGTACTATTTGTCGAAAGTCAGATACTGTAAATGTCAACGTAAAACTGTCAATCGCAGTCAATACAGTCACAAGAATGAGAGCGAGTGATTGATCAAACGCAGTCACGGTTGCTCCTCCTGCTGGTTGGTCTGCGAGCTGTGCTGGGTGCGCTTGTGCTTCCTCATGTCTCCCTTTTGTCTGAAACATCTGCCACACACGTCACACGCGTGCGGCTTCTCGCCGGTGTGTATCTTGATGTGGTTGTTCAAAGCCTCCGTCCTGGTGAAGGCCTTCTCGCAGTAGTGGCACTTGTACCTGCGATCACCGCGGTGTATCAGCCTGTGCTGATAGAAAACAGAGCCAGTGAGAAAGGCCTTGTGGCACACGTCGCATTTGAACGGTCTCTCCCGCGTGTGCTTTTTCCTGGTGTGATCCGCCAGGTCCGGCTTGATCGTGAAACGCTGGTCGCAGTATTGGCATGCATAGGGTTTGACGCCCATGTGAAATCTCTTGTGAGTCCACATGTGGCTGGACTGGGTGTAGCTCTTGCCGCAGATGTTACAGACGTACGGTCTCAATCCGTTGTGCCTCCTCTTGTGAGCGTTGAGGGAATTCGCGGTAGGCAACAGGCTACCGCAAATGTCGCAGGGGAACTTGGAGCACTGGTCTCGCCCGTGATCCTGTATCTCCTCGCTGTTATCAAAGACGTTCCCGCAAAGCTCGCAGAGGAACTTGGCGTCACCCGACTCGGACAGTCTGGACATACGGTCGTGTCTCTTTTGTTTGTGCTTGTACAATAAGGCAAGCTCCTTCATGTCCTTGTTGCAAACGTCGCAGAGAAAGACGACGAGGACCTTGAACAGCCTGGGATGTTCCTTCCAGTGCAGGATAGCTTCCGCGAACGATTTATAGGTGGTATCGCATGCGTTACACGCGTACGGTCTTTCAACGACATGGCGGCTCTGATGGGCCTTGAGGCTGTCCACGTCGGTGAAGTGGCTGTTGCAGAATTCGCAGTGGTATAGCTTAGACGTCGGCAGTTCCTCGATCAGGGTGATGCTGTTCTCGTGCGCTCTGCAATGAATGTCGGCCTCGTCGCAGGAAGCGAAGGTCTCACCGCACTGCAAGCATTTCCATACCGTCTGACTGTTCTCGATGACGACGCAGTGGCCGGCGACATGCTTATTTAGTCTAGACTTTTGCGTGAAGCTCTTGGAGCATTGCGAGCATTTGTAAGGCTTCTCCGGCAGATGCGTCACCACGTGACGTTTCAGAGTGTAGCCGTCGGAGAAGCCTTTGTTACACACTTCGCATATATGCGGCCGAGTTTTGCCGTCGGCGCACACGTGCACTCGGAGCGCCTCTTGGTTCTCGAATAATTTGCCGCACTGCAGGCATGAGACGCTGATGTTCTTGCAGTGATACCTCTTGTAGTGGTAGAACAGCTTTAGCTCCTTACCGAACGTTATCTTGCAAAGTTCACAGTACAATGCTTTCGCGCCCTTATGAAACTGCATATGAAAGTTTAGCCGTTCCTCGAAGGTAAACGTCGCGTCACATACGAGACATTTGTATGGTTTCGTCGTGCCTTGTACGTTGGGCTTACACTTGTGGCCGTCCAACGTCTCCTTGGTGTGATAGAGATTCATACATGCACCGCATTTCAAGTATCTCTGCTTGTTTCCTAAAAATTGTAACAGAACGGCACGATTTTCGCTCTCTTTATCGACTTTCGCGCCATTAAATATGTATTCTTCGTCGCTACTTTCAAGAATTATATCACTCTCGTACAATTCTGTATCTTTCGCATCTTGAAGTGTGTCCTCACAAATGCTCATGTAGCCTTCCGCGCATAAGGGGCATGACTGTCGATCAGATAAGATTTGTTTCTCGCGATTAGAGATGTTGAAAGACTGTTTCTCCCGTAGCATCGTCAACAGCGTTTCTTCCGCTTTGATACACTGCGTATCGAATTCGTCGCACCAATTTATCTTATCGACGCAGGTCAAACAGAGCTGCTTCGGTAATGGATCTGTTTTTCTAATCTGCAACATGAATTATGGTATGTAGCTTTATGTCTGCAAGAATTGCTGACTTTGGCAAGACATCTTACTTGTACCTTAATACTTAGGCATGTACTTATTTTGTGCGCCAACTTCATGGATTCTCCGAGTTCTGAGTAAATATATACTGGATTATTGGTCTGACCAGCGCACAATCGGCAGAAAGCAATCAAGTTATTTTCTGTTTGATCTTGTATAGATAATTCCAATATCTCGTTGGAAGAAAGCGGCTCCTCTTGAGACCATACAATAGAGCCATCCAAGTCATCAATATCATCCTCATGATCACTCAATGTACTAATTGATTCTGTTTGCAACATACTTTATTGCTATAAATTATTAAAAAACTATCAGTTACAGTTGGTAAAATCAGACAATAACAACCATTTTGTTTAAATTTACAGTACACATATAGAAAATTGTTAAAAAAAGCACATTAGAATTTATATTATAATTATTTCTTCTATATAAATCATATGATAAATATTATTTGATAAAATTTTATCTCTATATATATTTTTTTAAGTTACAGTGAAATATTTTTTAAAAATAAAATTTTAATAAATGTTACAAATATCATACTAATACATATTTATTTTACACATTATATGTAAATACAAGACTACACATACACTTGATTGATGTTGCAATGAAAAAATGGAGCAGATTACCTTTTCCTTGAAAAGAATGTAAGTATTCAAATATCCTTTCATGGCAAACTCAATATTCTTGGCACAGAAACTTTGGTTTCTATCAGAATTCAACTTTCTCAATGACAAACAGATTTAGCTAGGTAACTCAAAATAGCTGAATACCTCTTTGCTGTTTCTAATTTGTTTCTAACATTAATAAAATGAGTGCAGATACAGAGGTTATACAAATGTATATTTGTACATTATTTATATTATACATGAAATTAAATATATTATGTATATTATACATGAAATTAAATTTATATATCATTTGTATTTAACTAACTTACTGCAATATTTTACAAAATAATTATACAATTTCATCTCAACATGTCTTAAAACCGCACGATATTACCTCTCTATAATATTTTGTGCGTGTGGTCCCTCTTATGTATTTAATATATGACATTATTTATTATATATAAATTGTAATAAAATATAACATATTTCATTAGTAATATCAGTGTTTAGTAAATTATAATTTATTCATGATCATATTAAATTTTTAATTTATGTAATATACGTTACAAACCTACATATACAGCACATAATATATTAATTAACGCTGTATTATAACATATCGCAAATCATTTTTTATTCTGCATTCGCGTAAACGTTTACAATGACGCAACACAGTTATCAAATTTAATTTAGTTTTGTCGAGTTTAGTTTTTGTTTGTCTGTAATAATCTTCAGCTGTAAAAAAGTAGAGGTATCCTGAAACACAATTGTATCAGTATAACTTATGTAGTAATTAATATACTTGCAAAATGGAATTTCATATCTCTCTTTTTCTTTTTTTCTGTGTAAATATATAAAAAAAAGTTCAGAAGATAAGAATTTACCATTTTCATCTTGAACATCAAACTCTTGTTTCCTATAATGTAGATATAGATTAATTTCACCCTTTTTTTGAGCAGCAGCTTTTCCCAATGATAAAATTGTGTATTTTGCCAGTAAGGTTTGATTTAAGGCATTTATCAAGGTATTGATTGTTTCTAAAGATTGTCTTCCAATCATGTATTTAGGTACTTTACTAAACTCTTCTACAGTAATAGATAACATTGTTGGACATATTTCTGGCTCATTAAAAAGTGTCCTCTTGCAATTTTTTATCATTTCTTGCTTTTCAATATTAATGCAGCCAGTTCTAGGTGTTTTTTTTCCTGTTAATTTATGAGTTGAATTTATGGTACATTCCAACATATTTGAAGAAATACTGGTTTGAGAATATGTTTGTTTCTTTGCATTTAGATAACCCTGTATCAATTCTGGTGGGACATTTTCTTCTTGATTTATAATTTTTTTGCTTAACACATCAGTTAGTGATGCTAATTCCTGTATATAAGCAAAAAAATTTGTCTCTCAATTCTTTTACTAATAATAAATGCTCTAAAAGAAATAATTTAGCAAACTTACTTTGAGACGAACATTTTGCTCCTTCATTATCTCTAAATCTTTCCTAATATCCTCAATACCATATGAAATTTTTTGTACTTCATTGTATATTTTTTGAAGGTCACTTTTTACACTTTGCTTAGCTAAATAAAATGAAATATGATTTTGCAGTTATATTTTGATATTATATTATCAAAGTTAGTAATTAAAGATGATTATACCTTTTATTAATACTGTGGCCACATCAAGTTGATGCAACTTTTTGTCTTGTTTATTAAATATATCTTCCAAAGTGTCTTGCTTATCTGCATTCATAATTGCTATTTGTCACACAGATAATAAGAAACTAAATATACTTTCTTTTTACACATAAAATATGACGGATGACAAAATCATGCCTATTTTGTGATTGATATATGTATGAGAAATATTGTACTTAACCAATAATATTTGATATTATTGATCACTTAGATATAAGACACATTATCTCAAGCAAGTTATTTCAACTGTTGTATCACAATGTCGACTTTACTTTGATTTTCTTAAAATGTGCAACGATGAACATTAAGAATTCTTTTTGATATGTTCACTTTAATAGAGACGTTTTAAATTTAAATTTATATTCGATAAGATGATTGAAGGTTATCACCGTGTTTCCCTCTTTTTATGTCCTAAAGTTGGCGATTGATGACACTTAAGGTTATGTTTTCATTTGTTATACCTGCATGTTAATTGGTTATTAGTTAGGGAGTTTTAGGAAAATCTGTAACTTCACAAAAACTTTTAGTCAAACAACCAATAAGTATCGTCGACAAATTTACCATGAGAATTGGAATCTAACCAAAAATTTCAATGTGATTCCATGCGTCTTACAGTGAAGCTAGGAAAAACAAATCTAATAACAAGAGATGTTAGATACGATATGCTGAACTTTTTAATATTTCTAAACATATATGATACCGATTGATTATTTATTTATGCTGCAGTTATAAGTATTTTTGTGATATTCAGGCATTATCTTTTACAATGAATCCTTTAACGTATGTATTTTTCAATTATAATTTACGTATAGGCTAAGAAACATATAGGCTGAGAAAATAGATATACGTAATTTAATGTATACGTATATAAACAATATATGGAATATAAATTATGAAGGAATTAGTAACAACTTTCTAATATGGTTTATAAATTATGTGCCGCATTTGCATTTGTGTATAATTTATATTTACAGAAATGTTAGAAATATAAAGAAACTCAATGAGCAAGAGTTACGAGGTAGCAATAAAACATCATGGCATGACCAGTATAAAGATAGCGCATGGGTTTTCGTTGGTGGTTTACCATATGATTTGACAGAAGGTGATGTGATTGCTATTTTTTCTCAGTAAGTCAAAATTTTTATATCTCATTATTATTTATATGTTAATATTAAGTTCTTATAAAATTATAATATATCATAGGTATGGTGAAATAGTCAATATTAACTTGATCAGAGATAAAGATACTGGAAAACAAAAAGGATTTGGCTTTTTATGCTATGAAGATCAAAGGAGTACTATACTGGCAGTTGACAATTTTAATGGCATAAAGGTATATTCAAACAGAAGTACAAAATAGCAATACAATATATTTTTTACTTGTTAACAATGTTAAATAAATATTTAGTAAAGTAATAATGACTCAGACATAAGTATATCACAATTATACAGGATGAGCATAAAGGGTGAACATAAAACAAGATTATATTTTGCCAGTGAATTTTGTGGCACTCCTTTAAACGCATCCTATATCTTTAAATAATACAATAATATAATTTACATCATCATCTTTATACACGTGATAAAATTTTGTTTCTTTGTAAATCATGATAATGGTTTATAAAGTACCTTCCAGTGTCAAAATCTATTCTTTTGCAGATTCTAGGCAGAGTAATACGAGTGGACCATGTTGCAAATTATAAAGTACCAAAAGATTCAAAAAATATAGATGAGGAAACGAGAAAGTTACGGAAAGAAGGTTGTGCTCCAAAAGATTGAGATATACATAATCTGTATGTATAAACTGTGAAATATCAATATACTTAGGCATAATTTCAAACGTTATAGACTTACACTCAGTCAGTAGAATATATTATCAACTAAGAATTTTATTGATTATGACAAATTTATTATTGCAAGTTAGCCTTTAGTGATTAGAAATTGTTCGAGTTCTACCTCATTTATTCTACCACACAGTCTTATTTTCCAATTTGATTCCCTTAAAATTCAAGTTTATTAAACTGTAGTTGTTTTTAAGATATGCAAAAGATTAATAAGCTCCCCATTTCATACATTCGATGAAGATTATATTAATTATGCCATAGAAGCAACGAGTGTGCTGTCACTATGATGAGAATTATTTTTTGATAGAATGATATCAAGACGAGCCGAATTCGCTCATCCATTTTTCATATTTTTCCAAATCTTCCTGGGAGACACTTTTGTTACATCTCTCAACGGCTTCGTCGAAATCTGCGGCAGACACAGGCAAATCCAATTCCTCTTTTGGTAATTGCCTAATCTGATCTGGTCGGAGACCCGCGATTTTCTTTCGCATTAGCATCATAGATGCATCCCTGAAGGATAATATCAAGTAAAATAAGCTACAAAATATTTAAACTGTCGCAATGATTTTTACTCACCTGCAAACGTTCGTAATATCTGCTCCAGAATAACCTTCCAGTTTTCTAGCAATGTCTGCCAAGTTTACGGACACATCCACCTTGACCTCGCGAAGATTTATCCTCAACAGTGCTTCTCTGCCTTCATCTATGATACAAATTGAGAATGATGAAATATATTTGTATAGATTAGAATACATGCTACATCTCGTTGAAAAATAGAGGCGTTCGATAAAACTTACCATTGGGTAGTGGAATGTAAATACGTTTCTCTAGGCGTCTTCTTAATGCTTCATCAATATCCCATGGGAAATTCGTTGCTGCTAATACCATCACTACTTTACTAGGATCTTCACTGTTCAAAAATAGAATACATTTGATCTTTGCTCTTGTGTTATCAGAGGAGACAACGCAAAAATAACACAAAAACTTTACCTATTAGAACTTATTCCATCCATCTGAACAAGAAGCTCAGATTTCACGCGGCGTGAAGCTTCATGTTCCGATTCAGATCCTCTTCTGGAGCATAGAGAATCAATTTCATCAATGAAGATTGTACTGGGTGCGTAAAATCTAGCCTGCGTGTGTCCACGTAATAAAACATGATTAATATCGCATGTAGAATCTCTTTCGAATAAAGATAAGTTTGTCCGAACAAACGTTGTGAATGATTTATTATAATTTTACCATCTCAAATAACAATCGGACGAGTTTCTCTGATTCGCCTCTGTATTTTGACGTCAACGTAGAGGACGAGACGTTGAAGAATGTTGTGCCGCATTCCGTTGCAACGGCTTTCGCAAGCATTGTCTTGCCTGTGCCTGGTGGTCCAACCATGAGCACTCCTTTCCACGGTCGCCTAATTCCCTAAAAACGCAGCAACGTGTAAGTTAACGTTGCGAAATCTCTTTTTTAATTTCTTTCACAATTGATGAGAGATCAGAAAAGATATACTTTGAAAAAGTCTGGCATCCACATTGGGAGCACGACTGCTTCCTCCAACAATCTCTTTGCTTCGTGCAAATCTGCTATATCATCCCAGTGGATATTTGGATTTTTTTGAACGATGTCTCTCTCTGTAGTGTAATGATTAATTATTATGAATATTAATAAGTATTCGATTGCTTCTTGTATTTTTTTAGCATTTCTAGATGATAACAACAATAATAATGTTACCTAATATTTCCACAAGATCTTTATCATTAGCAGATGGTTCAAATTTACGTTCCTCCAATTCAACATCAATTTTTTCTGTTTCTGTTTTCTCCTGTTGTTTTAATTTATATTAATACTTAGAATTATGAAATTTATATGAGATATGAACAAATTAAGATACCTTGTTTGTATCATCCTTCTTTGTGATTTTTTTATCATCTTTTTTACTAATAACTTTGCTGTCTGGCTTTTTAGCTGTAGTCACAGATTTTCTGGTATTAGATCGGTTTTGTTGTTTTTGTTGAACTTTTTGTTTTGAATTTCTGGAAAACAAAATTATATATTCAATTAAGTACTTATTCATAGTAGCATATATAGTACATATGAAAAAGTAAAAACAATAGAATTGTGTTGAAACTTTATTTCAACAAAATTTAACATTATATATTAATATCTCTATAATTGACACAATATTTATACTTTTGTTCAGCTGGAGTTAGAGGAGGCCACACATCCGGATCTCTACTTGGTGTTTGATTCCAGGCATCTGAGTTAGTATAAGACCACAAAGCAGGGTCTCGTGTTGGTTCTTCAAATGATAAACAAGAAGTTCCTAAAATTTAAGGATCCATTATATCCATTATGTTCAAAGATTTGAATATTCACATAAGATTTATCTCCATCAATAGCAGTACCAACTAGTCTTTCTGCATGTGTATCCACTTTGAAAAGTTGTAGTGTATTTGATGTAGCTTTTACTTTCTCAAATTCTTCAGCAATCTGGTGCTGTACAACCTGCCACTTTGCTTTACGAGTTGGGTCCTCTATAGTTGTGAGTAGCCTATGAATCTGTTGTACTACTCCTTGATAGTAGACTCCAGATGTGTCATAGTTTCCCATCAATGCCATTTCACGAGCGAGCTTTGTATTCTCGCAAATTTCGTTTATTGATACAGCCATGATTTTATTATTCCAACACTTGTATATGAGATGATGACTGATATAGTGAATACAACGTGTATTATACCTCGCGGATTTAACGAAAAAAATCGCGAACGTTCTTGCCAAAACCTTTGAAGTTTTGTGTAGTGGTGTTAATTCGTCTATCTCATATCAGTACACATTTTTATCGCTGTAATTGGCGATCAAATTACTGGTTTACATAGTTATAGGTTAATTTTTGTCAAACTTGTGCATAAATCGAAAACTCGAACAGCAGTACGCGCAAATCAACGGTTTTTCTTAAATATATTTATGTCGTAAGTTAAGTAATCGCTTTCACCGGAATCGTGCGAAAGCTTTCAATGATTTTCTCTCATCTTCGTTTAACTTTTTTGTCGCAGCATCGTGGGAGGTTATGATGAACGTGAAGTTAGCTCACTGACGGGCATGAAATTTTCGAACGTTTAGCGGGTCTAAATCTCGCGATTGAATGACCCGTTACTTTTATTAGTTTCAAAGTCTCCGCTATGAGCCGCCATTATCTTTTTAATGAGTGTGGCGCGCTCCTAGCGCCTATTCGTTTTGTCTGTACTGCTGAACTGGTGCAACAAGTTGAAGTGAGAAAACCTACGTTTGTCTCACTTCAACTTGTTGCACCAGTTCAGCAATGCAGACATAGACAGATGTTTATCGCAGAAAAAGGAAGCTGCTAGCAGTCCACGCTTAAAGCCAGCAGCACACGATGCTTGTTTTCGTGCTGGATTGCTTGTTAGATGAAAATACTGCGTTCTGATTGGTACTTTTCCAAAGATGGATGGAAATGCACCAATCAGAACGCAGTATTTTCATCCAGCAAGCAATCCAGCACGAAAAGCAACCGTACGAACAAGCACCGTATGCCGCTGGCTTTACATTTTGTCTGAACTGTCGAAGAAATTTTATTAGTAAAACATATGTGGTCTCTTATTTTTAGCTGCACTACTGAACTGGTGCAATAAGTTAAAATGAGAAAAAATATAGTTGTCTCATTCTAACTTATTGCATTAGTTCCGCAGTGCAGTTGAAAAGAACAGACCAATAGTTGTGTTCAGTCATTCTTTTTTTTCGATTCTGATGTTAATTTCATTTTACATTATTCCAAGAGTCACTGATGTCATCGCAAATATTTATTGAACCGACATTTTAGTGTGCGCATATTGATTATTTTAATGTCGGAAATATAAATTTCTTCTGCGCTTCTCTTCGCAGTCAGTCGCTGTTTGGTATTCGAGAAGATAACTTGGTCATTATGATGAGAGGAACATGCAAAGGGTTGTCCAGTCTTATGCTGAAAAGAAACGCGATTATAAGGAATAAGTATGCGACTGCACAAATAGCACCGTTACAAGAAGCTGCTCTGGCGGAACGTTGTATACTTGTGGATAATCTGGACAGACCTGTTGGTGAGGCTACTAAGAAAGCCTGTCATGAAATCAGTGCAGAAGGGAATTTATTACTTCATCGAGCGTTCAGTGTTTTCCTGTTTAATAGTAAAGGAGAGCTACTGCTCCAAAAACGGTCCAAACATAAGGTTAGGCTATTTATTATTATTATTATTATTGAGCATTATATTTTTTGTCATATTTTGAAATTATTTAATCATAAATAATATCATTATTATACATAAACAGTTTTTAAGTAACAACAAGTACTTGTAATATATGAAATACTTAGGATTATTCAATTATATTTGATATTATTTATGGGAACTTGATCTATTTTCTAACATTCTGATACTCATCTATCAATTTATGAATACTATGGAAGAATATTTGTGCAATGAGAAATTTATACTATGCAAGAATATTTGTGCAATGAGAAATTTATATTGTACATAGGTAACATTTCCAAGTCACTTTACAAATACCTGCTGCAGTCACCCGCTTGCAGAAATACCTGAAGAAATGGTAGATGAAGATGTTATTGGTATTCGCAGAGCAGCAGTGAGAAGACTCAATTATGAGTTAGGCATACCAAATACAGAAATTGAACTTTCTGAGTTTATTTATCTCACTAGAATCTACTATAAAGCATTCAGTGATAACAGTTGGGGTGAACACGAGATTGATTATGTGTTGTTTCTGCAGAAAGATATTAATATAGATCCCAATCCTGATGAAGTGAGCGAAGTTCGGTGGATACCTAGATCAGAGATCGAAAATTTTGTCAAAACTGTAAAATCGCCATTAACACCATGGTTCCGTTTAATGTTCAAACACAAGTTGTTGCACTGGTGGGACAATCTGGGTGCTCTTGATAAGATACAAGATACTGACAATATAACTACACTGTCATGACGTGCAATAACACAATAATTTTGTCATTCCAAGAGCAACTTGCAATTTAACATTATAATAACAATAACAATGATTGGACAGATTGTCAGATGTTCTGTAAATAATTGACTTGTTTGTCCATTTACCAGACATTTCTGTACAGTCTGTATTATTATGTTCGTATAATAATGAAAATATAAAAAAGTTTATATAATAATAAAATGATTAATAAGATTGTTCAGTATTTGTGAAACTTGTTTTTGTAATTATATTTTTCTAATTCGGAGTTTTTACATGCGAATATTCGGTGGTAGATTGTGCAATTTAAACAAATGTAAACAAATATAGATATATATATATATATATGTGTGTAAGTGGATACATGTGTGCTGTTGCAAGTAGATAATATTTTCGATGCAAAGAAAATGTATAAGGATCTTATCAAGATCTTGGTAATATTACTGAATCTTCGTACGAGCATGTTCTATTTCGTTTCTGCGTAAATGCGAACGACGATTGAGAACATCCTGCGAAACACTCATTGTCAAGCATAATCTTTAATATGATATGAGTATGATGAAATACACATGTTTCTGATTAACTGGTATTCTTCATATTCGCCTCTTCCTTCTTTCGTACCGATCTTTGCGTCATTCCGAGCTAATTGCGTGATTCGTACAGTATTCCTTTGTTTTCAGCAAATATTTTCCAACTCTGAGCGAAGATTACTTGTCGTCTATCAATGTTTTCTTTTTTACGCGCGATCATTAATCTAAATTTGTCATATTGTTTCTAGACCGTGAAATATAATGTACCACTCTCAATGAGCTGTTCTTGATTTTCCTTGATTAGACTCATGGCGGTTAGAACATGTCTGTTTAAGTAGATATCTTGCCGAAGAGGAACGCGATTATTCGATATAATGTGGTCGGTGAATTACACGTCACATGTATACATAAATTCATTCAACGCCGAAAAAATCAAGCAAGAAGAAGTAATAGAAGAAAACCTTGAGATTTTTTCGTCCTTGCTTGCGACATTAAAAAATGTATTGTTTTACAAAGAAAAAATTCTCATCAATTGCTAATGTATTGCGTTGGTCAAAGTTGAGCTCGATTTCTGAATAATTTTTCAGATGTTTGAACTACTCACAAAATTGGACTTTATTGCGATTCAGTGGAAACGGATTATTCGTGAGCCGAGCAAGCTCATTGTTTGTGAATTTTCGGCAACATATAATCAACAAAACATTATCGAGGTCATTATTGCGTCATACCGTGTGAGACATTAGTTTCCATCGCTCTGTTTACCTCGTTCTTCCCGATTAGCAAATACATCGGATTGAGAATGATTCTTCATTTTCACTTCGTTACCTTGTATCCATACTTTACAAAAACCAAGCTTTCTGATTGATCCAGTACTACGACTGTATTCTTCTTCGCAAGGTGGTCGTGCTCGTCGCACCATTCTGCCATTCATCCGCGGAATGACGATGACGAGACCTGCTCGGAAAGGAGAACGAGGCGGAAGGACACGGACGTAGTGCGTAGAGATGCGCTCTTTCGTAACTCTCTCACGTTACCTTCCTGAATTCTACGCGGCCGTCGCCGCGGGGGGAATTAGATAAGTAGAGAAAATAGGAGGTAAGATGAGAAGCAACCTAGTTTAAGACACGTTACCTCCTTCATTGACGCGATTATTAGTATATCTTCCCTTCCCCGCCCTTCCCTTGCGCGTGGTCCATATGCATCTACGTGGGTGGACTATATAAATGTGTTTACATCATCTCCTCGCTCTTCTGTACCCTGCGGAAGCTCCAAGTCGTGCGCACCGTACACGCATAATGAACATTTCGTCCTACGTTCGTGTATACGTCGTCGTCGAGTGACGTGAAGAACAGAGAGAAAGAAAGCGAGATAGAGAGGAAGAAGTGCAGAGGTGAAGCTAAGTTCGCGTTTCGCGGTATTCTTGAGGGTATATTCCTTCTTCTTGTTTTCTCCTTCGTGAAAATCGCCACGACGATGCTGCGCTCGAAGGTCGGACGCAGCAACCTGCTCGTTCTATGCTGTATTCTGCTGTTCGGAGACGCTTTGGGTTTCTACGATACGGCGCCGCATATCATCGTCTTCATGGTTGATGATCTGGTGAGATATTCTGATGACGTTGAAATTTTCTTATCACTTTTATTGGAAGGTCTTTGTTGTCCTCTGTACATATTCGGCAAACGCAGGATACAATTATTGTATAATGTGAAAGTACCACGCGACGTGGTAATGTGATAAGCAGTTGCATGTCATCGATATGCCGAAGTTACATAATTTTCTTTTATAATTGCGACGCGACTGTGTTTCGAATTTGTCGTGTTATTTACTGATAACCGCAATGTAACAGCGATATAACTTATTTAAATATCACATCTTATATAACAAGCTTATCTTAACAATCTTATATAACAAATATATTTATACAACTGTGTTGGGTAACATTTTTTGTACGCAGTTATTAAATCGTTCGATAAACAGCCTTTGTTTCTCGTGTAATATATAAAATATGTTGTACAATCATAGTTGCGCTGAGAAATGGATCATTTATATGTTTAAGTTGCAATATTTTACAATATATTTATATATGTTGCCAACAGTATTTTACGATAAATATACAATATTTTAGTAATTTATGTAACTGTTGCATCAACTTTCGATAACTAAGCCAGCCAGCACAAACTTATTCATGGAATATCTACCGATCTTCCTACGAAGATTTGAATATTCTTAGAAACTACGTTTAAGAAGATCAGTATTCTAAGAATGTTCTTGTGTTTTCAAAAGTACATTATCTTAAATATTCTAATAATATTTTCCATGATTATTCCTATATATTCATAGAATATTCCATGCATGATTTGATTTTCTATCAAGGAATATTCTGCAGATATTGCAAGTATGCTTGAAAACAAAATATCGGTCGACTAAACTAACTTGCGTTGTTAAAATCGGTTCTATGATTTAAAAATTTGTAATTTTAATATATATATATATATATATAAAGTTTTATGTAAAGATGTATAAAATTGTTCGAAATTTTAAGATATAACTAGTTTCATAAAAACAATTTCATTTTCTTGGGAAAAAGTTAATATATAATTATATAAAATTGTACATGATTATGCAAAATTATATATGAATTTTGTCCATATATGGACATATCATATTCGACTATATATGTTCATATTTAATCATATTATAAAATTATTATACAGTTCACTTGAAGAACTCTGCCAAAGGCAAACCATCAATATTAATACCTACTTCAATTATTGCTATAGGTTTTTCATTAAAACTTTTATATTGTTGTTCAATAGCGTTTAGCATGCCAATATGACAATAATATCCTGGTTCAACAGGAATCAATATCGTAGATCTGGGAGTTGGCAGAAAAGATCTAGGATCTTTTGGGCAATGTAAAAATTCTTTGCTCTTTACGCAAGATAACATTTGTAACAGATGCTTCAAAGCCTCTTGCTTAATATTGTACTTCACTGCCCAATTTCTTAACTCATCTATAATATTAATATTAGTAGTTTGAACAGAATTTAAGTTTTTATCGTTTACAGTAACACTATGTGACTGAGATAAATCTGATTCATCATCAAGTATATTACATGTGGAAATATAATAGAATCTGACAAATTATCTTTATTGTTATTAATATATGTGTTACATACACTTGCATCACTAATATTAGTCTCTTCTAAACATCTAACATTGTGTACATTTGAATTAGATGCATCATCACAATTAAAATATTTAACATTGCTTAAATTTGAATCAGAAACATTATTATTTAAATGTTGCAATATAGAATTTATTGCAATACTTTCTTTCTCACAGTTCGATAAAAATAACTGTTCATCTTACGTTTTGTCTTTGGCATTGTTATTAAGAAGCTGCCTGCAAATAGAATTGAAATGCTAAAACATAACTTATCTATATTAATATGCTTTTTATCATTTCACTTATCTATGATACACTCCTATACACGCTTATATTATTCTAATTCTAATTCTAATTATTATTCTAATTCTAATAAATCGTGTCGTTAATTTATATCACTAATTGTATCTTTTTCTTGATATCAAAGTTCTCTGTGACGTTATTATAAACAAAGAGGCTTTTTTCCGTTATAAATTGGAACAGAGAGATTCACCTTGGGGTTTGCAACTGACAGACTATTGGTCTGTTTTTTTTAGCTGCACTACTGAACTGGTGCAATAAGTTAGAGTGAGAAAACATATTTTTCTCATTCTAACTTATTGCTTTAATTCAGTAGTGCAGCTAAACTGCATTCTGAAATTCATTGCCAGTACTGAAATTCTGTAATATACGTGACGTGAACTATAGATTTTAAATACTAGCAGTAAATTTCGGAATCGCAGCCTAAAAAAAATAAAGCATATGACAAATCGACAGAACTTACAAATCGCAATAGGTGCATTCAAGATTATAATTGCTTACAAGATTATTTTTCGAATATTCAAAAATAGAAGATCTTTGAATATTTGCAAAGTCATATTCGGCTAATATTCCATAAAGTGTACTTAATATAATTCTATTATGAATATTCTAAGCTAAATTACAGAGAAGATTTATATTCCTAGAATAATATTAGAATATTTATTTCAAAATATTCGAATACGAAGATTTATAGGACTTTGCAGGAATATTGTATGCTGGCTGGGGTCCGTGTAACGTTTGTGCGACAATTGTGCAACGTGCTACGTTTGTGCAATTTTTATACGAGTGAGAAATTGCAACTAACGTATGTCGCATTTACACGTTATATTATCCGTTACACTTCGTTAAATTACGACGACGTAACTGTTATATCCTCGCGCGTGTTTGCTGGGATACTTACATCCGATTTTATCTTTACGAAGAATTTGCGAGAAGTCGAGGGAGTTTGTCAAGGGGATGTTAGAGTTAAAAATCAATTTATTATTTATTATTTATCTAAGTGTTCATTTCACATCCAAAGACGAGGAATGATAAGCCCCAAAGCAGCTTCAGGAAATCGAGTGTCCAATTCTACAGAAATTGAACGAATCTCTCATTTCTCCCGAATTTACTTCAAAATTCACTTTTCTTTCTTCACAATGTATGCCAAGGCATCAGTGTTGGTTCAAAATCATGCTCACGCAACGATTTACATGACTGTCGTAATACATTACGTACGTTTGCTTTGTTCGCTTAATTCGGCCCGATTAATTCGCACGAAAGTATCCCGAATTAAAATTATCCTTAGTTAAGTCAATTATCGTGGCTCACGTATTGCCCACGCCTTAGCACGATCAACAAGTACGTCGTGAGGATTGTGACTCATTCCAACTATCCTGCGAATAATTCTTTACGCGTTAATTATAATTAAATTCGATCACGTATAATTCCGTCGTCACTGACCACATCCGATGCGCGCATGTTAAATAATCGACCTCTCGACCCCGTGAGGATACGCCACGCTCGTCAATGTATGAAAAGGCAACGACGGAATTCCGCGGTAGAAGTTTCCCGCGAGAAAATTGGGTCGTTGATACGTGTGTTTAGGGTGCGTTCGGAGAGACGTTATTAGCGTTACCAAAACATAAACATTTCAAAATTGTTCGTAGAATTACTAGCACAATACTGATAGCGAGCTCCACGAATAGCAAAAACACAGCATTACTGCCTTATAGCAACTTAAGAGGGGCATTATATGCGGAAGGCCGTTTTCGAGGCTATTTTTACGAATATTTTTAACAGAAACGGTAAGATCAATGGACATGAAATTTTCACAGTGTATTTATTAATGTTCAAAGTATAAAATAAATTTTATTGAATCACAAGAACCGATTCGATTTGTAATTATAGATAAAAATACAGTCATCCGTTTGCGAGCTCTATGTTTGCTATCGACGTAATTCCGGGTCTTTCACTACTTTGAAATCAAAAAATGAGAAAGATTTTTAAAAAATACAGTTGCCATTATAGCCCGTACCAAAATGAAGGCAGTGAGCCAAGTTTGGAAAAATAATGACTATACAAAAAGAAGTACCGAAAATGAAACTTTTTAAACTTATAATTATGTTTAAAAAGATGAATAAAATAAAATATAACTGTGTTCGAGGTAGGGGCGAAAACTACACTCTACTGTATATTGTGTCTACTGTATATTGTGTCTACTGTATATTGTGTATATTGTGTAAAAATTTCAAGTTATTCTGTTCAGTAATTTTTGCATAATCGTGTCGACAGTTTAAGAAAATGGTGTTTCCAAATAAACGCGTTTAAAGTTTTATGTGCACTTTCCATATAGATAGTAACAAATTTATTTTATACTTGAACATTTTATATTTGAACATTAATGAATATACACTGTGAAAATTTCAAGTCCGTTGATCTTACCGTTTCTGTTAAAAAATTTCGTAAAAATATTGAAAATTACCTTGAAAATTGCGTGTAATTCTTCCCTTAAACGCCTATTCGGTTTCAACATCCTAAAGATTTACTTCAACGCAATTGTCCACTACGCGTACGTAAATAATAGTAAAATAATAAATAAGGTTTACCGGTACCGTTTCACAACTATTCGCAGTTCGCAGCGTTTTGAGCGTTTACGGACATTGCGAACACCAACGCTATTAATGAAAACCTTTATCTTGGAAGAGATAACGTTGATATGACGACACGGTATTATTAGTGACGTCGTGATAATATTTGTAAGCGCTATCTAGCTCGGCAAACAGCCTGAAGCGCCAAACAGTGTTAGTAAAATACGTCGTTGAAGTTTGGAGCGTTCTTGGAGCGAAAATTGAAAATAGTTTTTATTTAACAAAAAACCACTTAATATAAATGTAAATACATATAAAAGATAAATTTGTGTTAAATATGACATGACATTATAAGAAAGTTGTAATTCTCGAAAATTACGCACATATAATCATTCATACAGATTATAATTATTTCCGGCAGTCACAGCGCTCTGTGCCAAAAACTGACAACGCATTTTCACTCTCTGGCATGTGGGAAAGAGAACAATTCGGCTGTCGGAATACGACGAGAATGAAAATGTTCCGGGACGAAATTGCTATTAAACTGACTTTTTTCTATTTTCCCACATGCCAGAGAATGAAAATGCATTGTCAGTTTTTGGCACAGAACACTGTGACTGCCGGAAATAATTATAATCTGTCTGAGTGTGGTGGTATGCACACAATTCTCGGGGAGAACGAAAGTGTTCCGGGACGATATTGCTGTTAAACTAATTTTTTTCTACTTTCCCACGTGCCAGAGAATGAAAATGCATTGTCAGTTTTTGGCACAGAGCGATGTGAGTGCCGGAAATAATTACAATCTGTCTGAGTGTGGTGGTATGCACACAATTCTCGGGTTGAACGAAAGTGTTTCGGGACGATATTGCTGTTAAACTAATTTTTTTCTATTTTCCCACATGCCAGAGAGTGAAAATGCGTTGTCAGTTTTTGGCACAGAGCGTTGTGACTACCGGAAATAATTACAATCTGCCTGAGTGTAGTGGTATGCATATCATATTCGTGGAGAACGAAAGTGTTCCGGGTCGATATTGCTATTAAACTAACTTTTTTCTTTTTTCCCACATGCCAGAGAGTGAGAAAGCATTGTCAGTTTTTGGCACAGAGCGCTGTGAGTGCCGGAAATAATTATAATCTGTATGAATGATTATATGTGCGTAATTTTCGGGAATTACAACTTTCTTATAATGTCATGTCATATTTAACACAAATTTATCTTTTATATGTATTACATTTATTTTTAAGTAGTTTTTTGTTAAATAAAAGCTATTTTCAATTTTCGCTCCAAGAACGCTCCAAACTTCAACGACGTAGTAAAATTGTCCTTAAAAAAAAGCGGCACCGTCGATTATCGGTGCGATACGACGCGGGGCAGATTGAGAATGACGCTCGACATTTTCAGGGCTGGAACGACGTCAGTTTCCACGGCTCGAATCAAATACCAACCCCGAATATAGACGCTCTGGGCTATAATGGAATTATATTAAATAGACATTATGTTTTACCGTCCAGCACACCCTCCAGGGCCGCCTTCTTCACTGGGCTGTATCCGATACGTATAGGTATGTGTCGAGCTTTCACTTCGCAGAGACGACGATTCGTGAAACGACTACGATATTTTTGTACCAATGTACTCCGATGTAAACTTTAAAGACTTTAAAGACAATTTCCTCTTCTTCCTAAATTCCGAGAGGTATTTTCGATGTCGACAAGCGTCCCGCGGGATTCGTACTTGAAGAAACAGCTAGCTTCTCACACTTAAATTCACCATGAGAACATTCGTGTGCAAGATGGGAAGCTTCTCTCTGAAATTATAAATTCTCTTTGTTGTCGGCACGATTTTATCACTGTATGAAAAGCACAATATCGCATATTGCAACACGTTGCAACATATCCCATAGGTATGCAGGGAGAAGGCATACAAGGTGGCGAGCCCAGAGGACTACCACTCAATATAAGGATCTTGCCGGAGTACCTACGAGGCTTAGGCTACACGACCAAGCTGATCGGGAAATGGCACGTGGGCTACCACACGCCTCAGCACACCCCCTTGCATCGGGGTTTCGACGCGTTCCTCGGCTTTTATAACAGTCACGTTTCGTATTATGACTATAGGTACTCGTATCAGGTACAGTACTCACACGTCGCGAATATATAAATTAATTTGTATTAATATTATATTAATATATATATATATATAAATTAATTATTATTAATATTATATTAATACACAAATTAATTATTTATATTAATTTATATTATATTAGTTATATTATAATTTGTATTAAATTCAAAGTTTAATTTAACATACATAAATATATAAACGCTTAGCGCGTTGATGCTCCGTATTTTCGAGTCGAAATGTGTTAACGACATTTCGCCGTCTTCTGTTTTACATTCTACATTACTTCTCGGTAAAATGCGGCGTTCAATGCGTGCGAAAATGGCGAATCAACACAAGACACCCGCAGATCATTACGGATATGCTCGGGACATTGTCTCTGAGACATTTCTCAGGACGGCCCGGAACATGTTCGAGATAATCCTGGGAGCTTCCTGTGCTATCTGAGCATTTAGCTTACAACGCTTTACTTTCTTACGTCGCTATATCTCGTTGCTTCATTGTAAACATTGTATACATGACAGAATATGAGCGGCTACGATATGCATCGTGGCGACAACCCGGCTTACGGTTTGAACGCGGAGTACGCGACGGACCTGTTCACGGACGAAGCGATGAAGATCATTCAACGCCACGAGCCGCCCCGCCCGCTTTATCTTCAAATCTCGCATCTTGCCGTTCACGCACCCATTGAGAGTCCTGACGATGATCACCGTAATTCCAACAGAGAACGCTTCAAGCACATTCCAGAAGTGAATCGTCGCAATTATGCCAGTACGTACGATCGATGGAACAGCTTTAGGTCCTTTTATAAGATCCTTTTAAGATCAAGAAGCCTCTGAAACTTTTACACTTAAAATACATATAAATGCCCGATATCATTATCTCCCGTCTTTGTTAGGCATGGTGACGCGATTAGACGAGTCCGTGGGACGCATCGTTCACACCCTGGGCAATCGGGGAATGCTGAGAGACTCGTTGATCCTCTTCCTCACCGACAACGGCGCGCCGACCATCGGCAAGTTCCGCAACTGGGGCTCCAACCTACCCTTGCGAGGCGTACGTATCATAACTGAACACTGCGTTTCTGCGTTCGGCCACTTTCACGGCGATATCTTGTGTATTTACGTCGCGACAGATGAAGTACACACTGTACGAGGGTGGCGTGAGAGGAGTCGCCGTACTTTGGTCGCCGAGGTTGCGCAAGGCGGCACGGGTGTGCAACGAACTGGTGCACATCACCGACTGGTTGCCGACCTTCTACTCGGCTGCTGGCGGCGACCTGAAGGACCTGGGGGAAATTGACGGGGTCAACCAGTGGCGGATGCTGAACGACGGCGAGCCGGTAGCTAGGCAGTCGCTGTTGCTGAACATTGACGAGGTCTCCAGGACCGAGGGCGCCATATACAAATCGTTCAAGCTTCTTCGGGGTACTGTTTTCTATCCTGACTCGAGCCGTTGCACAATGCGACGACATGAAGCACGACACGCGAAAGTAAATACGTGCAGATGTGTTTCTTCGAGAAATTTTATTTTTATGATTTACAAAATATCGTGACGGGAAATGAGAATTTTTCCGGCACGGAAAGCCGGAAGGGATGAGGCAGGCTCACGTGAAATTCCTAAATTGTGCAGCTCCAGAGACTTTGATCCTTCTTGAAGAAATATCCGGCCGGGTAAAATATCGCGTGCGCCTCGCGTTTGAGGAATGTTGACTCACGAGGAATCCTTATTTCAGGATCGATCGAGGGCGGACATTACGACGGGTATCATACGATTCGCGAGCCGTCTTGGATCGAACACGTTGAGCACAAGAAGAACGAACCAACCGAAGTGCCGTCGTACACCGAGACCGTGCTGAAGAGTTTGGTGTCGCAGAGTATCACTTACCACCTGGGCGGTCCCGTCACTCAACCCAGTACGATTAATCAATTACGGCAGGAAGCCACAGTCCATTGCAGATCCAACGGCAGTTACAACAGGTTCACCACGTGCAACGTCACCGAGTGCCTCTTCGACATCAACAACGACCCTTGTGAGACGAAGAACATCGCTCAGCAGTACCCACGGGTGAGGAGAACCAACCTGACTGAGCCGTACGATTCATCATATCTTGCCGCTAATAATGATAAAACTTCACTCGCGAGCTTTTTAGATTGCTCAATTTTCCGAAAGATTAAGCGGTTCCGCTATTTGCAGTTTTGTTGCGATTCTCATGTTTCAGTCCCCGATTTGAACAATCGCATAGTGTTTTGTCGGTGGAGAACCTCGGTGTTGACCTAACTCCGGTTCAAGCTTTTGTCACCTCGAGAGTCTGACTCAAGCGACAGCAAGACTTGGTGAGACCCGGCCAAGCCGACGTCTCTGTACGCTCATTGTTCTTTTCGCAGATCGCCCGGGAGTTGGACCTGTTCCTCGAGAAGTACGGACGCAATGTCACCAGACAAATGAAGGTGCCGGTGGACTGGCTGGCCGATCCCAGGAGGACGAACGGCACGTGGGAGCCGTGGATGACTCCCGGTGAGATGCTGTACGCGTACAACATGGCGGCGGCCCACTTGGTCCACATGGCGTACTGCGTCCACATCGGTATCATCCTCGCGACAATCGCGTGGAACGCTTTTATTTGAACAATTTTTAGTAGCGCACGAACACATCGGGGCACTCGAGTTGCGTCCCGAAGTTCGCGCTGCCAATAGCGTTAGGAGATCTACAGTATACGAAGAGTGCACGTAGATTTCATCAATGAATCGGCAGTGAATATCGCGACGCAGCCTCCATCGGTGCCTCCATCAGTCGCTGAGTCGCGCGACTTTTAAATTCGTCCTTGAGCTTTGAAGAAAATACGATACCTTATCCCTTTTCCTTTCTTCTCCTTTCCCTTTTTCGTTTCGTAATTAAAATATTGCAATCAATTATGTATCTGTTCGGTTATGTTTGAGTTGAGCACACAATTGCCGCTACATTTACATAGTAATTCAGTTTCGTAATCCAATTGCCAACGTACTTTCAATCCGCCACATTATCATATGTCGGAATTTTATGAAAGTCGTGATCAACGTAGCAATCTACCTACGTTCTACGGCTTGAGGAAAGAAAAGTGCAATGCGAATAAACAGCGTGATATCGCGGCAAGTTGACGCGGAACGTGACCAAATAAATCACGGAGCATATACACGTGGCCTGGCCATATACGTAAAATTCGAACTAAGTCCCAGCGGGAATTTCTGACGAACCAAGTCACGACATTTCAACGGAAGCAATATCGATTATGGTGAAACACAAACTACACTCGTGGTCGCGCGATGTCAAATTGAACTTATGCAAATGACGTTTTTGTCGCAATTTAATATTTATTACCTACCGGTCTCGAAATAACGTTTGCACACAAGATAGATACTAAGACCGTCGTGATGCAAGCGGTGTTGTGTAAAAGGTTTTTCCGCCATGTATCCCACAAAGCTACGTTATGAAAGGAGAAAGAGGAAGAAAAAATCGGGCTACCTTTTTCGAGCTACCTGATGCAGCGGCGAGCTTACATTTTCTCCCGTGCTCGCGGTGGCTGATGCAGTTTTGATACAAAATGACGGTCATCTATATCATGCCGGTCATGAAATACATAGATATAACCTTGCGTTCAAACCCGTTTTACTTTACTTGTTATGCATGTTCGTCGTACAGTTGAAAGTGGCCGTAAGAGCGATTATCGAAAGGATTAATTCTTCTTCGGCGAATTTTTTCTGTACATATCGGAGTGCGTATCATTGAGTTTTCATCAAAATTTGAATCTTATCGTAACTTTTATCTAGAGTTAATGAATTGCCAACAGAATTAAACAGAATTAACTTACATAAGAGGATTGTACCTTTATCGTATCTCAACGTTATCTAACTGATTGTAACTGTTTGAGCATTGAAATCCATTAAGATACTAATTTTTGATGGATAACATTCCCGATATTGTTAAGCTTTGTTTAATTTTCCTCTTGAGGTAAACAACGAAGATCAGACGTGATGCAGGAAATGATGTTATTATAGTACACCTCTTATGATTAATACTTTATGGATAATATGATACAGTTATGAATAATTACAAGGGATGGTGATAAGAAACAAGGGAAAGTAATACATTAATCTTTTCTCCATGACGACATAGAGACAAAATTATCTTTTTTGTTAGTAACAGTTTATAATAGTTAATAGTTAATAGTTTAAACAAATAATAGTTTCGGTAGTAACAGGTAGGTTTCGTTAATAAGGATAACGCACTTACATTGTTTGATTTATCGTTACTTCATGTTGAAGAAACTTTGTTCGCGATCACCGTGCATAAGTATGCAAAGACGATAACAGTCGCTATTATTATATTACAATATAATAATTACAATATAATTACAATATAAATAGAATAATTACAATAGAAATGACGCAATGAGTTTGCAAGAAAAAAAGGAACGTTTTCAAAAATTGTAGAGTGGAACTAAAGAAGTGAACGGTAACGGTTCGCTACTTCTTGCTAATAATCATAAAGGAAACGTTACTTTTAAATATTCTCAAATTCCTAACGTAATACGAATTATAATTATATAAAAAAAATCGTATAGTACATATAATATAACATAACCTAAGCTAATAATGATATTTAATCGCCACCAGCTGTTTATAAAAGTATGAGAAAATTGCATTAATAAAATACCTCAATCCGGTACAAATTTCATTAATTGTGACTGTTTTTTATCATTATAGCAAGATCGTAATTCACGGTTAAATGATTAAACTGTTATTACTTAAAACGATACGCCGTACATCGATTTCAGTGTTTTACCCGATATAACATCGTAACAATTATGATTGGCGTGAACGGAAAGTTGAAGCCACAATAGAAAATATTGTGACAGCTACATAAGCATACCGGACTGTAAAATAATTTTTTTGACTGCAGTCGACTCGTCTCAGTTTTCTTCGTAATATCTTTTTTTGTCATATTGTTCACAGATAGTCCAGTGTAAACGTGATAAATGAGAAAATCTTCGTGAATCTCAATGTACACTGCTTACATGATATCGTTAATATCTCGTAACGTTTGCCAAGTAATGTTTGAAAAAGTTATTGGAATTGCATTTATACTTTCTGACATACCGATAACCATAACAGAGGTGCATTATAGTCTTCGTTGAATTTGTAAACTAATCCCCACTAGTTTCGACCGGTCAAGAGTAGAACTTGGCGTATCGCCTGAAAAGTCGTTCACTAAGTATATCGGGAGACACCGAGAGGAAAGGACCTAGGAAGAAGAAATTGCGTTAAGCGCGAGGAAGATGAATTCGAGATACGCATGGATCGTCTTAGTGCTGTTATTCATCTTCGTGTGCGATGTCATTTTGAAGAACATCTCAAGAAATTCACAAGCAACTTCTAAGCAACCACCCAACATCGTCGTCATCATGGCCGATGATCTCGTAAGGAATTATTGTTGTAACTATTGCAATGGAAAACACTCGGTTCACGCAACGCAGCTAATCAAGCTTGAGAAATAACGCTTTTTTTGTTGCTTATAACGCCGTTACCACTGCTACAAGGGACTTTTCTTTCAGTTCAGCTTGTTAACGATGTTAATTTTTCTTATTAACAGAAATAACAAAATAACAAAATTACTGCTAAGTAACGATCATGAACTTCGTTAAACATCTTCCTCACGCAATCGAATTTTTTATTTCAAACATCGCAGTTATCAATTTTAATTGGCAAATTACGCGTTCGGATATCTTAGGGAATTTACACAAAGTTATGCGCAAAAAGGCGCAGACGACAGGTGGTTGAAATTCTTTATAATAGGCGCGCGAGTGAAAAGAATATATATGCACAAGTGTGTATATATATGCACAAGTGTGTATATATGTGTGTACGAATTCCATGCGATCAGTCGATTTGCGGCATAAATTAATATGATTAATCATATTAATTTATGCCGCTATTATATACACGCTATTATATATTATATATACGACTATTTATGAAAGACTCTTTTTCTTTATACTTGCTAATTACGACTTTCGTTAATTAAGGGATGGAATGATGTCAGTTTCAATGGCGGTGACGAGATTCCAACACCGAACATAGACTCTCTCGCCTACAACGGAGTAATATTGAACAGGCATTACGTACTACCAATATGCACACCGTCGAGAACAGCTTTCTTCACCGGCCAGTATCCTATCCGATCAGGTAATCTATTAATTAACATGATTAGTTACGTATTTCATTTGACTTCCGAATTACCGCCGCGCCCGTTCCGGATTTATTTCCGACGTCTTCTGAGAAATTGAAATGTTTCTCGCGAACATTTCAGTTCACTTCTTCAGGACGAGGAACACCCAGAAACTGTCCTCTGGAGGAGTTCCTCCACCTGAACTGGAATGTCCAAAAAAGAAACGTTGGAAACAAATCCAAAATGGATGCGGCACCCGAAAACCGAATAAAATGTTTCTCTGCACCGCAAAAGACTAAAATCACAACTAAAACGCGATGTTGCGCGGTTTCGCGATTTTTCGCGCATTTATCACAGCTATCGCGGTGTAAGTTCGAATTAATCTTCATCTAGACTCTAGAGCGATATCTTTCCATATCACTGTTTTATTTGAAATAGACAGAAAGGAAGTAGGTTAAATGATCGAGGCTATTGATAATAATGATTGCCAACTAAAAAGCAATTTCTTTCTACTTAGCAGCTATTTCCTCATTGCGCAACGTATATAATTTTGCGTCGCAACATAAAAAAATCTTGATAACAATAACTTATAGCAATAATAATAATAACGGCAAGAGTAAAGCAAGCACAGTTTACAATGGTGGTAAATTTAGTTTACGACAGTAAACCAAAATTGAACGTTCCATTGTTTACAACCTACAGGTATGCAGGGATATCCCTTGCAAGGAGCGGAGCCACGCTCTATACCGTTGAACAACATCTTGCTGCCTCAGTACCTTCGTAAGCTTGGCTACGCCACTCATCTCGTGGGGAAATGGCACGTGGGCTATCAAACGAATAATCATACACCCACGAATCGCGGTTTTGACACTTTCCTTGGCTATTATTCCGGCTACATCGAGTACTTCTCTCACAATCTCGTCGAGAACGTGAGTTTCGATTACAAGATCGACGAAAAAAGCCTTCGTTAAGTAATTATGATTAGAATGAGTGTTTTCGGTTACAGAGCAACGGCTGTTGCCCAAGTTACGCTCTCACGTCAGGTGATTTTATAATTATTTTGAATTTTAAGATGAGAAATCAGTAACTCATTGGAAATAAAAGTCACTAATAATAAATCAATAAATTAATAAAAATAAATCGGATAGTCCAATTTACATATTCCTTATTAATATGGTTCCTTATTAGCAACGAATGTTGTTTCACAACTGTTTCATAAATTAAAAAAAAATATATTTGCTAAGAATATAAATGCGTAGAAGAGCAGGTATGTTAAATAGTCGGATTTCAATAGTATGGAAATCCAGTTTTCTTATTGACAAAATCTCCTTGACTTTATTAAAAATAACTACGACCTTTGAACAACAAAAATAGGATGATAAAAAATAACTGTGTACTTGCTAGTAGCAAGTCCGTCACTAAATTCGCAATACTGACTACTAAACATATTTATTATTTTCTTAATGGTTAATAATTTCTTTTTCTATAAATAGCTAAGATTTCTCATCTTAAAAAAAAAATTGAAAGAACTCGAAGCCTGACGTGATGGAGCAATTTGACCAGTGGCATCGTTTTTGGCGACCAGAAATCGCGAATGCAACACGTTTATTAGATCATCCGATAAGAAAATTTTCGTCAAATAATTCCTATCTCACAAGGGAACATAGGGAACTCGGAAATTCCAAAAATTCTGAAACTTTGTGTGGAAGTAAAGTAGTTCATCCGTAATGCAAAACTATTTTTTTCATGCGGAATTTCAGATTGAAGGGGTGAAACTATCCTTCGAAAAAAAAACCATTTCTATTTTTAGCGTATATCTTTTAAAATACAAGGCATATGCAAAAATGGTTTATATGAAAGTTGTAGTGTATTTCATACTCTTTGCAACTGTATTCAGATTTTGCAAAATTGAAAAATTCTTGAAACCCCCTCCCCCTTTTCATTACTTTCAAAAATATTTAAGTTGTTCTTAGGGCAAAAATAAAGAGCATCGTACATCAAATTCATCCATATACAACAATAGAAACTGGAGACGATTACATTTTTTAGAGATAGAGATAATTACATAAAGCTGTAGACGCCGCGCTGCATCTTTTATTATTGATTCGTCATCCAGGAAGATCGCTCTTCAATTCGAAGGACCGGTATTGATTTTCTTGATCAGCACGTCCTAGCTGACGCGGTAATCAAAAAGACGGACGACATCACCGTGGCGCATAACAATATGGATGAATTTTATATACGATGCTCTTTATTTTTACTCCGTGAGAACGAACATTTTTGAAAATAATGGGAAGGAAAGAGGGGGTTTCAAAATTTTTCAATTTTACAAAATCTAAATATATAGTTGCAAAGAGTATGAAATACACTACAACTTTCATATAAACCATTTTTGCATATGCCTTGTATTTTAAAAGATATACGCTAAAAATAGAAATGGTTTTTTTTTTTTTTTCAAAGGATAGTTTCACCCCTTCAGTCTGAAATTCCGCATGAAAAAAAATAGTTTTGCGTTACGGATGAACTACTTTACTTTCACACAAAGTTTCAGAATTTTTGGAATTTCCGAGTTCCCTATGTTCCCTTGTGAGATAGGAATTATTTGACGAAAATATTTTCTTATCGGATGATCTAATAAACGTGTCGAAGCATTCACGAGCCTCGGAGATATGCTCGCTGCAGAATAACGGAGAATAAAACGTTGAATTCTAGGGACAATCGGGTTACGATATTCATCGTTCAGTCGGCGACAACCACACGATCGAGTACCGATACGATTACATGACCGACCTCATCACCGACGAGGCGGAAAATATCATTTCGTCGCACAACCCCGCGAAACCCCTGTATCTGCAATTGGCGCATCTCGCACCTCATGCATCCACCGTGGACGACGTCATAGAAGTACGCAGTTGGAAAGCAACAAACGATACTCTCGGCTACATCAGGGACATAAACAGAAGGAAGTTTGCGAGTACGTAAACCTCTCGTTGTCGACCGAGCCGTCGTTTACACGAACGACGTTCTGTCTACCAATCGCGAACACTGAAGTCTCAAATGAGACAAAGTGTGTTCTTTATTTCAGGTGCCGTCGTCACAATGGACGAGTCGATCGGTCGAGTGGTCGACGCTCTGAGACGCGCGGATATGTTGAAGAACTCTATCATCGTATTCATGAGCGACAACGGAGCGCCAACGAAGGACCAAATTCTGTATAATTTCGGATCTAATTATCCTCTGCGCGGGGTAATTCTCTGCAGATTCTCGTAAGCGCGTTGCAAGAGCCAGGAGTCGCGCATTTTTTGGCTCGAGCGCTGATATAACGACTACTTTCGTTACGTTCTATGCGAGCGTGAAGTGCTATAGTAGCGTTAGAACATCACGGGAGTAGCCATATACGTGAAAATATTCCAGCAATTAACACGCTCGATTATTAACTTTCCCTTTCGTAACGGCACTTTTTAGATGAAACAGAGTTTCTTCGAAGGCGCTGTGCGCGGTGTAGCGTGCATCTATTCACCACTGATCGATTTCCCGTCGAGGGTCTCCACGCAGTTGTTTCACATTACCGATTGGCTGCCGACCTTGTATGCCGCGGCCGGCGGTGACGCGAGCGATCTGAAAGCTCTCGACGGTATCGATCAGTGGTCCATGATCAAGAACGCGGATAATGGCAGACGGCAATTCCTTCTAGTCAACATCAACGAGAAGACTGATAGCAAGGCGGCGTTGATAGGACGATACAAACTTATCAGAGGTACACGCACGTTGGTGTTTGCGTAGCTTTCTCGTTTCACTCGTTATCCCTCTCGTCGGATTTTCAGTCGGCTTCTTCAGCCTCATCATCGATTTTTCGAAGTTGTGATAACGATTGTATGACTTTTATTTTGTCGCCGTCGATACAGATCAGTCTGAGTACACCAAATACTATGGCTCCACTGGTAAGGACCCCTCGTACTGCGAATACAATGTGACGAACGTATTAGCATCGCCGGTCGCATCAGCCATCGCCGATATCTCTCGCTCTTCGTTGGATATTGATAAAATTAAGCAACTGCGAGAAAAAAGCAGGGTGGTCTGCCGGGTTTCCAGGTTCTCGAGATGCACGAAGCGTACTTGCCTATTCGATATCAAAAAGGATCCTTGCGAGACTACAAACGTGTCGTCCAAGTATCCAAAGGTGATAACTGTTCATTTAAAGTACAACGATGTACGGTGAAGTATGGAAAGATAATACGTTATATAATCTATAATAAATGAAAAGTAAAGAGCGTATGATATATAATATCAGGGGAGAGGGGGGGGGGGTGATTGTGACAATTCCACGCGTATAGAAAGGAACGAAAATAATAACGAGAGAAAATGAAACTCTCGAGTAGAATTGAACGTTTATATTTGCGATGAAGCTTTCTCAAGTGTCCGTCGAGCACAAGTCAATGCGCAGGAACTGGCGCCATCAGCGAGATCTTGAAGACTTATGAGAGGAAATATCGGTAATATCGAGCGCGTTTTTACGCGAGGATCTGCGGTTAAAAAATGTCGATTAACGTTGCATGCTAATGTTTTATGATTCTTACGACACACTGATATACTTTCTTTAAAAATTAATGACGGTTCTTGGCACAAACGCAATCGCCGACGCAATAAAGCATAAAGTCATGAGCGTTTAAGTATATCCTGCAATACGTCGCCAAGAAAAATTAAAAAAATTAACAGCACATTCCATCGGTATATATGAAATCACGAGTTTGTTTTGTGAAAAGAAATCGTTGAGGGAAGAAATGTAACGTGTGAGAGTTATTATGTGAACGATCGTTCGACACGGACGGAATAGAAGAGGTGGTGGTTTAAATGTACGTCGTTAAATTTGCAGATCCTGAAGAAACTAAATGCGTTGATCGATAGCTATCAATCGATCCTAGTAAACCAGACGAACAAGCCCGTCGATCCGGCCGGCTTCCCGTGCAATTTTAATGACACTTGGATGCCGTGGCTGCCGATGGACTATCTGCCAGCAAAGAGCGCGTAAAGAATGACGTGTAACAAAAAAGAGATAAAATGCTACTTACGTCCCAAGGATACGAGCAGAGAGAAATAAAAGGGTGCGTGCGTTTGCGTTGTGTAAATGTAACAGGTAATAAGACGAGTTTTTATAGTAAAACTATAAAAACTATACTAAAAAATAGTAAATTTCATAGTAAAATTATGAAAAAAGTTTGTTTAGTAAAAAGAAAACAACTGGATATTTTGCTTCCACACCACGACCTTAGAAGTTCCGTCTAATTTGGCGGACGACAACGCGCAGGAATGAAAACGTCAATAAAAACCGCTGTAAAACTTCGCTCATTTCCGATTTCGACGTTGCGAATTCCGCGAAGAACGTGGACGAAGATCGCGTTTCTGATTTTTTCGTTCATGTTCGGTGAAAGTGCGACGTAAGTCTTCCGGCTCTTTATTAGCGGGCTAGCCGGTGTCGAACGTGGGGGTTGACGTGAGGGTGGCAAAAAGTTAGTTATTTATCGTCAGAGGGACAAAACTCTTCTTTCCGTCCGGCGTTATTGTATAGAGATTATGCAGATGGGACCGCGGCCGGGGGAGGTTGATATCTATTTAATTACCGAGATGGTATTAATTAATCGTGTCCCATGCAAATAAACAGTTTCGCAGTTTTGCGCGCTCGTCTCGAACGCGAATTTGCTGAACCTTCGGCCAACTCGTTCGCGCGAGTTCCTATTTACCGGGTGAATGCAACAATGTTGGTGGATTTCGTGATGGAGGAATGAACCGAGTAATTTATTTGAAAACGATTTATTCACTCTGGTAATTAAATAATCATCATTGTTCACTATCAACTCTCGCCAACTTCTCGCCAGGTAGAAGATACAATAAATCGTTCTTCCTAAAATTACTTCCACTTTTTCTACCATGAGACGTGTCCAAACTTTTGCGCTCATCCGATATCTCCATTTATCGGCTATAATAAACGTGTAAAAGGTACTCGAGTATTTCCCCCGTGGATGATTAACTGTCTCTTTATCCGCGATTGACGCAACCGTTTTGCAGGAGGACAGCTTTCGAAATATACTGAACCCAAGACATGGTCTAATTTGTCATCGGGGGAAATAAGTACTACGCGCACTCGAACGTTCCATTGTCCTCAACGACTCGACCGACGAACGGAGCGTTCCGTTCACCATCTCAAGGTGCGACCACGCAATGCCTCGGAGGTTTACTCGAGGTATAGAGCCTCGACGGAAACGCGAAGACGCCATGGCGATGTCGAGTGTTATCAGCCAAATCTTCCGAATCTGCCGCAATTTGCAAGGAGGCACGAGGATCGGGCAGAAGGATATCTTCCAATTAATTCCACATGTACGCAAGAGTTACGGCGAGACACGCGGCGAGGTAGGGCGGGGAAGCCCTGAGCTGGAGCCGCGTAACCCTTCACTTAGCGCGCGCGGTCCATTTCTCATCTGGCGTTTAATATTTCGAACACGGCCATCTTTTTTAAAGGTTCTTTACTACCGCTCCTCGCGGGTATGCGCGAGGGACGCAGGCTCTAAATTCTAATCTAGGACGAAGCAGCGAGGGGGAGGGGGGGAGGAAGAAAGAGGAGGCTGGCTTGCGTTCTTCCTCCGCTTCTTTTATATCCCCGAGGCTCGGCTTTACGGCTCATTTAGCAATTCGCTTATTTGCGGGCAAGAAGTCGGCAAGCGCGCGTACGCGTACGTGGCTTTACGCTTTGTTTGTGCGTAATCACGGGAGAGGGATGGATGGATGGATGCTCGACGGCAAGGAGGACAGCGAGAGGAGCAGCAAGAAGAAACGAAAGGGAATGGGAGAACGAGTGACGGAGGGACGACGAGCGGCGTAGAAGAGGTTGGGGAGGAGTACCTTCGTTCTCTACAATCGCAGGGAGGGTTTGGAGTTTAAGTCGCTTTTAATAGCGAAGCAGCTGTCGCCGGATCTGCTTGTCCCTTTTTTATGGCCGGTGTCTTCTTCTTCGGCGAATAATGCCGGGAAATAATCTGAAACGCGAAGGAGCCGCTCCCTCTCTGTCTCCTTCTGCCTCTTTCGGTCTCTCCTGTGGGGGGCAAACTTTTCCGCCAATAAAATGCCTCTATCCGTTTATTCCTGGTACCCAGGATCCTTCGTCCTTATTAACTCATTATGTACCTGTCTGATCGCGTGTGTCTGATCGTCTTTAACGAGATTGCGCGCGCACGCTGTGTTCTATTATAGAAAATTCAAGTTGTTTGCTCGTTCGCAACGTCGATCGTACAGTTTGCTCGCTCTGAAGTTTCTTTCAGGATTTCAGAACGGTGATCGTTGAAGTATATGACGCGGTTATACATATCTTCGAAGTTGAACGTTCGTAGGAAACCATCTCGACTAAAAGCATAAATACGTAGACGCCAATCGTGCGAATTCGCCGAGAAGAGTCGGTATGTAGAGATGCATATGCATCTCTTCCTACTTATTTCAACTTAAAAACTTATATTTAGGAGAGAAAATATATCCCGACGTCTCGCGTATCAATTTAGCTTCGATAAGCGGACTCGATATTCCTTCTGAGAAGCGGAACAGTCTCGCCCGCGGGGGGTGCAGTTTGCCGGAATAAAACCAGGAAAAGCATGCAGAGGTTACTCGAGATCGTGCGCGAGCACACGCATGAGAGTGAGAGAAGAGAGAGAGAGAGAGAGAGAGAGAGAGAGAGAGAGAGAGAAGGGAGAGGATAATTGGACAAATAATATCAATAACGGTAAACACAGAGGCGTGAAATTTACGGCGCGCACAGCATGGAAATCTCGCGGATCCGGCAGCGCGTTGCGTTCACTCGTCCACGGTTCTTAAATTAATGAGGTGTAAACGCATTGCGCAAACCGCACGAGTGTCAGTCGAAGTAACGTTGCCATTTGTTGGCCGCGCCGGCGCAACGTATAAACAAAGATATTCCTACTTTTGTCCTGCACGCGCGCGCGTGCGGCAATTGCGGTATTCTCGCGCGCGCGCGCGCACGATGATCGCCCGCGGCGAGAAATCCGCCGTTTCTCGGAATACTTTTGCAATATCGCCGGCAATAATTGCCCGGTGCATTTGTGCGCCGCACGTTTCCGAGGCTTGCGAAAGCAAGCACCAACACCTGCCTTTGGATTTTTCATTGATTTCCTAACGAACGGCCGAGCAGCGCGCGCGCGCGCGCGCGCGCTGCTCGGCGCTCATTATCGCGATTTTACAGTTGGAGCACGCGGAGAGACACTCGAGCGCGTCGGTGCCGAATCGCCGCGGTGTCATAATTCACCGCAGATAAAATTACACACAGTGCGTGAATTAAGCACTACCGTAATAAATTCGTTTCTCCTACGAACGGCTGTTCCTCCCTCTCGGACGATTGCTCAACTTTCTCCTCGCCTGCTTGCCCTGTTCGTCCAAGTCCCCAAAATTCGACGTTCACGTCGGTTGTATTGAACGCGGCAACGGGCGAGCCAAATGCGCGTGTTGGCGATGAGGAGAACGGAATTCCTGCTTCTCGAAACCGATAATTTGATTCACGAGAGGCAGAAACCCCGTTTCTTCCAAGCAAAGCGCCTTCATTCAACCGACTTTTCTTCGCGCGCACACATTCTCCCCTTCTGGCGCGATCGAGATGATGAAGCCGATGCACCGCCGTTCAATCGCGCTAACGTTGATATTCTTCATTGGATGCTGATGCCCTTTTACCGGAGCGCCCGCGAACCGAGTCCTTTTTACGCGGGGCGCGCGGCGTTTTCTCAGGGTTATACCGCTGCGGGCGGACCCGCTGCTCGCAGGATTGCGCGTGCGGGGACCGGAGGGTGAATAAGTCCGAGCCGAAACTTAACGACGTAATGAACCTCTGACGGAGGATTATTTATCGACGGCAACGGGGCAGCGGAAGGGTCGACGTTCCACCAAGGAGAGGGAAGGGGAGCGAGCAGGGGGGGAGGGAGAAGGGGGCAGGGAAGACGAACGATCGACACCGTGGACAAAATTGGCACGGTAATTAGCGCGGGACTAGAGGGCCCGTGACTTTCTCTTAATTGAAGTGTACAATACGAAATTTGCTTTCGCTAATTACGACCGATGATTTGTCGATTCGGGATAACAGGCGCACGCGTTAGGAAATGGAGAGCCGTGCCTGGAGAAACGGAGAACGGGAGGATATACAAAGCGCGCGCGGCGAATTATCGATTCTTATATACAATATTTATAACGATGAATTATAGTTGTGTCAAATGAGCCGCGGTCAATTAGACGCGGGCCGGAATACAAATCGAGAAACAGCACGACGCGTCGGACTCTCGGGACAAAGCACGTCGACCTTCTCCTCCGTACGAGGCGGCTGTGTAATTTTCGTGTGAATGAAATTCGGTGAAGGGACGTCTGGAAGCGGAAAAGGCCATCCCGGGGAAATCGCGTCGGCGTAAAGTATAATCAAGTTGAATGGAGGCAGAGGAAGAGAGATTTATATAGGAAGATACACTCTCCTTTATACACGGAGGGACTCGCTGAGGTCGATACTCGTTCGAACTCGATCAAGCGAGATGGCACCGATCTTTAAATGGTAGAGGCAGGGATAAATTGTTTTGGCTCCGCCCTGTAGTAAAACAAATGATCACAAAGATACCGCCTGCTCGTTAAAGTCATTCCCGCGAAGGTGGTCTCGCTCTCGCTCCCTTCGTTCTGTCTTTCCTCCTCTCTTCCTCTCTCTTTTTCTTCCTTTCTCATCCTGCTCTCTTAGGATATTCCTCGTTACGCGAGGTGTATAATTTTCGACAGAGCCGAAAGCGTTAGGAAAACGTAGCGCCTCGACAAAGCTCATCAGCGAACGAGAAATAAATAAGTCGCGTCTCTTCGCGAGCGGTCAGGCTCTTTTTGAGCGCATTAGCGTTTCAAGTTAACGAAAGAACAATAGTCGTTGATGAATTTTACTCCTCTCGTGACTCACACATTTTCCTCATCACAACGAGATTTCTTTGAAATTCGAAAGCATCTTCTCCTGTGAACACATATTTGCTCCGGGGAAAACATTTCTCCTGATATACTTTTATACAAAATTCAACGTGAATCGTGCTCGCGCGATTAACCGTCGAGCCAAAAGCCTCCCGAGATCGCTCGAAATTGATCGCGAACTTTAACAAGGAAGAATTTCGTTCGCCGTCTGTGAGAACTTGGTTTCTAATTGCTTCCTAACGGAGAGTCGAGTATCGTAATTAAATCGGCTAATGATGAAGATTAGTTAGCTACGCTCAAATTTCCAATTCCAAGTTCTAAGATTCGGATTTCTGAAACCTATTAGACGTTTAAAGGAGGAACGACTCCCGAATTCTTTCGGGCGGCATAGATTCTCGGCTACGAGAGCGCCGGGGTTAACGGCAAGTCGCTCCTCCGCTTCTTCGCTCACGACGGCGACCGGCATCCCCGTGTCGATCACCGTGGCTCCTCGTTCATCGAGGCAGGAGGAGGCCAAGTAGGAGGCGAAGTAGGAGGAAGTGAAGTAGTAGGAGGACTCCACCACCACCGTCGGTTGGCAAATCCTGCGGGACTGCTCCGACGGACACCTGTAAGCACGCAGACTCCCTGCAGCGCCGGACGTACGGTGCCACGGGCAAGAGTCCGCCGAAAATCGCCGCACAGATCCTGAAGGATCTTCGCGTGCCCGCGTCGAGCCGCTTCTCTTCCTCCGCTACGCGGATCACCGCGCGAGTGCCCCGAGTGCCTGGTGCGCGTGTCGGATTTTTCATTCGCGGCTCGCGATCCGTCGCCGAGACAAACAAAGAGAGAGAGAGAGAGAGAGAGAGAAAGAGAGAGAGAGAGAGAGAGAGATAGAGAGAGAGAGAAAGCTCTGTCTGCGATTTTCGAGCGCGCAGAGATTCGAAGACGCGGCCTCGGAAGAATCCTCGAATCCCGGGGACGTTGCCTCTCGCCGGGACAACGCAGTGCGTCGCAGGATCCTAGAAGATTGCGAGCGCGACTTCGACGCGTACCCACGTGTTCCCCGGTCGCAGAAGCCCGTCGGCGCGGAGTTCTCTTCATCTTCGTCAGCGACCGTCGCTTCTTCGTCGCGGAAGTCGCGGAGATCCATCGGTAGTCGTGACTCGCGGCGAGTTTCGCGCATAAACGGCCCCGGAGTGTGTTTCGTCCTCGTCTTCGTCGGCCGTCACGGCCGACTTTCGGCCGCGGGGATCTGTCATCTGCTTTGTCGCGAATTTGAATATTCGTTTGCAGGCCGCGTCAGCTCGGTGTTAACTTCTCAGACGTTAGCCGCAAGTCACCGCGTGCAATCCGGGGGATTGGCAAACTTCGTGTATCTCGTGTTTCCAATCGTGCGGTAATCAGACTCGCCAGCTAATCAGAAATCCACGTCGATGGGGAGATTCAGTTTCCAGTGGAGTTTTTGCATGCGAGACACCTCTTGAGACGCGCGGCGCGGCACGTCAGCGAAAAAACTGCTCCGTCTTTATCGATTATCCCGATCGCGCGGGAATGAGAGGTTCGCGAGAATATCCGAAAAGTAGACTTGATCAATAATTGAATGCAACGTGTTAAAATACGTATAGTGACATCGATGTAGGGCCGATCACTTCGCGTATGCTCAGGATGTCGCGGGGACGGTAAATCAGGAGAGACGCGCGCTCTTTTCGCGGCGACTACGCGAGGAGATCAAGACAGAGATAGCTCGTCTGAGAGAGCTTCGCTTTCTTCGCGAGCGAGAGGAAAACCCGGCGGCTCTCGGACTGCGCGCGACCACGACGAGGTAGAGAGCGATGGGCACGAGCAAGAGGTGCCGCGTCTTCGCGGAGCGATTCGCGCAGCATCGACGGACGGCCGGCGGTCTCTGAAGGAGATCGTCCGCCGACGGCGGCAAATCGTCTTCGCGGCTTCTGCCTTCCACCCGAACGAGAGCGACGATGTTAACCCTCTAGAATGCGAAACGGGAAATGATGCGGATAAAGAAGCGAAGCGGTGCCGGGCTCTGGCTTCTGCTGCTCGTGCTGTTGGTTCAAGGTGGCGGATGTATCAAATGGCTGTAAGTAATTCCGGTCCACTTTTCCACCGTCCGATCGGCGGTCGCTCGCGACGACGGCATCTCGCTTCGTTTCGCGCGTTTCACGTAACTCCTGCGTGACGTTACGGTAAATCTCCGCGATAGAATCCGCGTTAGCCACGTGGCCGCGACACTCTCGCGGACATTTCGAAATGTCAGTCGGATTAGCGCGACAGAGAGAGAGAGAGAGAGAGAGAGAGAGAGAGAGAGAGAGAGAGAGAGAGAGAGAGAGAGAGAGAGAGCCGAATCGGGGGAGAAACTCGTCCTATTGCGTAAGAATAATCTACAGGCAGTTTTTTTTTTCTTTGAGAAAATACGCGCCGCGATGGCGCCCGTTAGACGCTCGTCTCGTTAGTTGTGGCTTCCTGTAGCATGTGTCGCCATTTCCGTTTTGCTTCTCTGTAATTTCTCTCATCATGGTTGTCAAACGGTATATTAATTTTGGATAGCGATGTCTGATATATTTACTTTCTCTAATAACAATAATAATAAGCCTGACAAGTTTCTCGATAGCAAATCTTGAACATGTGGAAGTTGGAGATACCGATTTTCAACGCAAAATATTCAGACTTCGAGTAGAATTTTTCGAAAGATACAGTTGATTATGGAATTTTGGAGAGATAATTTTTCTTGCATCTTGATATTTTCAGCAATCAATCTCATAAGTACGTGATTACAGCGAGCTGAAAGCTCAAGCGTACACGACATAGTCGGACGTTCCTCAATCATCGAGTCCGAAGAAAGGACGAAAAAAGGAAAGAAAGAAAGAAAGAAAGAAAGAAAGAAAGAGAGAAAGAAAGAAAGAAGAAAAGAAGGAAGGAAGGAAGGAAGAAAGAGAGAAATCGAGCATAGGCATTCGAAAAGTCCCCTGATGATCGAGGAACCCTCGCGGTAACGAGTTCCATTCGCGTTCTCACGTTCGCTCTCGCGGTGGCTTCGAGCGGGTTCGAAGATTAATGTAGGTCCGTTAATGAGAAACAAATAGATTAGCGGCCGAGAGGGAGACAGACGCTCGGCAGCGAGCGAGACGGAGACGCGGCCCATTCTCGATCTCGATCGTTAGTTTCCTCGGATCAAGGAGATCGCATCATCGCGGCGGTGATTTAGGGACGATCCACGGTGCAGTGTAAATTTCCTACTCGAGGAATGAAGACGTCGGAGACCGCTTTATGAGTCGCATAAATAGACAGCGCTCGTTGCCTTTTTACATCCTCTTTATACCTCGACCAATACGTTTCGCGAACGAAGGGGAGCGGACGATCGGCGTCGACGTCGGTTTTAGAAATATGCACCCCACCTTGCGCGCGCGCACGGCCTATTTATCGCTCCGCTCATTTCCCAGCTGCCATTTTTAATTATCGCCGATGACTCGACCGGGGAGACTCGCGACAGCGTCGACTCTTTAGCCGCAAACATTTTAACAGAGAGAGAACTCGGTGAAGTTTCTATCTTCTTCTGCGAGCTTTACACAGCTTCGGATCTTTGGAAGAAGCTTGTGAGAGCTTCTTTTTCAGACGGATCAATCTCTAGATCTGGACTGTTATCGATCATGGACCAAGTGACTGTTAACAGAGAGAAAAAGAGGGAGAGTTTCGACTTTTCCAAGTAAATAAACAAAGCAAACGCGCGGAAGAGACCTCCCCACGTGCGTGCTCTTTTTCACCGCGAGACGTCGTTCTCCGTCTCCCTAGTCTTATTCCTCCGCCACGCTTGAGACTGCATTTCGCCAGCTGCTTCTCGTCGCGAGCACGATTTCTATCAATCATCCCTACGCGCGAGAAAGGGACTTCTCTCTCTCTCCCTCTCTCTCTCTCTCTCTCCCTCTCATCCGGAGTTCGTCGCGAAGACGTCTCTCGTCTTACATTCAAGGCCGTCTTACACAGCAGAGCCGACCGACGTGTCGTGTCGGCCAACGGGAATCTTTCCCGAGGACTCCCCCGGTCTCTGGATACGCGTTAATTGCCGTGCGATTCGCATGGCGAGTTTCATCATAGAAGGCGGCGAAGGAGGGTACGAGGTGAGGCCTACGGGATCCGGGGGTTGGAAAAAGCGGAAACGGAGAGAAGGTTGCGCGGCCGGTGGATGATGAATGGCGGAATGATGGTGCTTTTGCGTGCGAAACCAAAATACGGGGGAGAAATACACGACGGGACGAGACGGGACGAGACGAAGAGGGGAAATGCGAAAGGAGGACGATCGGAGCGCGAGGCACGAAGCTCGCCGAGTGAGAAGGGTGGCGGACGCCGGGGATGGAAGATGATTAGGGGTTGCCCGCGAATCGTGATTTATAAACGGTGCTTTCCAAGAACTCACCTCTCTGTCCCCCCTTCTCCCTCCTCCACGGGAGAGAACGATTCTCGGCCCGCGGCGCGGGCCCGGCGATTCTTTTGTTTATAATTATTATCGCGCCCGACATTGACGGATGATAATCGAAGGGGTGGATGGTGGCGGCGGCGGTGGCGGTGGCAGTCCGAGATCGCGTTCTCGCAAGTTCGCCGGGGCGAAAGCGACCATCACTCCCCGTTGTCTTGAGACTCACCACCGACCAAGGGCAGCGACATGTTCGACGAGGATTTTTCTGCATTAAGGCGCGCCTGCGTATATACGTATATAATCTTCTTTCCGCGCGCAGCGGACTCGTCAAACGAAGAAAAATGACGGCCGCTTCAGAGCGCGCGGCGCGTCTGGTGGGGGAGGTGGAAACTTCGGTGGTGGTTCTTCAAGTCAGCGGTGGTTGAACATTTCAGGAGACTCGGACGCGAACGGATTACCGAATCCGGATATAAATAGATAAACGGAGCTTGACGTTTCTCCTCGGACGCGCTCGCCTCCTTGCCTTGCGCGTCTTCTCGCGCGCCGCGGCCGATATGATTTCCTAATCTTCTCGCGATCGAAGCGGGACGAGAGGAGAGAGGGGAAGAGCGAAGCGAAAAAAGAAGCGAGCGATCCATCCCGAGTCATGTCTGATGGATCCATTAATCGTCCGACCGACCGAGCGATCAGAGGAGATCGTGCATCCAACGATTCCGAGACGACGTCGCCGGGGATAGCGTTCTCGCGAGCGAGCGAGCGGGTCTTCCAGCGGGATCACGATCGGGCGTTTGTTCGCGGATATCGAGGCCAAGGATCGATTTATAATAATTTACGCTGCGCCCTCGACGCGCGAGATCGCTGACCGTAGGTAGTCGCGCTGAATCACACGCGCCCGCTATTTATAAGATCACTCCTCGACGGGACGATCTTTACAATGCGTCGCTCATAAATCACATTCGCATTCCCGCTAACGCGTCGCGGCTAGAGAGCGAGAGCGGGATTACATCGCGCGGCGACGCGGCGGACCTGTGCGCGTAGCCTCGTCCCACGCAACGCGATCTCGAACGGCGTCTCGTTAATCTGTCACTCGGTATACTCCGACGTCAAGAAGATTACATTAAACAAATCGACGTAATTGCGCAGCGAGTTGCTGGATTAATCGACCGAGCGCGCGTCGTCTGCCGTACGTCGTTCGCCGTCGAAGAAAGTGATGAGCATCGATATGATTAATTCGGTCGTTTCGCGACGCGATGTCACCAGACACGGGAGGGAGGGAGGGAAGGTTGTGACGTCCGGAGGAACGACCGATTTTAATCAAATTAATCGGCAGACTGATTATTCTCGCGTTTTCTCCCTTCCTCTCTCTCTCTCTCTCTCTCTCTCTCTCTCCGTCTTTAACCTTGATTATCTCCGAGCAACAGTCACGTGCGTCAGTCTGATTGCAAGATGTCCAATCCGCAGGCGTCTTTTTCCGCAATCGACGGCGCCAGAAATATTTTTACGTCGCCCCGTCGAAAGAGGAAGAATCCCGTCGCGGCGGAGGAAAGAAAGCGAGCGGGAAGGGTTTTGTGAGCGGAGGATACGAATTGGTCACGCTCGAGCGTTGTTCGTGGGTGTTCAGGGTGGTCGAGACGAGTCTCTCAACGGACTCCGTGTTTCCACTCTCTCGTCTTCTCAGATACGCCCCGGGAGAGCGGCTGGGCCGCCTCAGCCTCCCGTGGAATCGTAGGCGCCCGCCTATTATCGGTCTCGTAAAAACTACGCTTTACGATTGCACGAGTCAAAATGAATTTCGAAAGTGCAGCCGGCTACGCGCTCGTGGGCCGCCTCAGGACGCCCTACGCGGCCTTTTTTTTCTTCGTATTATATTCCCCTCCCCCTTTTTCCCTCTCCCCGCCGAGGAAGCCAAGAGATCGCTGTGCATTTTCATAAGAATGTCCCGCCGCGAACGTCCGTGAACTTCCTCCTGACGCAGGAGCCGCGCGGCGACTCGTGCGTGAAACGGCGCGGCCGCTAAACGGAACAGCGATCCGCGATTTTTCATATCCTTTTATCACTGCCGCTAGGAAACGTACGTACGTTCAACTGCGAGCTCACAGCCGGTCATCGTATCACAGGACGATGACGCACGTATCGCGTCGAAAGGATTATTTTCCCACGCCGACTACCATCGATAGTGATCCCCCCTCCCCCCGCCGCCCTCCGCGCGATATCCCGTCTGGAAATAATAAGAAGGGCCGCGTTTCCTAGACGCGAGAGGAATAATGCTTGATAGAGATTGCGCCTCCTGTTCGCGCGGGAGGGCGGCGGAATGCCGGCGGTGAAGCCCCCGACCGGCCGTTTCGAAATCTCGTGAGAAGTGAAACGCGAGAGGCGCAGCATCTCCGCGAGAACGGAGCTTCGGTAGCGATTCCACCCGACATCCCGCGTGCTGGCGTGCTGTACGATATTATGCATAACCTGACGAGGCGTGCACGAGAGAGAGAGAGAGAGAGAGAGAGAGAGAGAGAGAGAGAGAGAGAGAGAGAGTGAGAGAGAGAGAGAGAGAGAGAGAGAGAGAGAGAGAGGGAAGGGAGAAATGTTCGAGCTACCCGAGGCCACGGAGGTAGTTATTAAACAATACAGGCGAACGCGATCGCGAGGTGGCGAACGGCAATCAAAGCGCAAACACCGCCGTGAGCTACCGCCGTGTTGCCGTGGCGCTGCTCATTGTATGCCCCCCGTATAAATTATTAGCCGCGGCACAATGGACAATTTTCATTTCGCGAGGCGCTCTCCGCAAATCATTCGGCGTCGCTTCTATCCGCGAGTCTCTCGTAGATCCTCGTTTAACGAGCCCTTCGTTTCCTTGCCGCCCGCTCGCGAGATGGACGTCCTGCCCGAGGACAAATCGTGTACGCGAGTTCCAGCTCGAGGCGAATCATCGACACTGTTGCTTCTCGACTATTTGCAATTCACCGGCGGTTTGGCGGGCAGCGTTCGCGCTGACTCGTCCTCGCTTTCGGGCCGTCCCGATGTGTCCTCTCGATCCTTTTGCTCCCGACAGTTTCGAATCTCGCTCGCGTCGCGAATCTAACAGCGATTAACATGTGCGCGCGCGCGCACGATCCTCGAAATTGATTGTAAGTGAATCGTCGGATCGCTCCGGGCGTCGTGAGCGGCGTATACGCGATAATTAATCGTCCGATACACGATAGCAAATAGTCGTGCATTCGTCTTGGGAGAGCGGCTCGTAAATTACCGCGGCGATACTTGGCGCGCGCACGCGCGCGCGCGCGAGCGTCGCATTATGCGGCTTACAAAATCGTACAAGCGGTAGAACCGTCACACACGCAGCCGGACGGCCCGCCGGCTGCCGCGTGTGCCAACTGTTCGTTATATTTGATACATAATATTAATATTTCATATTCAATATGTATGATTTTTTATGACCGACGTTTCCGCGTCTGTCGCGCCGTCGCGAGGATTGTCCTTCCGGGCGCGTCGGCCGGCCCCTGCGGGCCTCGACAACGCGCATTCTGCGCGTTAAATTTGTCCGTGCGAGCTGAAGCCGCCGAATGGAAGCCGAATGGAATGATGATTGAACGAAATAGATGATTTAAGATCAGGCGGAGTCACGCTTGGGACGTTTAAATGTCAAGCGTGGCGCGTGAAATATCCCGAAGACAGCGATCGATTTACACCTGAGAATCGAGGAAGCAGCGCATCCTGCAGAAGGTGATGCTATTTTCGGGGGAGGAAGGAGAGATCGCTCTTATAAATATGCCAGATAGTGAGAGAAGCGTGTCGAGAAGTGTCTCTCAGATATCGAACTACCGCGAAGCGTCCCCTCGGCTGAATGTCCACGGAAATCCATTCCTGCGTCCCGCGACTTGCTAAAGTACACATTGCCTAAAGCGCTCTTAAAATCATAATTGGAATCTGGCGCGACGAAAGTGCGTGGTTACGCTTTCTAGCTTCCGACGTGTAAACGTAATCTCTCTCCTGCGCGAGTCCCGCTCGGGAGCCTTTATCTTGACACTCCCCGCTATTACTCTCCCGACGGGCGGATCAAAATGTTATCGTTAGAAAGCACTCTGATTGCAACGGTATCCGTTCGTCGCAAGAGTCTCACGCAGATATTCGATTATCACGCGTGGCGACTCGGTTTCTTGTCCCGGCAGCGATCCCTCCTCTTTTCTCTTCTCGACAGCCGCGCCGGTGAGACGCGTTATCGAGGTAAAACACATGTATAGCCCGGTGTGCCTCGAGGTAATCGCTGCCTGCCAGCTACTTACTCATTTACATAATTATACGTTCGAGCCGCGCTGCAATGTCAGTCACGAGCGACACATTGACACAAAGATTTCCCTCGCGACAAACTCTGCTTCTTTTTCTCGCCGTTGCGCGAAACGCGTATGAGACGTATGAGCGTTTAATTTCCCTGGGAAAACGGCAAACAAACGACCGCGTAATCATAGCGCGCGATATCGTGGCGTTATCGCGCACGATCTAAACGCGATCTATTGCGATCTAATGAGGCCCGATAGCCGTTCAATTAACAGAATCGGCACGAGCGCTGCTCCCTGAACGCTCCGTGAGCCAACGAGGTGGAAGCAAGAGGTGGAAAAAGCGGACAAACGCGCCGTAAATATGTCCGCGCGCGCGCTTAGATTTATACGTAAATCACCGCGAGGGAAGCAAATTCACACGATCGTCGCTGACCACGTCGCTGGTCGAATTCGTTCCAGCCGTCCCGATCGAATCGGTGCATCGCCGCGGTCAATTAAGATATCAAGCCGATAATCAACCCTCGAGAGCCTCGCGCCACCCACGGATCGCGGGCGCCGCGCCGCGGCGTTTGTTATTTCGTCAGCGTGTTGTGCGAGAGCTCCTCGTTAAGCCGCGTCCGATAGCGGATCGGCGGAACTGATCATCGCGGATCACCGCTTTAATGAGCTGATAATTCGGCCCGAGCGTATTTATGGCCGGCGGCACTCGTGATGAATTTCTAGGCCGCGCCGGAGGTTTCTCTCTTTCTTTCTTTCTTTCTCTCTCGCTTTGTCCGACGTGAAAAGGGATCCCGACGAGCGCGTTCCGAAGCCGAGAACTCGCGAGGGTTCCTCGCGCCCTTCATGCGTGCAGCTTTAATGAGCCGTGCGTGCGAAGAACGCGCGCGACCGCGATTCCCTCGTAAAGAAGCGTAATCTTTTACTGCCATCCTTATGGGACGTCCTTTTCCCTTCTCGCGAAGCGCAATGTATCACTTTGTCGAGACCGGAGTCTGTTCTTTGTGGCGGGGCGGGCGAAAAGTCGCGCTGGGGACTTGGGTCTGTAATTTCAATTTGAAATTGCCCGAGACCACGCATCATCGCGCGGTCGTTGTAAATATAGAAATGGAGGACGATGGAAAGAAGAGAGACAGAAGCGAAAGGAAGAAAGTAGACGGAAGAACGATCAAGTTCGGCGGTTCTCGACGAGAGCGGCAAAGGAGAGGCATAGATCTCGCGCGAGGAGTCGCGATCGAGTCGAGTTCAGTGGCTCGCAAGTGCGCGCTCGTGCTTCTCAGCTCGCGCGCGGAAATTAGATTACCGGCTCGGGTCGTAACGTGTCCTGAAATGTCATCGGGACGGATGGAAGTCGCACGCGCGAGCTCGACGCAGAGTGTTGACGACGAGCGGCGGCGCGGCAGCAGCGGCGGCGGCGGCGGCGGCGGCGGTGGCGACGACGGCGGGCGCGGTGGCGACGGTAATAATGAATTAGACGGCCACGGGCTTTTGATAGGGTAATTCCGAGGGTAGGCTCCGTGACACGGGGTTGGCGATCCGGCCATTCCCAGGGTTGTTACGTCTAGACGCGGCGGCCGTGTGCACGAGCCATTCTGACTTTCAGGTGTCCGTAATTATTATCCCCGTTGCTCTCCCTCTCTCTCTCTCTCTCTCTCTCTCTCTCTCTCTCTCTCTCTCTCTCTCTCTCTCTCTCGCTCGCTCGCAGGAGGTGCGCGCGTATTCAAGCCGCGGCGCTTAGAGGCGAGCCCTTTTCAGCCTCGCGCCCTATAATTTTCGAAATTTACCCCCCTGATTTACGGCTCGGGGCTGTACCGGGGTGCTCCCTTCTGTCTCTCTTTCTCCTTGGCGAAGGAATAGCTCGCGGCTGTCGGCCTCACTCGGTGATCGCTCGGAATCGGAGTCTCGCGTACTGACTACTCTCACCACGGAATTTCACGCTCGCGTGTCCCGGGAGCGTTGAAGACCGGGCGGAACGGAACCCTCCTCCGTTCCGAGAGCCACTACTACGCGATCGTCTACTTCGACGGTTGTCGGCGGTCGTTGCTACTTTGTGTCGTAATTCGTGGTACCGCGATCAGCCGATCAGCCGGAGCAGCCGGATGGCTTCGTCGCGTATTCTCGCGATCGCTCATATACATAGGTTTGATCAAAAAGTAACGAGAATTTTGAAATTGCGCGCGGTGTATCTTGTCTTCAATTCAGGTCATTCTTTTTCTGTGTGTTGGTAGCACTGTCAGTGACGTACGTGTCAATTTTCAGGCAGCTGTGACGCTTAGTTTGTGTTTGGCGAGAGAAATGATATACTTCAGTGTGTTTGGCGACTTTTTTTGTGTGGCGAAATCAGTCGGATCAGAGAGCATACCGCTTTGCTTATCCAACAGTTCTTCTCAGCGAAACACAACACCGTTGTGATGCCGCAACCACCTTATTCCCCAGACATGTCCCCCCCCCCCTGTGACTTTTTCCTATCTCCCAAACTCAAAAAGTCACTCAAAGGATAACGCTTTTCAACAATAGATGAGATAAAGGCGAAATCGCAGATCCAGCTCAAGACGATACTTAAAGAGGCGTTCCACCAGTGTTTCTCAAACTGGTAACTACGTTGGCATAAGTGTATAATATCACAGGGGGACTACTTTGAAAGAGATGGGACAAACATTGGAGATTAAATAAATACTTTCCGAGAAAATTATAAAAATTCCGATAAAAAATTCTCGTTACTTTTTGATCAAACCTTGTAGTTGTTTATTGTTTCAACTGTAATTTACGAGGACAATCGCGAGCATTTTGCGTGTCTTCGCACGTGTAAATGGAGAATCTTTTGCGCAGCGGCCTCGGTCGCGCCGGCGACATACACACGTGGACCAGAGAGGCGTGCACCAGCGCGAAGAGCGCGGGTTTGCTGGAGAGGAAGCAGGCTAGGGCTTGCAGAGCCACGCCGGATGTGATGTCCAGTTTGGTGCAAGCCGCCAGAGACACGTCGACGGTGTGCCAACAGGCGTTCCGACATCGCAGGTGGAACTGCAGCAGCATCGAGCGTGCGCCCGACTACACGTCTGAATTGCTCACAGGTTCGTATTTTTCGCGTCCCGTATTTTTCCGTACAAAATGTCGGAGAAAAAGGGACGAAGTAGAAAAACGGAGAATAAGTCGGACACTGAGCGTCACATTTTTCTATGAAAAATCCGCGAGCGCGATGTCAGCGTAATTTTGGGGAAGAGAATGGCGTCTTCCGAATATGAGAGACGCTCAAATACGCAGTAAATTTTGTCGACTATTAAATGTTAATCGTCGAATATTATACGTCGAGATTGAGCAGGTGAATTATTTTTATCCTTTGACCGATTAGACCGCTCCGACGCGTCTCGATCTCGTCAATTATTGCGAGTTGATTTCACCCGCAATAGATTTATGATCGGTGGTATTGCGCGAAGGAACGACGGAGAGATACGAATGTCGATGAAAAGTCCCGCGGGAACGTATCGGGTATCCTTTGAGGAATTCCGGCGTAAATAGGAAGACCTGCCTGCAGACGCGCCTCAATTAGCGATCATTAACAAACCGTGGGTTTCCCTCAGCTTTTATCCTCCTACCTCGTGACCGGCCCTGGTCGGATTAATCGCTCGCGTTTCACGATGATTATATTGTAAATAAAAATGCGCCCGAGATATTCTCCGTTAATGAGAAATCCGAGAAGCGTCGATGAGGAAATACGGCACGGCCACGACCACCAGCGCGGCGTAACCGCGCGTTCACCGCTGTGTATTTTCCGCTCTTCCTCTCTCTCTCTCTCTCTCTCTCTCTCTCTCTCGTACGGCGGCATGATAATCGGCTTTTCTTCAATCATCGTCGATCGACGACGAAGGAGAAAAGTCTGCGATTTTTAGTACGCAAATACGAGCCGGTGGTACGGCTCGTCGCTTTAATTGGCGTACATTGTATGATGAAATATGATACGACGCTGTCGCGGCGCTGCATCGAATACAAGTAGCATTCAACGATCAAATTATACAATGAAAATTAATGTTCGACGAGAGACTGTCGTATCTGCGATCATTTTCGAAGCTTTACGCTATACTGCTAGCGTCTTAATCGATACACTATCGCCTTTCGAAATTGCGAACGTACCGGCCGAAGAGAAAAATTCCAACCAGTAATCGAAAAAAGTATTAATTATTCTACTCCTTGGCTAGCAATTTTTTATTCGATTAAGCAAATTTAAAATTCACTGCAGAACATTTGGACGGACTTCAGCGGACAGTCGAAATTATTTTAGCTTAGCCGCTTAGAGTCGAAATGGCATTTTCTAAACAATTTGTCAACAATGACCACGAGACGATTTCCTCTTCCACCTCGAAAGATATCGAGCAGTAAAAGACAGAAAACCAGTTTTTTATATTCCTATTTCCGGATTAACGTCTCCCTTTGTCGCAGGCACACGGGAGCAAGCCTTCGTCTACGCGATGTCAGCCGCAGCCGCGGTCTGGCGACTCGCGCGAGGATGCGCTCTGGGGAGTCTGGCGGCTTGTTCGTGCGCGACGCCACCGCGAAGAGAGCCGCCGTCACCCTCGGCGCTCATCTCACCCTCGTCCTTCACCACCATGTCTGTCTCCTTCGACACGCTGTCCGCGAGGAATTCCTTCAAGTGGGGAGGCTGCGGGGACGACGTGAGATCCGCCTCGAGGATGGCGAAGCGGTTCCTTCAGGGTGCCACGCCGCCTGGTACCGGCGCGACCGCCAAGTTCATGCACGCGGTCAATATGCACAACAACAGGGCGGGCAGGAGGGTGAGTTGCATCTTCGACGTCGCAGTAAACAGAACAGTAACAGAAGAGTGAGACTGATTTTGCGCTGAAATTCTCATCGTGTGTGCGATTATTATCGGATAGACTCGGGGAATATATCGGGGAAATAAATAATAATGTTAAAAATATTTTATCGAGTACTGAGTACCGTCACAGAGACGATCTTTGATGAGCAGAATTCATGTCCAATGTTTCTTCAGTAAATCTTTGAACGAGACATCTCGCAAAAATCGCGTTTTGCCATTTGATGAAGACGAGTAGGGGAGATGAGGGACAGTTGGGACAATTTCGACGAATTTTTATTTTTCGTAGCCTATGTTTTTCAAAATTTTATGACACCAATAATTGACATTTATTTCTTAGAATATTCTAAAGTAATTTATATATTTTTCAAATGATATATCTTTTTTGATAAGTAAGGAATTAATAAAATTGTAAAGTTAAATTTTGTCTCAGTTCTCCCCCATACCAGGGAGAGATGGGACAGATGGTAGGGAGACTTGGGACACAATAATAAAAGTAACTATAATGTAATTATTAATGCATATTTATTATTTTTGACATTAACTTTCACATTTACGATGGTTAGGCATCATCATAAATTACATATAACTTAAATTAACTTAAACTGAGCTGAAATTAAAAGACCTTTATTACAAGATTTAACATTTTGTAATATATTCTCTCATATTTATAAGAAGATCAAACTGAAATTATTCGAGATGGTCTTAAAAGTAGCACTACAAAAACAAATAATAATTACTCTTTTTTTTCATAAAAACTAGAATCGATTAATATCGAGAACACAAAATAAACATATTATTTTATTAAAAAACAAAATAAAGACATTATAAATTGGTATAGTAGATAATGGTATAGTAGACAAAATTGTGGTAAAGATATTTCGAGGTTAGAAATGTCTCTGTTTGGGGTGTCCCAACCCTCCCTATTTCGAATGTCCCAACTCTCCCTTACCGTCCTTTTTATATTAAAACGGTTGCAAAAGAATTTAGGTTAAATATTCAGGCTATATTATAATTGCATTGCAAAGCTTAAGAACTACATATTAGAATGTGTTGAATGAAATTCTGATAAAATGCAACTATCAAAAGAGATATCACAAATATTAAACAAGGAAAATAATTACTTTTGATAGTAAAAAATGATTTTACTTACCTTTAATTAAAACTAAGCGTTTTATAACCTGCTTGACGAAATATTCATATACCTTGCATAGGAGAGCATCAACTGTGTTTTGGTCGAAAGTTTATTACCAACTGTTATAAAGAAAATAACACTGTCCCAACTCTTCCTCATCTCCCCTACAGCTATATTCTACCTGCCTTCCTTGACACGAGTACAGGGCGTTAATTATAATTGATACTTCGTACGGCTACTCGACAGGCAGTCGAGCAATCCTTGAGCTTGGAGTGCAAATGTCACGGGGTGTCGGGATCCTGCAGCGTGCGTACCTGTTGGCGCGGTCTCGGCGCAACCGGGCCGTCCGCCGCCGGAAGTCGTTTGCTCCGCAGATACGCCACCGCGGCTGAGGTCAGACCGCGTTCCGGCGGCAGGCTACCGCCTCTGTATCATCATGATAACCTGCTGTTCACCACCAAGAGCCCGGATTACTGTCTGCCGGACAAGAAGAGGGGTAGCCTCGGCACGATCGGCAGGTGAGACCCGGAGCGGTGTTTTTTCCAGCGATCGATCGCCCGATGTGTCACGGAACACACTGGAGTTTGTTGCGTATCTAAGTACGCAGGGACAATGCCTATAAATTATACGACTGTTCTCTTTCGTTTCGAGGATAAATGACGTACGAAGAGAGTGCTTAGAGGCTGGAGTATAGACAACCTCAACGACTGTACAGGTCAACGAGCAAAAAGCGATGTTAGCGAGTTCGTTCACGGCGAATGTTGCCCCTCTCTCGTCCGTTAACGAGAGTAAAACAACGAAGACGATGAGAGGAAGGCGGTATGGCCGCTCGGTAAAATGCGAAGGGAGGACGAGCCGAGAGCTTTTTTCGGTAGCCGCGGGGCCGAGGATGCCCTTTCTTCTTCGGCCACGGTGATTATCATCGCGCCTTGCGATTCTCGCGATAGCTCGTTAACTTCCCTCGAGGTTCCCGCGAGTCCCCCGGCGAGACTCGCGCTGAGAACGTGGTCCGCCGCCGCCGGAGGGTAGCGAAAGTTCGGCCGGAACGAACGGTCTCACGCGGACGTGTTGTTTACGAGTCTGACGTTTCGGACCCGGGCTTCTCCTCGCGGTTTTTCGCGAATAATTCCGCTGGCGGAAACCTCCGTCGCCAGCTCTGCGAACGCTAAAACGCGCCCGGCTAATAGCGGCCTCGCGCGCGCGATTTTATCGCACGCACTTTCCCAGCTTGCAGCGCCGGGTTATGGGCCGGCGGTGTGTGAAAGTGCGATGAAAAACCATTAGCACCGCCATTAATGCGGCTTTTACGAGGCACCTGGTCATTGCTGACCAGCGGCAGCAGTTCGTTTTTTAGCTCTCGCCCGCCGCCCGTCCTCCAGCGAGCAATCGAAGCGCCCCGACGACGATCGTTATTTCGAAACAGCGCCGCTAATGAAGTCCCTCCAGGTGTCATCCTGCGACCCGCGGTTTTTGTAAACCGCGTCATCGGTCAGTTCGCACCGCGATGGCTCTCGACAGCGAGGCGCGAATTCCATCCCGTCTCTCGTATCCAACGAAAGAACATCCTCGATGGGATAAAATCGCGTATAAAGTAATGAAACACTTCATTGTTTGCCAACGTTTGTTGCTCGGTGCACGCTTCGAACGTGAGCGACAATCTCTTTTTAATCGCGCGGAATTAGTCAGCGCTCCGGTCCGCTCGTCTCCCGATCAAAGGATCTCTTACTCGTCCTCTTCACTCGCGCGCCGATTTTATTACCCCCGATCACTCTAAATATTACCGCTAATCCTCTTACGACGTTCATAATTTAGGATTAAATTTCAGTCGCTCCCTGGCAAATTTGTTGGCGGCTCGGGGCTCGCGCTTTCCCGTCCGCTTTGTAATCAAGCGCGATCGTTTGCCTCCGCTTTCAATTCGATCCCGCGTCGGCCGATCACGTCCCGTCGCTCCCGTGGCTCTTCCTTTTCTCGTCCGTCCTGCCGGCCGGAGGCGTCGCGAGTTCTCTATCAGGTGCTAATAAAATACTCGCTCTCTATCCTGCCTCTTTCTTGTCGTCTCCGGGCGACGGGACGCCTAGCCACACGCAACGAATTCCTCCGCTCCGATCTCGGTTATCTTCGGCACGGCCAGATAGCCGGTTTATTTATGCGACCGCGCTGGTAATTACGCGCGGGGCGAGAATGAGAGAGGACTTCCCCCGGAGATATGGGCAGTTCCTCCGCCTCCGCCGCCTCCTCGGCGGAGAGACGACGTTCGGCCGAACCTGTTCTCGAAACCGAATGAACACGCTGTTTTACGACGGCCGGACTGCTCGGCCGGATACCGTTACGACTGCCCATTCACAGTCTTGTTTCCGTTTTTTCCGTCGCCGCCACTACCTCGTCCGCGAGAGGTGCTAACTCTAATTTCGCAGCGTGCAGTTTCTCGCGCGCGGATTCTCCAGCGCTCGCTCGCGCTACCGTCTCCTCTTAACGACCATACTTTACGGTCTTCTGAAGAGCACTTGCGCCACGGGATGTCCGAGACGAAAGACGCGCGTCATTCTCCGCTCATGGGCTCTTTAATAGACACGCGGCGAATTTAGCCGTTAATTCATCGACACTTCGTTCCTCTCGGTCTTAACGATGGGCGATCGAGGAGAAGACCTCGGCCGAAGTCCTCAATCTGGCTCCGAGGATATTTCCATGAATTATTCCAGTCGATATGGGGCCGATCGTCGGGGGCGGGGCGGGGGGGGAGGGGTTGGAATTTCCACGTTCCTCATGAGCATTAAAGCGTGTGGAACTCGCCGAAATTAGACCCGGTTTCCGGTCCCTGCGGAGTCACTCCGCGAGAGCCACGAGGCGCTAATTCATTCGAGCGGAAGGGCGGGCGCGAAAGAAAGGCGCGAGCTCACATCCGGCGTCGCGGCGGCGGTTGGAGAATCCGGCCGCAGGGGCGGCTTATTGCGGACGGTGATTGCATTCGCTACGGATTTTCCGGCGGCGCAGAAGGTGGTCTCCTCGCCGTCCCCCCCCGTCGTCGGATTATCCACGCCTCGCTCTCCGCGACTGAATTAACATCACCCACGGCATTCCGGGGAGATGATGACTCGTTCGGCGAGGTCGCAGGCGCAGCGCTGGAGCCTTTGTCTCGTCCGCTTCGCTCCATAAATCGCGCAGTACTTATTCCGTCTGTGTGGTCGCACTTCTCTTCTGTCGCCCTCCTCTCTCGCGGAAGACACGCGTCAAGACGCCCGTGTAAATTACGATCTATCGAAGGTATCGCAGCTCTGGACCGCCATACACGCGCGATGATTCATATTTCAAGCGTGTACTTAGCGTTAAGTATGTGTGTCCGATTCCCCTCCCCCCTCCCCCCCGGACTCGCGGGCGTCAGCTGTTGGAGATTTTCGCAAGTAAAAGTTTCCCAGGATTTTCTTAAATACGACATGGATCCTGACACGACGATTGCGATTGGAAATCTCATCCCCATTTAAAACACGAGTTCTCTGCTCAGGATTGTAGAAACTCGCGCTCTCTTCCAGTTGTTTACCGAATAGGAAATAGCTGATAAATAGAAATAGTCGATTTATCGAATAGGAACTTTCATTCTCACGAATTATTGCATTCGTCAGAACAAAAAGTCCAGATAAAGAATCCCGATGTAAAATAAATGCCGGGGGAAATCCCAGAACGACTTTGGGCTTCCCACTTCTGGAATCGCGTATTTGAAACTCCGTGTGTAGACTCTAGGAAATCAATCTCGATTCCGTGAGTGGATCCCGAGACATTTTCTACGCCCCGAGCGAACACGCCGCTTCGGCTAACGAGACGAAATAGCCTTTTCGCTTTTTGACGACGAAGTCCTCCGTCATCACATCGGTCCTCGGGAGTCCTCGGCCGACTCCTGAGTCATCGGCGATGTTTGATTCATTAGGGAACAAGCCGACTCTCCGCTCGTCCGCATCGCTCGATATATCTCGGCGTATCTAGTCCGGATATTGGTTTCTTTGAGCAAACACGATTTCACGCGTCGTCGTCGGTGTCGCCGGCGAGATTTATCATCTGTTTCCACGCGTGCGAGAAGATTTCTCGTTCGACGGGACGACACACGAGCGAAACGTCGTCGTCGTCGTCTTCGTCCTCGTAAACACGACGTCCATCGAAGGCGGACGCTCATGAGCGAGCTGATCCGACGTTTGTATTTCGGACACGCCGATATTTCATTCACCGCGACTAATATATGGTGTCGGGTTTCCATGGGCAGCATCGACTCGCCTCGCCGGTTTACGGCTTACAACCCAATAATTACAAGCCCGCGTATAATTATACAAAGTGGGCGTGGTGAATGTTTATTGGCGCCTTGGACCGTTTCGCGCGCGGAAAGGCCTCCGCGGGATCCTTTTTTCTTGACACCGCGCGCTGTCCGAGCGCGAGATAGTAGCCGTTCGTGGAAAGCGGTATATCTTCACGACGTCGGATGGACATGATGCGAATCGATTAATAACGGAGCCCAAGGAGGCTCGACGGAGCGCGCAACCGCCGCGCCGCGCACTCAGCGCTTCGACGAGATTATCGAAAGGATTCAACTCGACGGCTCTCTCTCTCTCCCCCCCGCCTACCTGAATCGTTTTTTTCTTTTTCTTTCTTGGTCGTTGTAAATAATCTCCAGCGGACCATTATGGGCTGTAACGTGCGGCTAATATTATTTACGGATACGCTAACGCGCGCGGCTATCCTCGAATAGAGAGCGGGAGCCCGCGGGGAGATAGCGCGGTTTAATTACGGCGAGCATGAAGCTTAACGTGCCCGTAATATCCAGCGGTCTCGATTGCGTAATCGGAACGATCGTGTAAATGATAAACAAGTTAGTCAATTAACGCTGCGAAACATGTCCGGTAGCGATAGAAGAAGTTTCGGTCGGCTCTGTAATTCTAGCGGGATTCCTGATTTTTACACGATGCAAATTCCTCCTTCGCATCCGTAACGACGCGACATCTGCATCAGAATTCGGCCTCTCCGGGCAATATTTTATAAAAAATCTCCAAAATAAGGATAAAATAAGGCCCGCAAAATGCAATTCTCCTCAACCTCCTTCTGCCTCTTGGTTTTTCCTCCTGCATCGCTGTTCTCTATTTGATATTTAATTTTAGCAGTTTCAAATATCACGATGACTACAAGTACCAAAAGAGAAAAAAAATCTCCGCAGGCAATGCAACGGCAGCAGTTCCGGCTACGAGGGCTGCGAGTACCTCTGCTGCGGCCGAGGACACGTCACCAGGACCGAGGAGATCCTGGAGCGGTGCGACTGCAAGTACTTCAGCTGCTGCTATGTGAAGTGCAAGACGTGCCGGAGGATCGTAAAGACGTACGAGTGCAATTGAGGATGCGACGCGGCCGGTTGCAGGTCGACTAGTGTGCGAGCGACGAAGCTGAAACGATTTTAATTCTCTCGAGAGCGGAGGAGAGAGAAAAAGGAGAGGCGGGGCGAGATAACGCAATGCGTGGAATTGAATCCGCCGGACGATCAAAGCTGATCCGATCTGAGACGAACTCGAGAACTAAACGAGAATATTTCTACTCGCAAGTCCTCGCGAGCGAGCGAACGAGCGAGAATCGCGCACTCCGCGGCGGAAATCGTGGGAGAAAAATCCGCGCGCGCGCGCTCATGTGAAAGCGCTAATTATTTAGACGATATAAATTATTCACCGTGAATGTGTGTCGAGTCTGTGTGTGAGCTATAACACGTGGCAGTACGTAATAGAGGAGTTATTTATATCGTGCTATTGCTATTTATTCAACGTGTGTGTCGTGGCAAAGCCGTACGTCGCCCGTGCGTCGCGGACGACGGTAATCCGTTTCGCCTCTCGATAATCGCGGAATTAATGTAAATTGCGTCGCGAAGGGACCGCCGTTCCCCGAGCGTTAGCGTCGCTACTTCAAGTGTAGATCAGAGCGATGTACATAGATTGCTCAACTTCGAGAGAAAGGGCGAGAGAGAGAGAGAGAGAGAGAGAGAGAGAGAGAGAGAGAGAGAGAGAGAGAGAGAGAGAGAGAGAGAGAGAGAGAGAGAGAGAGAGAGAGAGAGAGAGAGAGAGAGAGAGAAGGGGGCAAAGAGAGATGTAACATTACATTCTGCAAATACACATCGGCTTGGAAATGGCAGCCCCCGTTCGACCGTTTCCCCGATCCCGCCGAGCGAAAATCGCAACCCGCACGATCGCATTTACAATTTAATGCCAGCTGTTCGTGCGCGGACGCACGGCCGGGCTTAATTTCCAGAGTGAAATCTCGCGCGCGTATGAATAATTCAACGGGCCGCGCGACGCGAATAGAATGTCGCGAATTCATCGCCGTAAATAATCTTATAGGCGCGATTCGGAAAATTTATCGCCTACCTATCTACCAAAGGCGAGATTTGCACGCGCCTCGGCTCGGAGCTTGATTTTTCTTTTTTTCTTTTTTTCATAAAAGCGCGCCCGGACGCGCCGTCGCGGACGTCGTGGAGTCGCGATTGCACACTCGCGTGTCTAAAGTACATACTAGCAGAGAATCCGGATGTGGGACATTGATAGAGTCGTGTGTAATTACCATGAGAAAATTATTGGACGCCATGGGAATCGCGAGATACGTTCGTGACGACCGCTGACGCGTTTCACTTCTCCTTCGGCGCGAGCTGCGCTTCCACGTTTTCGCCCCGCTCCGTCGCGTTCGCTTCGGCCGTTATGTCCAGGTCCTTTACGAACTCGCACCAGTTTATTCCAGCTCCGCAGTCCGGCTCCTTCTCGGACGCCCACCAAAGCGCCGTCTGCGACAAGCAAATGATCTGTCAGTCAAGAGTAAAGTCTGACGGATCGGCTGAGGCCGAAAAACGGAGGGAGTTCCCTCTCAAAATGAACGTACGGTGTTTCTTATTTAGAATTAGCTGAGGAGAATTTTTGTATTTTCTTCTTCCCTTTCTTTATCCATATATCGAAAATGTATATTTGTAATTTCATTGGCGATATTTATATAAATGCTAGATTATAATAGCAAATAGTAAGCGACTAAATAAATCTACTTACCTTTATATTTACGGGCGCGATTAGCGGTAGAGGATTGACCTTCACGTTCATGAATTGCAGCAGGTCGTTGTAATCGAGCTTGCTGTCTTCAGCTTTGCGTAAACTGACGGGATGTTACGTTACGTTAATCGTCAAGTGCAGTCAATGTGCAAAATAAATCCAATCGATCTTCAGCCACGGATTCGTTCCAACTTACTGGTCCAACATCGAATTCAATAATTCCACGTCGACGGGAATCCTGCAGCCGCGCAGGATCGTGTACAAGGATTCGCGCCGCAGGTACCCTGTTCTGTCTCTGTCCCAGTGATGTAAATTCTCTCGCAAGCGATCGAGATCGTTCCACAGGAACCGCTCCAGTTCCGTGTGCAGCAAATTTCTGGGGAAACGCAACCGATCGTTTTATTTCTCTTTCAACGCGCTGATGACTTTCTTTACATTCGCAAGAGCTTTACGAGTTCTTTGTTTAATTTATCTCAGCAGGGAGAAAATTCGCTCACCTCACGTATTCTCTCGTTCGATGTTCTATCCTCTCGCGGGACGAATAATACCGTGCAATCGTGATCATTTCGTGTTCCGTTATCTTGTCACCCATAAATTGGCTCATCGCTTCCCTAAAAGTATAAATTCATATGGCGCGAAATAAGATACGATACGGGTTGATATGAGTTGCTTCATACGCACTTAAACTTGCTGTATTCCAACACTCGAGCGTCGTCCTTCGTATCTTTAGGCAGGGCGTACGTCTGAATGAATTCGTCGTAGACCGGCTCTAAAGCCCCTTTCAGTTTCTCCATTATCAGTTTTCGATTCGCTCTGAGGAACTGCGACGAGGAGGACATTATTTTTTTTTTTAACAACATGTCGTGTGTGACAAACTTGAAGCAAGCTTCGAAAAAATAATTCGAGAAAATAATTTCGCTGTACGTAGAGCAAAACGCAAAAACGTTTCAACGAACCTTGTCGCAGTGTAATTCCATGTAACGGAGGGCGTAAATATCCGCGGACGTAATTTTGAAATGAAAGTTGGACAAGTTTACGCACGCGCCTACATAAAAATCTTGCGGTTTGTAATATTCCGGTTTCTTGCTCGTGAGGATATCTTGACCTGGCAGCATTACCGGCATTCGCTTTTGGAACGGAGACCTGAGAAAGCCTAAGGATGAAACAATTCAATTTTGCAAAGTTCTGATGTCGTCTCAATATTTTCTTCGTAATTTTTTTCTTGTTCATTCATTAACATCTTTTTCGGGTATAAAAATTAAATAAATATTCGAGTATAGTAATTAAATAAAAATTAAAAGTCTAGCATTTGGATATCTTGTTTTAAACGTCGCCTCAGAATATGAAACGAGCCTCTTGCACGACAAATCTTTTAACTCGAAGATGATCGTCGATACCTGAGTTTCGTTTAGCCAATTCGAAAATGGATATCGTATCGTCCACGAGGAACACTCTTATGATAAATTGTCTCTCTTCGTTAGCCGGAATCTTCGATATCATTCTCGCCCGGAATCTCAAAACGTGGCTGTTGAAACCTTGCCTGGAATAATAAAAAGAAAGTAGAATCAAACGAGAGAAGCAATTACTTTTTATACGCATTTCCCGCGGCGACTCACTTGTCGTGATGAATAAACTTGATGAAATCCGACCTGGGTGCTTTCGGTATCATCATGAAGCAATTTCCGAGAGAGTCCTCGTAGGACCCGAAGCCGTTGTAAGGTGGTACATATTTCTCGACATTCTGACGAAATTCACCGTCTCTTCCAGGTCGCAGCAAAGGCGTAAAATCGTTTAAACCGTATTTCGTCCTGCGAGCAAAATAAAAGATCGAGATTAAATTTGAAAGGTGAAAGCTCGATTCGTAAGGACACGAGATTTCGGTGACTTCACCGGTAATACTCCTTCGTGAAGGCGTCCATGTCGGTAATGACGACCTTCCTGCCGAAAACGTCGATCTCTGCCCCGATATACAATTCCTTATCTTTGTAATAACCGCGTGGCATCCTACCGGTCTCCAAAGGATCCGCTATGTAATAGCTCCGCGCTCCATTTTCGCCCAAGACATTCAGAACCGTGAAAGGTTCCTCCGCGCCGAACGGTTGCAGTTCAGTGAAAAACTGCAGCGCAGATTGACAAAATATGATGTATTGAAGAGAAAGTATCCGTAACGCGGAATATCAGAAATTTTGCAGGTGATATCGTATACTTTCGGTATTTTCATCCTCTTGACGAGCATAGGCCCCGAATCACGGCCCGCGTTCTGTCCCACGTTCTCCTTGACGTCCATCGTGTTATCAGCGAGATAATAATGCAGCTCGAGATCATGGACGATCCCGTGGAGGTTCTCGGTGTCGTCCCAGTAGCCGTAAAATCGCAGCACCTGTCTGTCGTACTTTAAAAAGCTACCGAGGGTGTCTGTCGGGCGACTGGGCTTCTTCGGGAAGACCTCCTGCGCAGACGAGCAAGCGGCATAAGGCTACAAATCCGACAGATATTTGCTCCTCGAGTACCGGTGAGATACAGTCATGAGCTCGTCAAAAATATCCGAGCACGGTAGCAGATCCGACACTTACAAATTTTTGAGTTTCGGGAACAAGATCCTTCGGTGGATCGATGGGGTCGGGCACCGGGATCCCCATGCGATTAAGAAATTGCCTCGTAAACTTATCGCAGTCTATGATTTTGTACACGCGCCCGTAGATCTCGGGCTCTTTGCCAATATTCAAGTCGAGCACGTCGTAGTATCTGTACTTCACTGGATCGGGTATCGGTATCCTCTGACGTCTGACCAAGACTCCTTGACGTAAGGAACAAAATTATTACTACCATTATTCGCAATGTACATTGCGTTACACAAAAGAAATTATAAATATCCTCTTTCCTCGTTTACGTTGGTTTCAGGGGCGGGACGAGAGATGCGGAGATACAAAAGCGCGAAAATCAATCGCGCGATACAAAAGCCCGTGAGAAGAGACGTCCCGTCTCATTAAACGAGAACGCAAAAGAGTAGGAGAATTGTAAGAAAGAGATGCACCCTTGAACCTTGCTCAAGTCCACTATTGTCCACTGCCGGCTCCACGATTTTCATCGTCCCGTCCTCTAGGAAAAAACTGATTTTCACCAAACGGACCTGATGGATCACCTTCCATTTGTCTTGCACGACTTCTTGGAAATACGCTTTGAACATGAGTCTCTAGAAACGTAATTATGAGCGAATAAGTATGTACGAATTGAGACCAACTCATATTAGCTCCCTAACTTTTTCCTTCTTCCTTAAGTAGAATACGCTGATATTATATTATTTTACACGCATATAGAAAATTAATAATCGTTGGCTATGTGTAATTATAGTCGCGATAGAGTACGCGCGTTAAACAAGAAAATCGCGTGCTGCTTGTGAAGCGGCACGATTTAAAATCTCATTTTAATGAAACCCATATTTACTGTCTATCATACTTGGCCGTCATACGCGAGCCACGAAGGAATTTCTTGCACCTCCCCGGGGGGATACATGGACGGGTAACGGCTGCGAGCGGTCGTGTCCGCCTTCTCGGATAAGTAATAAACTCCATCGTGTATCTTGGTGAAGTGCTGGCTTCTGTGAAATTTGGTTCTACCGAGCTGCAACGCACACACACACACACACACATATACATACATATACAGCTGTGATACAAATCTTTCCCCGTCGTGAGCTCGCGACTATTTTCTCGACATTTATGGACAGACTATACTTTGCAATGCATTCTGCCTCGCGAGTATGATATCATCGACGTGACGTTCCGATGATTACGCACTTGATACATGTGTCGTAAAAGCATACTCACGTTCTTGTCAAAGTTAAAACCTGGAAGACAAGGTAACGTCGACGTTTGCTGCATACCGATAAAAATTCTATCAATTCGCGGCGAAATTATCGCGTTAAATTCATTAGAAACGGCAGTAAGGCGTAAGATTTATATAAAAGCTTCTCCGTACGCGACGAAAGAGTGTCAACGATAAGGAGTACCATGTGTAGCCAACATTTAGTTTCCTTGGTGATCGTTGGATCTATAAGGTAATAGCGAGACGCAGAGACAGCGAGCAACGATCCATCGCGGAAAACGAAATGGACGCTGGCTTATTGTTCAATTATTGACGTATATTTAATTAATTGATTGGGACGTATTTTATATGAATCGCAATATGATGGGGCTGTACTGGGCGGATCATTGCGATGTGTGTGTATGCGTGTATGTGTTTATGCGATATATGTGCATACACTCCTTTGGAAATAATCTATAATTATTATTTATAATATCACAACCGGGACTTAATTATTCGGTTAGTAATGACAATGCGTATAATATTTATTGTTCTCAACAGTTTGTGACATTGCTGACAGTGTTGTGCGTCACAGAATATAGGTGTACATAGATGTACGTTTATATATGTATATGTGTAATATAGCAAAAACTTCGATATAAATATAACGCGTGTATATATATTAATTTGATTTCACTAATTATGCTGTATTAAAACTATACAAACGTATGCCGCGTTGCGATTTCTTCGAAAAGAGAGATATATATCCTATAAAATATAAAACATGTATATATATATATATATATATGTATAGAGATTGGTAATCACCCATTTAATCGCTTGTGCAATTGATAAATGCATTATTCGATTCCGTTAGCGACAAAGCAGTGTCAAAGCACGGTAAAAAGAGAAAATAATATGGGACATAATCACGAAAAATTTGAGTGGGGAATATAAACAATGAAACGGCCATGTGAAGATATTTCGATTCTTTAATCGAGTTACAAGCAATGTTTGCATAATGGTTTGCACACGCATTGTCCGATAAATGAGGAGCGTTTCAAGTGAACGACCGCGAGTCACCACCGACAGATCTGCGTGGTAATCGGTTATGACAGGCATTGAAGTGATAATGCAATAACGAGACATTGAACATGTCACGACTGCAACGGAGGGTTCGAGAGAAGTGTAAGTATTTCTATTGTACTTTTATCTGTCAAAATAAATACAAAAAGTTATGTGATATAAACCGTCTGATGTAGATTGATGATGTATTGAGTTTCATCAGAAAAGAACTTGTGCGAACCGTCGTGCAAACGGGTGCAAACCTTGCACTGCAGCATAATTATGAACTCAATCGAAAATATAAAACAAGCAATATCAGGCGCAGATTGGCAGGAGAGATTTAATGTGACGCTATCGATTATTGTACAATTTTACAGATGTCTGCAGGAAATCCTTACGATTACAACCCACATTATTCGTAATATCGGTTGCTCAAGTAAACGTCCAGCGTTTTCCTTTCCTTTTCTCTCTTCACTTTAGGCACATTTTCAAGAAAAAGACAGTTCCAGCACACGTGTAAAATTCCACGTTGAAATGTACTTCTCTCGCATTCCAAAGTATTTAATACACCAATGGGAACTCGCTTCAAGTTCCACTAAGTCGATCCGTTCCTGCGCGGTGATTGCAGTAATAATATATGTATCAGATCATTTTGTGCCACTGGACGGCATAAGTACGAACATTTCAATAGATAAAATCATTATTTCGCGAAAACGACTCGCATCTCGCGTCTAGCACCATGCGGTAACTCGTCTTACCATATAAATCGTCAGCTTCGAGAGAGACGATTGACGAGGATACCCAGACTTACACAGCTTATGAGACTTTCATCGTTTGTAAAAGTTATCAAGTGGGAACTTGAGCGGTTGCTTCGACAGACAGACGCATAAACTCTCGAATCCCCACTTACTTTTCCTTTTTTTCTAGTCTTTGATTTCCGGCTGTAAATCGTACCAACTGGTGATCGTCTTCGCGATATCGATCTCGTTCAGTTTCAAGTGAACCTGACCCATCACCTTGTTGCCAGTTGACAGCCAGCCTTTCTGGGTGCACACCGACACCTCCAATATACGCGTGCCCAAGTCTCCCTGTGAGATAACGTATTCGAATTGCTCGTCGAACGTCGGATTGCAATTGTCCTTCATTACGGCAGTTTTGCGCTTCGTTTCCTTGTACCGATCCGGCAATAGGTAGAGCTTTACATACGGATCCGGTATGTTGTGCGGATCGTTCGGCGGCAGCGGCAGGTTACTGCAACGCAAAGTACGTGAATGTAATCCAAGACGACATTAGTCAAGCTGACTTCGTGGCGAATACGCGATACGGAGGTGACACTTACGCGATTTTGTGCACGACAACCACGAACTTCTGTCTCTGCAAGCTGTAACGTAAGGTCAATTGTATTCTGCCCAATTTTGCTTCGCCCAGAGAGGAAGTCATGCTGATATTGCGATGAACTAGGCGAGGACTTCCGCCTAGCGAAGACGGGGCACTGGTGTTGACTATCAACTCTTCTTCTACCGCTGCTGACTCCTCGGGCAAAGCTGCTGCGGCAGATCCAGTACTGCGTGGCTGGCTGTTGACTGATTCCTTTGAAGGCTGCTTCTTAAGAGGACTAGGAGGTACTGCAAGGAAACGCACCGGATTAAGAATGACAAGTTTCGAACCTGTCACGAGGGACTCATCAACGAGTAAAACGTTCTGCTGAATTTGAAAATGTAGAAGAGGTTTGAGCGACACAATATGCCGCTCTACTTACCACTGGAAGATAAAACGTTGCTGATGTTAGACTCCTGGCGTTCGATGCGCTTATTTAACTGATTAATGTCATGGTCGTCTTCGTCTTCCTCGGAAGTAGGTTCAGGGTGCTCGTATTTCAGGATCTGCAGGACCAAAGTTATCTCGTCCGATCAATACAACTCTTGCGCGTCTAACTGTGTCGTTAAATCACGCGTGAATACAATTTGCGATTACTCACGCTCAATGACATCGACATTATGAGCTTGCTATCCGCTGCAGCCATCTGCAAATCATACGGTTGTTGCTCCACTTGAAGATCATTTTTTCCCAAGAGCAAGGAAAGATTATAACTCATTTCGCCGAGTGTCATGGTGGTTTTTTCATCTGTAAGCTAAAATATGAACAATTATTATTAGTCACTATCAAGTAAGTTTCGGTCAATTGAAAGATATTTAGAGCCGACCTTTATATGTAAGATGCCAGTTTCGGGGTTACTGACTAAGAAGGTGAATCCCTTTTCCCATATCGGATCGCAGGAACGCGACACAGTCGATATCTTTTTCGTCATCCCACCAACGCTCGCTTCCAAGTAAACGTCGGGTTGCTTATTTCCTCGTATGCACTGTATACGACGATGTTGGCCATTTTATTGAGATATTTCATCGATAGTTCACGAATCATCAATATGAATTTACATACCGGCAGATTCTTAGCGGAATCAATGTAGAGAATGAGAAGGGCAGTACTCATTGACGTAACTCGAAGCTCCTGAGTCTCCATTAAAGCCTGCGCGAGAAGGATCGATTTAATGCTGACGTTTACATGCGGGAATATTAGCAGAAACGTATTTTGCCATACTTACGGCCTTCAGGTCAGCAGGATCTTTCGACAGTTGCAACCACGTTAATCGTAAGTGAACCATGCCGTGCTTCGCTTGTTCCAACGAGACCCACTGTAAAATAAAATCCGTTAGCGACAAAATCGATCGTCTTCGGGAGAAACGAGTTTCGCACCACTCACCGTATCGATCATGCCCTTCTTTTTCACGCGGATGACTTCGATGGTAGCTCTGCGTTGTGATTTGAAGTGCGAAAACAGATTTTTAAGAACCTCGAATTACAGGCGCGAGACAAGTTCTCGTTGGATTTTTAAAAGTAAAATACATGTATAATTGGCTGAGCGATTTTTCGACTGTTTGATCTTAGCAATGGCGATGATAGCGATATGCTAATTTATGTACAAAATGATCACATATTCGTGATATCATTCCTGCGCTCGTGAGGCTTTCATGCAACCGTGATGCAGTCTTATTGATTCCGATGTACTATCGTACAGTTTTAGCTCCAAATCGTGATAAAGAAACGTACATTAAGTACTGTGTACACTAAAGTAAAAGACATGCAACATCGCCACACACCATAGCATTATTTCATTGCTAAAGAAAAGAAAAAAACAGATCTGATATCCAGTCAGTCGGATGTGAGAGAACAACGTGGTGACTCAAATTCAGAATTCATCCTTCTCTATGCAATTGGGTCCCGTAACGTTTTCAGCGCATATCGGTTAAATATGAGCAAACGGTGAGTAAACAGCATGCACCAATGTGTAGTCGATGCTCAAATGTTTAAAACACCTCAAATACGCCGCGGTATTTTGCAGATAATTCGCGTAATAAAGGGATGACGCAGCCGTTCATGCGTAATCTACCATTATCAACGCCAGAGAGTATCCGCGTATACTAATTCATGTTTTCTACAAGTCTCGTAAAATGCACTATCGATCTGGTCTGAGATTGTGTACTCGTTACATTCAGCAATACCTGCCAAGTGGATCATCTTGACCAGTGTTGTCTTTGTCAAAGAGCTGGGCAACCAAGGTGTTGTAGGCTCCCAAACCCTCTTGCACTATAAACTGCCACCACATAGTCTATTTTAGTTGCTTTTCCCATAAAAACATAAAATCACCTAATCACGCTGATCAAGTAATTAACGAAAATGACAAAAATTATTAAATGTGGAGCATTTCTTCTGCCTCGTTGCGAAAAAAGAAAAGAAAGAAACGAGAAAATATCGCGGGGCATGATAAGTTAATCCTGATTACTCAACAACAGATTAATCAAATTTACACAAACATAATTAATAGACATACTGGAAGTTCACTGAAACAATCAGACGTGTGAAAGATATGTGAAAAGTAATACACAATTCTTAAAAATCGCATCATACATACGTGTCGTTTTAGAGAAGACAAAAATATAAAAGGAAAAAGGATGCTCATGCAGCACGCGTTTAACAAGCTATTATATCTGTAGCATTAATAAAAAATAAATCTCACTTGAGATAACGATATATAAATACAGAAATTCATTATTATTTACCGAGGTAATATATATACACACAAATATTATATATATATATATATATATATATAATATTTATAAAAACGTGTACGTACGGGTGATTACGTACGTGACATGCTCAAATAAAATCATCATAAATCAACATTTGTGCATTTTCATTAGTTATGCGTGTGTAAGCGTCGTCTCATTCGCAAATTATAATATTACTACCTGCCAAGGGAATCATCGTATTGTACCCCTGGGATATTGGGATCCCAATCCCATAGTGATACCACAGCTTCTTGCATATTGCATGAAGTAATCATAGCCTGTATGCCAATATTATGTTGTATAACAAATGTTGTGTAACAAATGACAAGTCTTTTCGGCGGCAGCCGTATAATATATAAATTCTATTGATATTACATCAGTGTCTACTTACATTGCTGCGCTATATAAATGTCTGCTAAATATATGCACTATACGTGAAGTGTCATAGAAAATGACGTGTGATTTACATTGCATGATACGTATAGAATCTGATTTAAAGACATTGGCCGCGTTCAGTAGAAAAAGCTGCTTACTAAGCACTTAGTGATTATCGTTCCTGATTGGTTCATTCCTCTAGATTTTGTTAAAGATCTAAAAGAATATTCCAATCATAGATAATAATCACTAAGCGCTTAGTAAGCAGCTTTTTCTGCTGAACGTGGCCATTGACTGCGGTATGTCACTAAATGGACAAGCGACAGTCACGTTATTTATTTCACGATGTGACGAGATCTCGCGTTTAATACACACTCGCGTTATTTAGTACACACAAAGCATTAGTAAAACAAAAATTAATAAGATAAAGAGTGAAGCTAACATGCGTCTAAATACCAAACGATACTCACGATTAGACCAGCAATACAGATACTTTTACATACTAGCATAATGACAACATGCGATAGGAGTTTTTTCGTATATTGGTAAAGAAAGAAAGAAAGAGAAAAAGATAGAATAAATTGAATGAATTTCATAAATGATTCCAAATGGATTATATACATTATAAAGTAATATTCGGTCAAGTAGATTATCTTGCAATACATATTTTGTGCAATTTGCTCTTGTAATTTGGTGACAAAAGTAAAATGAAATATTTTCTATTTAAATAAATTAAAGTAAAATTGAATTTTGAAATGTCTCCAAAATGGATAACGAAAAGAGAACAAATACGCAATGTTGTATGTGACTATACCTTCCAAGACTTTCATCGCCTTTGGTGTCATCATAGTCCCACAGCAGTATGGTCAGTTGTTGTGCGATGGCTGAGGTCACGTCACACTAGTCCCACATAATATGTTGCACATCACATACACACGTACATACCAAATTTATGGAATTAAATTATATTAACATAAAGTGTGTATCCTATGTACAGTCCGAGAGAAAGAAAAATAGAGAGAGATAACATTAAGAGTGACACGGTGTAAGAAACGAAAGATTGCAAATGGTTTGAAAAGAAATGTCCGTGCTGATCGGAAACTATACGCATGTGCGAGTTAATAAGCGGAGAATTGGTTATCTAGAATGTTAGATCGGCGATATATTGAGCGAGAGTGTTTGATGTAGTAGATTATGCTCGTCTAATTATGAAAAAGTTAAATGAGAATGCAGGATAATAATATATCCTATTTGTGTCACTATAAATATTGGGTGATTTAATAGAATGTATGTAGAATGTCTTTGCAGAAGAGAATTCACTTTGCAGCTGTGTAAATTTATATATTCATAAAATATTTTTCTTACCACATACAGAGAAGACCTTGTGTAGTATTTTTTGAAAGATATATATCGGTAAAAATTACGGCAAAGCACATGCATTAGACGTTGTTAATCTTTAGTGCGACTAATTAGGAAAGGGTCTCACGTACCTCACACCAGAAGTCCCATTTTGGATTAACGGTATTGTCAATTGTTTTGGTTCTAAATTCCTCGGCACCGACATTTATGACGGCATACGGGTCTGACTTGCCTTTTCCTAAAACTCCGATATCTTTTTTCATAAGATGCTTTGCTTCTACAACATGAATTCTCAAAACGCCCTGAAATGCAAAGAGATGCGTGAATATACTTCGTAAAAAAGAAGATACGTATGTTACAACGTGACATACAAGAAATTCTTTTATGAAACTTACTTCAGGTTCGGGTTTTCTTATAGATTCCATTGGTATTTCTTCGCTTAAAGGTATAACTATTTTGTTAGGTAACACAGCAATGGCTGCTATCTGTTCGACGATAGTTCTCTTTAAAATTTCACTGAAAAATTATCGCGTTTCGATTAAAAAAGTGATATCGATTGACTGTCATGTCAATGTATGTGTATTTAAAATAAATGATATTAAACGAAAAAAAACTTACTTGAATCCAGGCAGATCCAATATATCAGCCGCTCCTACCAAGTTGAAGTTGATAGTGGGATTGTTTAAGTAAAATATTTGTACACCTCCAATAAACGGCACTACAGACAGCATAGGTTTCATCACGACACGCACCAAGCCGCGTATCTGAAATTGATCAAATTATATTGAAAATTGCAGAAAACACGATTCGGCTGGCTACCAATATGCTTACTTGAAAGTCCTTAATACCGCCTTTGATGTTGCCAACGAAGAAGGTAATATCACAGTCACCGGCATATCTATACGTACAATTACTAAGATGAATCATATTTCTTAAACGTAGATACACATTGCAAGTAAGTAGGATACATACATAATGTCTGCATCTAAAATGATCTCATTTCTTGAAGTATTCTTATCATACACTTTGACTCCGTAAATTCTTGGTGGCTGTAAGAGAGATAAACTTTTTTATGAATTTTAAAAGAGAGGATGTGAAAATCGCGTATGAAACTATGGTTTATCTAACAAGAGCTTGACTGGCGAAATTTTGTTTCAATTGGAACAATACAATTTCTTAATAATAAGTAATTTTTTGAGATTATGCTGACACTCTTATTTAACAAAAGAGGCATTTCTAGAAAAAAAGCGTAGAATTAAAAAAAAAAAACTCACGATGCGACCCAGGACTAGACGATCAAACTGAAATCCTTTGATTGTCTCAACAATTGACGGTTCTATACTTTGCTTGCAAAGCTGTCGGACGAACTCGTTCATGCTCGGCCACACTTTATACAAGATCTGATAATATACAAAATAAATTGTGATAATATCTAATATTCATTCCACGTGCTTACAAGATGGTATTTTTTGTATGATTTATAGCGCATAATATGAGAAAATTGTAACGCACTCTGTTTAGCCATTCGGCTCTGTCGAAGTCAGGAAAATACACCCAGGAAGGTAATTCATCTAGTCGACTGACGATTAATTCCTTTTCTTTAGCCAACACGCTGGCTTGTGCTGTGATCGTCCTCAACTCGTTATCCCTTTTCCGTTCAGTCTTCCACACGGAAAATGCGATCGGCGCGATCAGCCAAGCTATGCTGAGATTGAAGTATCCCCATCCCCAGATGATACCAGCTGCCGCCAATTTAGTGAAGAATGACATGGTTAGCGAACTAACGTTCATATATGGCCAAGCGTTCCGCTTGGAAACCTTGTCGTTTTCCGACTTTTCTTCCATCGTGTTTGATTGTCGTTACCGGGCTTCACCAGCTACTATTCAATAGAATTTGGTCCTCCTATAATTGACAAATATTCTTTTTCTCCGGAGATAACTTGAAACGTCTTTATCATTTCACGGTACTTTTTTAAACTCAAGTTTAAATAAATTTCACACACACATCGTAAGGAAATCGCGCTTGGAACAATGTCCGTTTATCTAAGCCTTAAATAATCTTGGAAAATATTATTCAAGTGATCTTATAATTTATCATTGACGAAGCCAGCAACGCGCTGCATATTTATGCTCGACAAACCACATCCCACATGTGCGCATTAGCTTATACTAATTAATATTCATTAGCATAACTATATAACGCTAGCGAGATACCGCCGGTGTGTGTCGAGAACTCGAATAGATTTTATTTCAAAATTGCTCCAATCGGTCCAATGACAAGAGTATCATCTCCGTTAGAGCATTAGGTCGTATCAAAGGTAATTCATGCTGACCTTCTGGAGATCAAAGAGAAGGCATAAAATTTCGCAAAGACTGGTCCAACATACCAACCTTGAGCGCTAATCAAAGCGAGATACGCAATATGGCGAGCGATAAATTACATACACTATATTACACGCGATGAAAAACATGTTCATCGAAAGTGGAATCGCGACATCTTACGTAGCGTAAAACAACAAATTGATCAACAGTCCGCAGAACGCAACATACATAATTACCGTGCTGTGATACGCGTGTGCCAAAATCGACGTTAATTAGTGCCGGTCAATTAATACCATGACAAACGAATTCTTTCTTAGCGTTTCTGGCTCGTGCCAATCCGAGTCGTTTCGCATTGCGGGAACTTGCGCGAGGTATGATTCAACAGCGTCAAGATACCGTTTACGACAATCGCGAAGGTCGCAAACGAGGAACGCAAAGTCTCGCGAGAATCGATTCCCCAAGTTCGACCAAGTTTGAAGATTTTTAAACCGCGGACGCTGCTGTCCGCGAACGTTCTTCTTCTCGCGTCTCTTTGCGCTCTTCGCGAAGGCAGGCATTCAGCCGAAATCTAAACATAGCTCAATAACGCAACGGGGAAATCGCAGACGCTCGATTTTGACTCGTTGTACATCTCTTGGGAGTTCGTCAGGACTGCGTCCGTAAGGATACGAAGGTAAAAATCGAAGATCAATCGCGCGCCGCCTGTAAGTAATCCTGCGCAAATTATCAAAGCTCGTGAAGGTAACGCTGAACGTTAGCAGAAGCTGTCTCGATAATTCTCGCGTATATACTCGAAGTCGTGAGCTTTCAGGATGATCGATCGACGCGCGTCGATAGCGGTGAACTTGCCTTTTTTAGATAAGATCGTCCTACATATGCGGCTGAACGAACGTGCGTGCGTCTCCGTGAATCGGTCCGCGCCCATCGCTAAGAATAACGCGATATTCCGAAAGTATTCAAAACACGGCCTCGATGCGGCGAGCCGGACGGAACGTGGCGAGTGGCGTTGAAGTTCGCCGAAAACGCCGCAACGACACGGAATTCAAGCTGTTATCGCGTACATACATAATTTTATCGTTCTTCCGTAACACGAAGCTACGAGCTTTGGAGATCTCGTAGGTTAAGCCTAGGATTACACCTGCAAGCTATACGGTAAGCCAACACCCTATCGGCGAAACATGAATCATGAAATCGAACACGCGTGTCAAGAGAGAGATAGAGAGAGAGGAAGAGAGCCAATGCGTGCCCAGTTCCCACGAGCGGGCTCGAGCGATGCGCGACAACGAGATAACGAGCTTGCTAACGTTATTCTCATTTGCAATGCTTGACATAATAAGACGTAATAAGACATGGGCGGTCGCTTACACTTACGAGTCGGGTAACGTCAGCATGCGCTTATTCCTACGTGGTTTTTTTCAGCGATGATGACAACGTTGACACACACGCGATCACGGACTGCCGCATGCCACGACACGATCACTGCTCTGCGCCCGTTGCACTCAGCACTGTTTTGCCGTGGCGACCAAATGGTTTGGACCAATCAATTGGCGCGCTGGCGGTCGGAGCAACCTGAAGTGCGTCGCGAACGGCCGAGCGAACGAACGATTGACGTCATGGTCAGCTGATCGCGCGAAGTTGCCCGCGGATAGTTGTCAGTGTACTGTTGTTGTGTTCGGTTGTGCTGTGCTCTGGTAGTGACTTTCTCCGCAATTTTCTCCTTTCGCGTTTCGGCTCTCATTTTTCAACCACCCTCATCGAAATCTTCTCCGCCAGATCGCCGTGACAATTTTCGGGGAACTTTCTCCATCGGTAGCTCCTTGGCTGGCTTGAGTGGCGAGAGGATCTCGTCATGGGTCTCGTGTGCTCAACGGCTCAGGTAAGCGAGCCATTATTTGGAGATAACCGTTGTCTGACTCATTCTCCTCACGGCGGACAAATTTTCCTCCTTCGTATCGTTGCGAGAAAAAAATTGCTTATTTTTACACGATGTTGGTCGTGACTTGATACGATATGATTTAGTTCTTGCAATTTTGTCCTTGTGCAAATATCCAATTATGACCGTTCTATTGCGCTGTTCTCAGTGGATAAAGAAGTTTTATTCGTAATTCTTTGTTTCTTCTTTCTCTTCAAACGCGGTCAAGTTGATCCCACTTTCCTTTCGTTATGGATTTTTGCTTTGGAAAATTTTACAAAAGTACGAGTGAATCGTCGTATATCGATTATGGCGTTGTCTACATCTTTTGTTATACATATATCTGATATTGATTGTAATATACATGCTACAAAGGCACAATGTGTAAGCACTATTTTTAAACATTTCCTCAACACACTGGAAACGATGCTCTTATATGACACTGTTAAAATACCAGCATAACAATACTTGTTTTTATATGTACTATATGTTGATAATTATTGTCAGTATAATATTTATATTATAATTATTGCTTTTTATATGATTAGATATGCTATTAGTGATTACAAATTAAAGATATACTATTATATTTTCTTTTATTATAGCTGGCATGCTTGTGCGGAAGCACAGCTTGTAGTTTTTGTTGTTCCCAATGCCCATCATGCAGAAACAGTACGAGCACTCGCATCATGTATGCGTTGCTCTTGATGTTGGGAACTATTGCAGCCTGTATTACTCTTGCTCCTGGTTTGCAGGATGCACTTAAAAAGGTAATGTTAGTGTAATCATTGATAATTAAAACTATTAATATTGTCATATCTTAACAGGTACCATTCTGTGCAAACAGCAGTACCAGTTATGTTCCATCACAAATTAGTTTTGACTGTAATTCTGCAGTTGGTTACTTGGCAGTTTATAGAATATGTTTCATTCTTTCTTTGTACTTCTTCCTGATGTCTGCAATGATGATAAGAGTGAGAAGTTCGCGGGATCCACGAGCAGCTATACAAAATGGGTAAATTGAATTGATACTTATTATGATACTTTATTAGTTGGAAGATTCAACTTGATGTAACATTTATATACAATTTTTAGATTTTGGGCAATCAAGTATCTCCTGATAATCGGAGGCATTATCGGCGCCTTCTTCATTCCAGAGAGATCTTTTGGAGTTACTTGGATGTATTTTGGAATGATAGGAGGTTTCCTTTTTATAATCATACAGCTGATTTTGATTGTCGACTTTGCTCATTCTTGGGCTGATGCATGGGTAGGAAATTATGAAGAGTCCGAATCAAAAGGATGGTAGGGTTGCTGTTTTTTTAATAAAATAAATCTACATGTAGATATTAGAAATAACTGACTATTAAAATATTTTCAGGTACGCCGCATTACTAGGTGCAACATTCTTCAATTATGTTGTCGCTATCGTTGGGGTGGTGTTACTTTATGTGTATTTTACGCACGTAAGATTTCACTAATTACATGTTTTTGTTTTTATATATAAGTTTGTTTTTATTAAAACAAACTTACATATATATTTACTTTAAAACAAGACAATTCACTTGTTCTTTCTTTTTTATTTGCAGGCAAGTATATGTGCTCTCAATAAATTTTTCATCTCGTTTAATTTGATTTTGTGCGTTATCACCAGCATTATATCAATTTTACCCAGCGTACAAGAACATCAACCACGATCTGGTCTTCTTCAATCCTCCGTAGTAACGTTATATGTGGTATACTTGACATGGAGTGGTATATCAAACAGTCCAGGTAAATATTGTTAATTCAGTGTAGATAATATAAGCTGACAATGTCATTTATTTTTTACTCTTGGTTGTTATTGCGCTTTAATTTGTAGACTATGAGTGTAATCCTGGTTTCTTCGGTATCATTTCTGGTAATGATGTTAACCGAGTCGCATTTGATAAGGAAAGCATAATCGGTCTTATAATCTGGTTCAGCTGCGTCCTCTATAGTTCATTACGTACAGCATCTAAATCATCGAAGATTACGATGTCCGAGAATGTCTTAGTCCAAGACAATGGGGCTGGTAAGTGTTACAAGAGAATAATTTAATGGGACGCTGGCTCTGTATATGTATGCATGGAAGAATGTCATCGCTATGTTTTGGTGCCTTGGTTATGAAAGTGTTTTTGTCGAGTGCACATCATATAAAATCTATTATCTTTTCATTTTCTATATAGAAGAAACATATATTTAGTCGTATAAAATTGAGGTAATTGCATTAAATATTGATCTTTCTATACAGTCAGGAATGCGGGAGAGCAGTCTCTTATCGGCAATGAAGGTAGGCACACACTATTTTGCAAGTAGAATTTACTTTTTGAATGCGAGTCGTCTGGTTATTTGCATTTCTACCTTTAAAAATACATACATCTCATATTCCTATACGGATATATTTATCAAATATATACTTACACAATATATAATAATTTAATAGAAAATATATCTATTCATTATACATTATGTAGTATCGAATCATGTAATTATATCTGCTTGGTAGTTAGTGTGTGTTTACCTTTGTTCATTTTACATCCATTGTATTTATCTTGTCAGTATATTTATGTTTGAATATTATTATCACGAATATTGTTTAGAGTCTATTCATTTGCGACACAACAGTAACTTCTTTTTTTTTTTTCTTTATTATTTTTCACTTTCCTAAATGTAACCAGATTATACTAAAGTAGAAGGACGTAATCCCGATGCTGAGGATGGAAGCGATGCCAAAGTCTGGGATAATGAAGAAGAGAAAGTGGCATATAATTGGAGTTTCTTCCACCTCATGTTCGCTCTCGCTACTTTGTACGTTATGATGACACTTACAAATTGGTACAGGTGTGTATCTATATATAATGTAGAAGTGAACTGTTATATATTGTTTCATATGCGTTTCATACGCGTTAATCTTATCATATATACTCTTACAGACCCAACTCCAATCTAGAGACTTTGAATTCGAGCGCCGCGTCAATGTGGGTGAAAATTATTTCTTCATGGATGTGTTTGGGCCTTTACGTGTGGTCATTGGTAGCACCTGCTGTCTTCCCGAATAGAGATTTCTCTTAAATCTCTGGATTTTATCATGAGCAAAGACTCAGCAAACTGTAAAACAGAACAGGTATGTACGACCCAGTATTGTAATACACAGTTACGGTAGCAGCAAAACGAAAACACCTCTAGTTAAATATAATTTTAAAATATTATGTTACAGACTCTTCTCTGCTTATGATCTAATATTGAAACACTAATCGCGATCATTTATCCCAAATAATGCAATTTGAAACATATTGCGTATTTATATATCGATATATTATATAAGAAGTAGACATTATACGAATTTGCTTTGCGTCAATAATTCTACTTTCAGTACCGATATTATATGTGCAGATTATGCTTCATGTAATTTGAATGCTAAACTCCTTATTAACAATCTTTTAGATAGGCGGTGCAAACCGATTCAACATTTAATTTAATATTGTTTTGCTTTATTTTGAGAGATCAATTAATTATATGATTCATACTTTATACGCTGTAGTAGCCAGCTCTATTAACGCTTCGTGTAATTATATATACGTGAAAAACTACGGTAAAGAGTATGATACAAAAAAGAGTACGTATTTATATCTCTAATGTGAAAAATATAATTTATGATTATTTAAACGAAACTGTTCCAGCATATATTCGACTTTTGTACTATGCACAATGTTGCATGTACTCGAGTAATATTGCTATGTACCACCGGTGCATTTATAACTAGCTTATAAGGTAACAAAAAACTAACGCAAAATTGTCTGCGTTGTTGCGATAAATATTAATATTAATTGCATATGTATTCTTATCAAGTTTTATCCCGTTCATATGCAATATAATATAATTCATTAACATTACAGCGGTGCTGATTATGAAAGATTATGATATTTAGAAGCTATTCATTTAGATGATGTTAGAACGAGAGAAGATGATTCATCATTTATTAATATATTAATTATTTTTCTCCTTTCTTGTTTGGTTGTATTGTTTTATGTTTTTATTTTCAGCAAAAACAACCTGAGTTTAGAGCTTTCTTGTAATATCATCAACCGCCTATTGCAAAGTGTCTGTAAGTACGGCTGTAAAAGAGATTAATTAGAATTGATGTTAAAATTAATACCGACTAATGTCTTATATCTGAATACCACAAAGAGGAAGGAGTATATAATATTAATATATTAATAGTCACATGTCATTTATGACTTTTTTTTTTATTTTATATGCGCTTTCTTTTTATTCTCTCTATTCTCTGTTCTCTCTCATTTTGTGCAAAGAAATCTTTCGAAATATCTGTTTAGTTGACTATTTTTGTTTTTTTCGTTAACACCCAGGTTAACCTTTTTCTTATTGATCCATTTACTTAAAATTGAAATGTACGTGTAGATATATTCTGCTATTGTGGAGATATAAATGTGTAAATACATCTGAATTATAATAGTTATTATGGGCCATTATATAGAGCAACTTCGTATATAATCTAGTTTAATATTACTTCATTTATTTGGAAAAAGAAACGTTGCAACAACTGTATGTCACTATATACATGAGGAATATTGCGTATATGGCAAGATTAATCTCACACAGCAGAAATATTCAAAATATATCAAAGGGATATTCTGAAGATATTGTGATATTCTTAGAATATCCCTGTCATATATTTCGAGCATTTCTGCTGTGTGGGACATGTTCTTGCAGCTTGGCAAAACGTACGATAAAAAATTCAATATATCTAAGTTCTATGTATATCCCTGTATATATATTTTTATGGTACTGACTAAGCATTTCCTTTATGTACTGCGCTTTGCGTGATAACTGAGGATTGTACCGAAGAGACATTATACGTGAGCCGCATTTCTTGAACGATACGTGTAATACATAAAAGTAAACAAAATAAATAAAGTTATATAAAACGCTCGTTTAATATTAATAACAACAATTACAATACAACACAGTCCAAAATTACCTGAGCGATATGCATTCCTAGATATAGTTATGTAGCACTATGTCTCTCCTCACACGTGTCAATGGTCATGTAATAAAGTAAACTATACAATATGCTTTCTTATCGTAGTGAACATATAAATTACATAATCAATTGCTCAATTTATTACTTGCACTTTTCACTAACCACATTTTTGTTTCTGATTCATAGATAAAAAAATTGTTAACTATCTATCGCGTCATTAACCATTTTAAATATTAATTTAAATTATTAATAATTACATTTTATATCGCTGTTTTCGCAAGAACAGAAATTAAAATATGCAACGACAATACAAATCGGCATTGCGCATTTTAATTTCTCTATACAAATTATTTCATCTATATCAACTATACGGCACTGTGTGTGTATGTGTGTGTGTATGTGTATAGTTCTTTGATACATTGATAATACATAAAATGCTTTTATAAATTTATTAGTCTTATTTTACCAATTGTTTGCTTATCAGAAACCAATATTTACAATTATCCGTGTGTATGGCCATATGTGGAGAAATAGGAGAGATATATATAATTGAGATATGTCTTTTCGTTAAGCAGGAATAAATGGGAATCTTAAAATAAGCAACTTTATCTTAAAATTAACCTATAGCGTTTGTAATATGTATCGATCACTTTTTTTTCTTAGCCGAGTAAAATATACCAAGGAGTTTGTGATTTAATTTTTGCAGGATGATGATTTCCGCTGTCCTCCCCCTGTAAGTGACTATTCACATCTCACTCTAACATGTATTGTACATTAATTTCTACTAACGAAATTAAAAACTAGATAAAAACACTATGTACAAGGCTTTAGACCAGTGCACAGAATTGCTTGGTACTTTCGAAGCGAATTTGTATGACGGCCCGTCTACATGGGTCGCAACAAGCAAAACGCAGATCGCAACATGCAGAAATTGATCAATTACAGTCGTATGTGAGGAAAATCGACTATAATTGGTCAATTTCTGCGTCCTGCGATCTGCATTTTGCAAGTTGCGACTTAGGTAGACGGGCCGTTACAATTTCAGTCGCGCTTGTGTGTTCAGTAAACACGTGGAGCCCAACTTGGAAAAATATTCAAGAGCCGATAGAGTGAAATAACGTAACATGTCATTATTAATCGCAATGCGACTTGCATCGATTCTAATGTTACGAGTATGAAACGTACCATTGTTGAATCACGAGTGGCAAGAAAGAGACAGCGAGAGAGAGAGAGAGAGAGAGAGAGAGAGAGAGAGAGAGAGAGAGAGAGAGAGAGAGAGAAAGAATCGAGAAGTCTCTTGTAACGTGCAACTACAATCCCAGGCACTGCTCTAAATCATTGCAGTCGAATTAAGATATTTGGTCAGAGACACTCAGGTCGTAAGTTTCGACTTGAAGTAGTATCACTCCACTTTGGATGACTTTGTTTCTACGTTCTTTTGCACCGGTTTCCTCAGCAGATGGTTCTTTATGTTTTGGAATGGCGTGTCGAACAGCAGTGTGAGGATCATAGACATGATAACGATCCATAATATTTCTTTGAAGTTCACCTGAAAGAGATCGCACGCCAACGCACTGATCAGATGAAAACGTTGAATTTATTCGATGATGTTTAATCGAATATACGTTCAGTTTAACAGACGTCGTGTAGCGCAAGACGACTCACTATATACCCGATGATGTCGTATTCCATCGCAGCGCGCGTCCGCCCAACGTTGAAGAAGAATATCGGGAACTGCGTCAGGTAGACCGCGTAACTGAGCCTCGTGGTAATGAGGAATCCTCGCCAAGAGAAGAATCTACTCAGGAAACCTGCGAGTGGTCGCGTCGTCGCGTTACTCGGGTAATTGCCACGAATTATCAATTCTACATAATTATCGCGCCTCCGTGCGGGGCTTTACCGTTCGAGTTGCCGGTGTGCTGTGTTACGATCACCCACAGGAAGAAGGTGCACCAGCCGATAGGAGCGAACGCGTTGTAGATAGCCGCGTCGATCGGATTGTACACGTAATCTATCAATCCCATTTTCGAGGCCCAGGCAAAAATCATCACGACCAACACGGTGGACACGGTCCAGCCTGCGTAAAGAGTTGTCTGAAACCGTCGGAGATCAGAACTCGTGAGAAGAGTGAATCGAAACAGGCTCGATGCGACGACAGTCGCCTACTCACTGAGCTCATCTTGAAGTCCTTCGGTAAGTTCCTCAACAGATAGCCCATGAAAATGCCGATGATGTACACGGTCAGCCTGTGCGACGGTAACGTGTAGGAGTAATTGGCGGTGTCAAAGAGTTCCCTGATCCTAGAAAGCGATAAATAAAGGTGTACACGTTTATCTTTCCTACGGAGAGACGTGCAAGTTCGTATGCCCTGCAAATCCGAATTATTATCCGTATTATTTTGACACGCATGAGCGTGTAATTGTGGCTGAAGTTTTCTCCACACGTTTCTGCTCGTCTTGAATCACATCGTTTAATTCGTTTGGGCGTGTGTTAAGTGAAGTTCAAACGAATCCAATGACGTGATTCAAGGCGACCATAGACCACGTGTTTATGCGTGTCAAGGTGATCCTCCGGGTTTGCAAGGTGTACTTACGACGTGCCGAAGTATATGTAATTGTTGAGGTGTCTGGTGTACATGGCGTAGAACCTCATTATCGTGGATATCGAGGCTACTATCACGAGTACCAGCGCGCCGATCTTCGGCCTCTTGTACAGCAGCAATACCATCAGAGGTGAAACCGCGAACAGCTGCATGTCTATGCCCACGTGATGCGTGTGTGTGAGACACTGCAAGTACAAGAGAAAGACGATGAGCGATTGCTATACACGCTGAAGAGCTCGACATTTCCGAACGTTACGCCTTGCGCTCTCGCGAATATCTCCGAGCGACGTTCGCATAATCTTCGGGCCATCCTCGGATCGGATGTCTTTCTCTGATCGCTTCGTGCGCGCGCGCACGTTAAACCTCCCTTTTATCCCGCTGTATTACCCACCATATTCTCGAATCCGAAGTAATTGTGGATAAACAAGAAATTCCGCCACCATGTCTTCTTGCAAATGTTCGCGTGATGGCTCACCACCAGGTTCCATTGCGGGCCGGAACTCACGTACGGCAACACGTGGGTGCAGAACAACACCAACGCTCCCAGAGTCGGCACCAGCCTGAGAAGAAAAAAAAAAAACAGGACGCGTGCTCACCAGTGGGAAAGTCGCTCTCGCGTGTCTTGAACTTGAACTTGATATCGTTACCTCATCAAGCGCGAGAAATATTCATTCCTGATGTTCAAAGACCCGCTTCTCTGGAGTCGACCGATGAACGAGTAGGCCGTTAAGAGGCCGGACATCATGATAAACGGGTCGGTGTATAGACTGGCCGCTCGCGCGATCACGGTCCATGGTTTGCCTGAGAGCTACGTCCAAACTCTGGTTACTTATCGTCGAAATGGTAATGGTAACTCTCCGCGTCCTCCGGTGAGGCGCGGAGTACAGTTATTTTTGTTTATGCCTGCTTGCGAGTACACTCACGCTTGCGAGTGCCCGCGCAAGATGTAACTTCGACATTGCGCACTCGATGATGGCGTAACAACGTACCTCGGTCATGTAGGTTCGATTTATGTAGGGATCGTAGAACACTGCCATGCTCTTGTGGGACACAATCAGCATAATGCTATTCAGAAATCGGATACCGTGCAGCGACGCGATGTCGCCCTGCGGTCTCTTCAGCGACATCAATTTCTGGAGGTTGCGCTTCAAAGAGAACGACAGGAGCAACTCGCTGGCCGGTATCCTGTGATGATCGTAATAGGCGCCTACGAGAGTCAGAACGAACACGGTGGCGATGAGAAGGCTGAAAAGCGAAAATTCGATCTAGAGGAACCGAGGCGAGATCTCTCCTCTCGCCGTGAAAAAAAGTGAGATTATTTCCTGGATGGTCAGGCACATTCGTCTCGTAGACGAATCTGAATGAAGACAAGCAGAGGTAAGGAGCATTTGTGTTCTCGCAGACGAGCTCCCGTCAGTTTGTACTTTAATTTACACACTTTTCACGAGACGTACGTCGCTGAGACGCGCAAGCAACGTGCGCTCGACGTGATTCAAGCAAACACTCTCGATCGCCGCACAGTGGGGCAAAACTGACATTTTTTGTTCAAAATGGTCTAGAGACCTCAAAACTTAACAAAATGAAACAAATATTTTTTTTAATTACTCGTTGAAAGATAACGAAGAAGACTGTCTAAGCCGATTTTTGAAAAAAATTCAACCCTGAGGACCTACAACCCTATAATCCCATTAGAAAAATACACAATCCAATAACGAAAAACCACAACACACAAATCGGTAACTTTAACTCTAGAACTCCTTCATCCAATAGCTCAGTAACACCAAAACTATTAAAACATACAACATAACAACCCCATAACCCAAAAACTTATAACGGAATAACTACAAAATCAATTACTACAAGTGCTGATAAAATCATAACTCAATAACACCACAAACAATAACTCCATGACTCCATATAATCAAACTGAAAACTATAATAACTAACTATAGTAACTTTGCTCATAGTCTAGTACAAACCGAATTAGCTACACTTTTCAGATGAAAAAGTGTATTCAGGATGTGCCACGAGGAGGCTTCAAGTCCGATTTTACTGAATCTTAAGTTATTGCAACAATACATTCATATGTAGTATGAATATATTGTTATACATTCTAAATACAGTATATAAAAGCTTGGTTATTAAGTTATAGGATTATTGGGTAACAAAATAACTATTCTATATGGTTATTGCAACTTATTAAGACATGATATTACGAGGTTGTTGGATTATAGGGATATTCAATTATGGGTTATTGCGATATACGGTGGTCAAGTTATGGTTTGGGTTCTGAGGTTATTGAAGTGTGAGGTTGTTGGGTTATGGGGATATTGTTTATAGTGTTATTGGGTTATGATTTTATCGTCACTTGTAGTAATCGATTTGTAGTTATTCCGTTATAAGTCTTTGAGTTATGGGGTTATTAAGTTATAGGGTTGTTATGTTGTGTGTTTTAGTAGTTTTGATGTGACTGAGCTATTGTGAGTGAAGGGGTTTTAGAGTTAAAGTTACCGATTTGTGTGTTGTGGTTTTTCATTATTAGGTTGTGTATTTTTCTAATGGGATTATGGGTTTATAGGTTTTTAGGATTGAATTTTTTCAAAAAATCGGCTCAGACAGTCTTCTTCGTTATCTTTCAACGAGTGATTAAAAAAAAAATTTGTTTCATTTCGTTAAGTTTTGAGGTCTCTGTACCATTTTGAACACAAATGTCAGTTTTGCCTCACTGTGCGCCAGTCTCTTACCTGATGACGATGCCTGCTTTCGGCAGGACGAACTCCTCCTTCACCTGGCACATGCTCTCCTCCACTTGCAGCGTAATCTTGAAGCCCGTCTGAGCCGTATACTTGGCAATAGCATGCTGAAGAGAGTTCTTCACGTCCTCAGCTGTGCACGACGCAGGCGTGCACACGGCCCAGTTGATGGTGTTAAAACGCGGCACTCTGTGGCCTTCCTGAAATACGAGGATCAAGCAACTCTTTATGCATAAGGTTTCGCGTAATTTCGCGCGAATTACACGCGAGACAGCGTCTTCGACGGTTTTACAATCGCCTCGCGCGACGATCAGTGCGCTAATCGCGCTAACGTGCTCTCGAGGATGCACCTTGCGGAAATTCATCAGAGCGTTCGATTGAGGGACGAGCGACGCGAAAGAAGACATTCCATAAATCATGCTCGCTCCTCTGAGACTCCTGAGTTGAAGGCGCGCGGAACGAACGATGTGTGCGATAGATAATTGATCACCTTTAGGCAGCAATAATTTATGCGCTTGATCTTGCCTGACGACATTAATAATGACGGGCAATCGGCATTAGCATTGAGACATTATGCAAAGTCCAACATTGTGCAGCAAGTCGTTGCGTTCCGCTGCGTTACGTGATAACCGGTTGTGATCATTGTTGCGATTCAGATCTCGCAGATCGCAACGGTGTCGCGCAAAAGTAGTCGCGTAACTTCCTGCATCGACGATATGATCATACGGCCGCCTCGCGGTATTTCTGCTGCTGTTTATTAATAAATTAATCAAGAGCCTCCATCGCGATTCAAGTACGCCGTGGGATTCGCACGATCGCGACCTATCGGCGGAATATCGGAATAAACAATCTTCTCTCTCGTCCAGATCGGACTTTAGTCAGCTCCGGCATCTTTTTCGAGCTTCGGTGAGCCAATTTTTTTCCCCCTCGAATGCCGTTTTCGAATGCCCGTTAAAATTCATCGCGCGTCACGATCGCTTCTTTGCCGATCACGAGCGCCTCCTCTCTTCCTTCCCCTCCTTTTCTTCTTCTCGCCTTTTATTCGCCGATGTCTCGTTTACGGCTGCCTTTCAATTTACATAAATTCTGCGCGTATCAATACGTCCACTACATATTCATCGCAGATTAAACGTTTGTATCAACGACACTACTCTCGGGTCATTAGAATGCCATGGACATTACGATCGTTAGAACTGACTTCTAGGAACTAACATCTCCCTCACTAATATCCCGTTGATTACAGGCGATGCGCGTTCAGTTATTCAGTTCTCGTAATCAGCCCGAGACGTTGCGTAATTTATGATCCGTGAATCTCATCAACGCGGGTACCGTTTCATCGCGAAATCCAACCGGACAATCGGAGGTCCATTCGGAGATGAACTGTATTTCGCCGATAAAACGGCTGGAGAATATCTAATTCTCCAAATTGACCTATATCATATTCATGAGTTCCGCCGGAAGGAACGCGCAGCGTCGTCCTGTCCCGCTACGAGATGTGAAATATCAAATACGCACACACGCGTGCGCTCACCGCACGCACGGCCGCGGTACACATGTGCGCGAGCGTATTAATGACTCTCATCCCGGCGACACATTGTTTCGCCGAAATAAAACGACATTGCGTAACGCGGGACGTCCGTCCGCGCGCATCGCGAAATATCGTCGCGGGACGCGATGGCGCAGTGAAGCGAACAATCCTCGTCTCTCGCGGAGTCCACGTGGACGGCGGCGACGACCGTACGCTACGGATAAGATATCGGAATGTGCGTGATTTACAACGCGATGTCCGCCACATGACGAGCCGTCTCACTCTGTGGTGTGTGTGTCGCGTCGCGATTGCGAGAGACGGCCGCGTTCTCGCCGAATACGTAATTGTACTCACGTCGGTGAGATTGCTGCGGAACGCGTAGTGCGAATGCAACAGGCGGTGTAGGTACTTGAGATCGGGTCGGGACTGGTCGACGTCGAGCTTCAAGTACGCCAGACAATACTGGCCTCGGATGCCATCCTTGCCCTCAACACCGACGCACTCGTCGAAGTCGCCGAACTGATTCACGTTGCCGCTCAGCAGGCCGGACGGCACCTTCGCGGTCGCGTCGTACACTGAAAATGCAGCGAGAACAACTGCTTCAAGACTGAGTCGAGTGGACGGAATACGAAGAGCGATTTCGTTCAATTCGGCTCGTTTAGCGTGTAATCGCGGCCGTCGCGCGATTTCTTGCTTCTTCTTCTCAACGTTCTTCGATTTTCCCCGCGCGATTCCGCACGCGTGCGGAGTTGATGCGAACTTTAGCGGTCTGTTCTTCTTCGGAAGGCTTTCTGAGTGCACATTGGTGCAACAAGTCCCTCGAAGAAGGACAAACCTTGAGATGTACAGCCGATTGCAATGGGGTCGGACGAACGCGACGTCTTTTCCGCGGGCTACGAAAAGGACAGAAAGAAATCGTGCGGCGCGATCGTTGCCAAATCCGGCGTGTACGGAATAGAACCTTGGCTTCTAATGTTCCCCGGTTCTCTGGTGCAACATTTTGTGTTGTCGCCTGTACCGGTCGCGAGTGACCGTCGAGTACAAAGGCTCTTTTTGGTTTTTGGGACGTGCCTGATTTGACGGTCACGTGGACGAGCTGGGTCTCGCACGGAGAACAATGCACGGTCGAGTGAAAGAATTTCATGGCGAAGCACAAATGGTACCGAAATTCCGATGGAAGTTGTCGGGATTCGGTCTAAATCTTCAAGACTTTTCGCTCCAGCTCGAACTTGAATGAGTTCCGTCGGTTTTCCAAGCGGTCAAATTTTCCGGCTCAGATCATTTCGCTCAATTTTTTCCGTCTAGTTTGACTGATCGAAATTTCTGGTTGCGGAAATCTAATATTCTCAGTCGAGATTTCTAAATCGTCGGTCGGTTTCGCCAGAAAATTTATCTACTCAATCATTCTTTTCTCTCTCTCGCTCTCTCTCTCTCTCTCCCTCTCTCTCGCTCTCTCTCTCTCTCTCTCTTTCTCTCTCTCTCTCTCTCTCTCTCTCTCTCTCCGTGCGCATGAAATGAGACCTCCGCGATTGCCGTTGGCTGCCAACTTTAATGCCTCGACTCACTTTTGAGAGCCCACAGCGTGAATTTCGCGAGCTCCTGGTGGAAGATGTCGGAGTGCCGCTTGCATTCCGCGCTGACGCGCCCGGCGCCAGGATCGTACGCGGGGAGAATCTGCAATAATCTGCGCGCCTCGAAGTCGATCTTCTCGGAGAAGACCTCTGAAAAAGGAAAAGAAAACGAGGAGTTGCCTCGGACGTCTTCGACGTCGCAAGTGTTCGCCTACCGAAAGGTGAGGAAAGGATTTTCCCCCATTGTCCCCCCCCCCTGAATCGGCAGGTCGCGTTCGCTCGTCTGCGCGCGACGGGGAAGGACTTTCACACCGTCGTCCCCTCGAATTGATACATCGTCGGGAATTTATGTAAATCTGCGGCTACATGGCCTGTATACGAACGCGAGAAACGTGGAATTTTATCAACGTTTTACAAGCCTCGCTCTGTCGTTGACATTGACACGCTAACGCAAGAAAATTATCGAGAAGGAGAGAGAAAGACGTCCCGTTGCGAACGGCGATGAAATTTACGAACTGACGGATCCATAACATCTTCGACTAGGATCAACGCCCGTTTCATAAGCCTCACCGTTACGCAAAGCTCATTTGTGGAATAAATTGCGTCGTTTTTTTTCTTCCAAGTCTTCCTCTTCTCCGGTCTCTCTCTCTCTCTCTCTCTCTCTCTCTCTCTCTCTCTCTGTCTCTCTTTCTCGTACATACGCAGCCAATACGATTTATAGCCGCGAGCGTGATTTCGAGAGAAAAAAAAACGAGATCGGGGAAATTATACATCATTTCACAGACGAGACGGCAAGATTGAGCCGAAAGTTGCGTAAGATCATCGATCCGCTGAAGGACGTTTATAATTTGTTACGGGATTAAAGGAAAGGTCAATAGACATCTCGTAGTTCATTTCGGAGAATTCTCCCCGATAGTCATCGAACCGGCATCAGCATTAATCACCGAGAACGTATTCAGTGAGAGAAAAAAGAAGAACACCAGTTGTCAGTGCAAAGTATTTTACGACACGGTAAAAATCCGATTGATGTCGGATAATCGCGTCGGTCGAGACGTCCGAGTTAATTTTACGCAACGTGTTGCGTCACACCGCCGGCACACGTCCGATGTTATAGACAGCTCATTCATCGTTTATAGTCTCGCAGGAAGACGGGAAACGCCACTACCTGTTTTCTTTTACTTCTGTTTTTTCTTCTATTCTTTCGATGTTAGAAGAGGCGGTTTAATGTCCGGCCCGCGGTTGCGCCGGCTCGCAACCTCGCGCGTATAATGCTCGCGCGGCGAACGTGACCCGGCTGTCGTGTCGCCAACAACCCGGCGGTTGCCGTGCGAATTCGATGCAAACGGATTTTAAAAGCGCGGACACGCGTGACGACGCCGTCGTAGAAAGTGCAACGCGGCGCACTTCGATTATCTTGCCGTTGCGTCACGAGCGCTTAAATTCTGCATCGATTAAAGCCGCGCAACGCGCGCTCCGTCGCGCTGCCAACGCGACTCCTCGAAAGGCTCCTCGCGCGCGAAAGGTTCCTGCCGCTTCCATCGTTCGATTGTCGTCTTCGCGAGACGGGCCCTCGCCGCTTCGTTTCACGACAATGCAGCTCGTTGGCTGCTATCACCGCGGCGAAACGCGGCCGCGGTTCGCGATATCGCGCCTCCTCGTTGACCCGCCTTTTCCACGGCAAACGGATAATCGACCTGGTTCCCATTGCTGTTTCATCGATACGCTCGCTCGCGGTGCTCCATGTGTGGCAATCGGACTGAAAACCGAGCCGGACGTCCAGCGGGACGTCCAAGCGCCGCGGTGTCGAAACTGTGCCGGTGGTATCCGAGCGAACGGAATCACTTAACGTCCGCGGTTTGTTTGCCCGATCGGCTGGCTGCGTAACTGCATAAAGCGCGACACGAATGTATGTACTTACGGCGGATGAGGCGGCTCGTACTCGCCGCTTTATGTCGCGCAGGAGAACCTCCGTTGACATCTTACTTTTTTTTCCATCCCGCTAGGCGACGTTTGAAGCAATGTTCGATGGTGCATCGACGGGTGACCGCTAACGCTTAGATTGCCACAGTGCCGTGTTAAGAAACTTTGAAATCCCTCAGCTCGTGTTACTTTAATATGCTAATTACTCGTATTTATTACTCGGCAAGAGTCCCGATGAATATTTATGAAAAACCTGCGAGAGTCAACGTCGCAACGTCAGCTGCCTCGCGCGGGATCCTCTTCGCACGCGCGTCGGCCGCGGGATATTCGGCGGGCAACATTTTAATGAGCAACATTTTAATCGAGCAGCACATGCGGGACATGCGGAATAATGTTACCACCCATCTGCATTTACACGCGCGTTACCGTGCGTGTAATCATGCGTAATGGCCGTTCAGCGCACGTATACAATAACCACTCGTCAGTTTCGGCTCGCGGTAAAACCCGCAGGTGACACGATTTGCTTTGCATCAACATAATCAGAAATGACGGGAAATCATGGACGCGTACTCATGATCCCGCGGTCGCGCCGCGACGGCGATTTTAGGGTGCGCAATGACACGACACGGATATGTCGGCACGCTCGCGCGTGGTTGCGCGAAAGCGACTCGCGGTGAGAGTGGGTTTATTTTGCCGCCGAATCGCTCGTTTTTCTGATACGATACGATCGGACGAGAATGAATAGTCTCACTCTCTCGATTGGCACCGTACACGATGGTGCGCGTGGTAATTACAGGTATTGGAATATTCTCAGAGAAAAACATCGAGTTGCAAGTGTGTGTATGTGTGGGTCGAAGCGCATCAGAAAGTCGCAAAACGGCGGAAAGCCGCGACGATAATCGTCGGCGTTAATTCCCCGTGCAAACACGGCGGCGTTACGCCTTGCCATCTGGTCGTCGATGATGCCTCGTTGTGCAAATGACTATCGTGCGCGTGCACGCGGCCGGACCGTAAGGACCCCACCGCATACCTGAGGATACGTGTGCTTTTATTATCCTGCCGTCATGCATGCTCGTTGCTGGCTCGTTGCTGTTGGCTAGCAGCGGTTTCCTCTTATTTGCGAAAGCTCTGCGCGACGGCTAATTTCTGAACAAACGCTTGTGTCCATTATCTTCGGAAAAGGTGTGTTTCTACACATGTCTGCACGGAATGTAGCAAGTTTGAAAATACTCATACTCCGTGGAATGTCCTTTCATCGGTACTCGACGAGCGCACGACTTCGCGCTCTTCGCGTTAATCGTATCGTGCGAGCGCACCGCACCGCAAATTGCGTCCTTGCCGTACACGCGACCGCGCTTTCACACGTTACACCTTGGTGCGACGCAAATGTAATCACGAAGCTGAGGTAACCTTTAGACACCTTTAGACAAAGGTCTAGGCGTGCCGCCTCGTCCCTTGAACTCTCGAATGAGAAGTATCGCTCGCTGATCACTGATCCTTCTCGAAAGATCCTCCGGACACGCGCGATCGCGTGCTTCCTGCCGCAAAACGGATTCCCGAGGGGTTAGAGTAGCGATGAACTGTAATTACCGTTGACATATTTACAATTGCTTCTGAACGGCCGATCCATTAACGACGACCCAGAGAGCCTACTAGGGTCGTGAAGGCATATCTCACACTTTCAGCCAGACTCGGCCGTTCGTATGTTAATATCCTCGGATATGAATTCGCACGTCTAGACAGGAGGCGAGCTATGAAGGGATTTGTATAATTATGTTTATTAATAAGCATAAGGTATCTTTTAAATCTCTAAAAAATATCTTTTTCAGAAATACAAGACATCTGGAGACATAGCAAAATATCTTTTAGAAGTCTAAAAGATATCTTTATGTCTATTTGGGCAGTTTAATCAGCTTTCTTTTTTGATATTTTTGCTTTCTTTTTGTTATTTTCGAAATATCATCATGTCGTAAATATTCCGATGATGATGACCCTAAGCTATTGATCTGCCGCATTCCTGGCTCCCCTCTGCATCTGGCGATACCGCGTCTCGCGTATTTGACGCGTCGCCCGTTGTGTAACGTGGTCAACGTTCATCTCGCGAACCCATTCGTTAACACATACACAGAAAAAACACAAAAAGCCGAGAGAAAGGAAAAATGCTTAGCAGACGGTGGCGTCAGCCCGTGAGACGAAAAATTCATGGCGTCGATCAATGGCGGGCTTTTACCGCGTTTTGCATATGGCAATGAGCGAGGATCGCGCGACGCGAACGGACTCGACAATATACGATATTGCGCGCGAACTAATGCCTAATTAATCCGCTCGCACCTCTGCAAAAATCGACCCGTGCTAATCATAGGGAGGATGGCGGATTTCAACGTGCGTGTGCGATCGCGTTACGGACGCTCGCATGGACGCTGTGACGTGTGAGAAACAGTAATCTTGGTAACGCCATTGGCAGAAGAAATTGTTTAACCTAATAATAGGTGGGACTGAGCAAAAACGAACGACTCTCGTTGAGTCTCGTTTTAAGTGGTTATCTAATATGTAACATATAACGCACAATGCGAAGTAATCGGTGAATTATTTCGCGAGCGCGTATCTCGGCGTTAAAAGTTGTGAAAAAGCGCTTCACTTTCCCTCTGGATGTGTTATCGAAATTTTCGTTTGAGATCGATTGCTAATTAGGTCCCTCGATGGAGCATCCGATAATTTCCCGGGACCCGGGTATTCGTAACGTCTTTATAGAAATTGCCTGTACTTGCTTTATTCTACGATAATTCTCGACGTGTTGGGACTCAACGTGTTATCGGGCTATTCTCGCGTAGCTGCTTGCGCAGAAAAGGAAAAACGTGCCCGAGTATATGACTATCATTTAATGTGGCAGTATTCGGTTTGTTTTTTGTAGAATTGTACAATTGTTGTAATTCTGAGCCGTACGAGCAGATTTGTTTGGACCGAGGTAACATGTTTTCTCGGTGATAAAATCGCATTAAATAACAAAAAAAATTGGAGACCGAAATGTCAAGGTGCTACGTCATTAAGATGGTGCAACGTTAAAACTGGTTTCTCCTACATCAATAATTTTTGATCAATGCCTGCAGCTGCGGTAATACTGCAAAAAATTGTAATCGTTAATCCGAACGAAAATCGGATTTTGCAACCCGCTTGCGGTAACAACTCAAATCGAACGAACCAGTCATTCTCAGTTCCGCGATAGATTCGGAATTCGCCGATTAATATTTATGATGCCCAAAATGATTTATAAGGACGTGAAATAGCAGACGTGAGGCTATTAAAAAACTGTCTGTAAGAAGGTAGACTCACTGCAATTATGAGTGAGTCAACTCGTCTTCTTCGTTCAAGAGTTTCAGCTCGAAAATTCCTTCTGTCAAAGAAGTCCTCCCGAATCGATACTTTTCTCATCCTTTTTTCTTGCGCTACATATATCGATGACTCTTCTTGAAATCACAAGTTCAGCTAATTCGTTGAATTACGCGTCAAACGTGTCCTCAAGTATCTCGATATTGTTGTACTGCTTGCGCGCATCTATCTTTTTCGCGATATCTACCGTCAAGACAAAATTTGCCGGACGCAGAAATCATGTTGTGTAACATTAGCGTTATCTTGCGATAAACGCGCACGAACCATAATGCTCGAAGAGTGAACAAGATTGGAGCAACTCCGCGGCGTATGAACCGCTATCCGGCATCGAGTACCGCTCGTATTAATCGTCGGCATTGAGATATAGCGTGGACCAAGAGAAAATACGGCTGAATCGATTTTTTCACTATTTACATCTGACTCGATAAGTAGTTCTTCGGCATTTTCGACGCGGTAGTGTGATTGCATCCTCAGGTCTATCAAGTTCCGGACTCGTTATTACGCGAATCAGCGTTTTCTTGCACAAGCATCATGAGTCATCCTCTTGATTCAACGAAACGTTCGGATTGTTATCCATTATGCGCAATTAATTATATTACAAAGACGGATTGTTAAGTGAAGAAAACTCCAATTGATTGGAAAATTGAGTACTCTCATTATCTTTATCACCGTGTTAAAAAGTGTTAAACTTGCTACTAGGTTCGTTACTACGCCATCGAAGAAACCTTCAACAAGAAACAGCGAAACGATTTCTGCGTTCCACTGAAAGACGTTCTCGCGAGTGATTCGGCGTTAATATTCTCGCAGCTGTTTCTCGTTGGTAAAACGTCCGAAATAGAAGAAGAGAAGAAAATTGTATGTCACCGCGTCGGTAAAATCTCCCGCTCAGAGCGTTTTTACACTTCAATAGCGTTAAATTTTACTTTTTATTCTTTTTTCTTCATTTAATATGTGAAACGTGTTCTGGTTTGTAACGTCGCATGGAGCGAATAAATGTGGCAAAATAAAGCAAAGTTCCGAGAATTTACGATTTTGCCGCACAGACGAAATTGCAGCAACAACAATGAGGTATATATCCCTTTCTGTACGAAGTTTGTAATGATATGACATTTGAAACTCGCGCACATACTGATGGATTGCAAAACTTCCCGGAAAGTCTTGTTACCGACGTTCGGTCTATATTATCATAAAAATCAGATGTTGAAATTCATGATCAATCGAGACTACTTTCTCCGTGGAAAAAAGAAAAAAGTCCAGCTTGTCCGTGGAAATCTGTTAGAACGAAAGACATTTACAAGGTATCTGAAAATCTGAACTGCCGCCGGGCCTCATCGCGGTGGAAAGACTGTCGCGCAATAATTTGCGAAGCGAACCGGTTCGCAGAAATGAACCGTACCGGTTTCCGGATGATAAATCGAATAGATCCGCGCATAAAGTAGATACATTTTTACAGCGCCCTCCTGAAACTGAGGCGCACGGCCGAAAAAAAATATTGAGTTCCGTTGTTTATGAGCGCGAATAAAATCATTGACACGTGTAGGCTGGAATAACGATACGAGCGTATTAGTCGATCGAACTGGATATCGATACGACCCGATGTCCGGCGAAATCGTACCGGCGCGACCATACATTTCGGATTACGGCGAACTGTTGCAAGTCACACATTGGAAACTGTTTCGAGAGGATCATCCTTACATAACGACACATTTAAAAAGATAAATAAAATAAATTAATATACATTTGAATTGCACAATGTGTCGAAATGTTATGTGGAGCATAATCGTAACATTTCAAATATGATAAATTATTTTTTTTTTCGAATCGTATTTATATTTTATATTCGTATTTATATGTAGATTTATACAGAGAAATCAACTGCTTTATCGGTGAATTTTGAATGGAAGAACACACACGCATACACGCATGCACGCACAAACACACACACGGTGAATGGAAAAAGGAAATGTTAATATCGTGGGCGCTCGATATTGAAGGACATTCGTGAGCTGAAAACAATCGGAGCAAGCTCCCATATTGAAATTCGTAAGATTCGGCCGCTTTTGTTGCGTCCCGCGCTATAGCAGTTTGCAGTCACGTTCGCCGATATGTCGGTGCATAATGCATACGATACGACGACTAAAATCACTTTCGACACGAATATTACGCATGTCGAAATAACGAAAGTAGTTTTGCCTTCTGCCGTCCGTTAGGCGAGGCATGCTGATGCAGCCCTCATTAGCCCGCGGTATGTCAGATTTTTGGACGTCAATGCGCCGGGCAAATAATCCGTCTGCGACTGTAATCCGTGGAATATCGCGAGTATCTCTAATCGGCGGAGCAATTAAGGCCGACGCATTTTCTGCTAACGCGACGCATTTTTCGTAGCCGGCCTCGTTGAACGAACGTTAACACACTTTGTCAAAGCGCCGTCGATTGTAACAGTTATTCGATAACGGAGCCATTGGATCGACAGAATGACATTTCGCAAGCCTGACATTATCTCTCTCTTTCCTTTTCTTTCCGTGAAAGCCGTAGGGATTTATATATTTTTTCCAGTTCACGTTGAATTCACTATCTTGACGAGACAGTGTCTTGTGTGAATCAGAGTTTCGATTAGGAAATCTTTACTTATTATTTATTTATTCTTGGTCTATTAATTTTTTTAATTTACCGCTTTTTGCCTTTTGGCCTTCGAGCTTTATTACCAGTCGATTTCTTCGGGACACTTACCAGAATGGAGAAAAGAAAATCGTTACCTCGAATCTCTGTTACGCACCCGCGGGTCAACGTGACATGCATTCGACGCGCAGCTTGAGTAAACGGACAGTCTTCGACCTTTATGTGCTAGCCGTGGTTTTCTTCTATTCTCTCCCGTCGGATTCGCAAATGAAATTCGCGACTGCGCTACGCTGACGGGACGTCGTGAACACTCGCGATCGCTCCTTTTGTGGACGTCGATGTTTGACAAGATGAATACGGCCGACGAGGCGGCCGCTGACAAAGCGCTCACCCGAAACGCGAGCTACGTGATTAATGAAGAGCTAATAGCGCCTTGTTCATTACGAAAGTGTCGAGTATTGTGTGCATTTTTTAATTAATCGCCAACGTTTCAAGTATGAAATCGGTGAAGCACGAAAATGGTGCTCAACGTTGCTTTCTGTTGCGTAAATCACAGGGATTTGTTAACGTGCCTGTCAATGGCGCGTCTGTTAATAACAACGTTTATTTACGCGTTTGCTCGTGACGCGAACTGTCCGACGCTGAGAATATGTCGCGCACACCGAGGAACGCTTCACTTATTCACTTAGTTCGACTGCGTCTTTTAGATAGAATAGAAAACCGCGAGCGTGATTCATTTTTAAGATACGGCTACGTAAGCAACATCTTGCCGGCGTGTATCAGTACTAATTGTCAATAACTAAAAGAGCCGAGAATTTTTAGCGCATTCACCGGACGCGGAGCGTATGCATAATTAAAACTTTTCGCGCTATTTGTCCCATTTTTGTAGAATTTTTTCTTTTGCACGAGGTGTTTTTCAGCATTACCATATTATACATAATGCATAGACGCATAATGCGTAAATCGGTGAAATGAATAAATAAATATATACAAAATATAAACAATAAATACATACAAAGTATTACAAATGAATACATTTTTTTTGTACTTATTTATTTAAACGGGAAACGAGAAACAGAGAAAAAGAGAAAGAGAGGAAGCCAAGAAGAGAGAAAAAGAGATCAGTTACATTATAGAAACATTTTGACGACGATAATGGTTAGTTGAGTTTAACGATACTGTTGTAAAACCACGACAACATGGCGCGTGAAAAACCGCGCTAGTCCCGACTTCACGAAAGTGCACGCCGAAGGAGGACTCCGAAGGACTCACCGTAATGCGGGTTGGTGTGATGCACTTCCGGTCTGCCGATGCTCCATATATCCTTGTCGGTGTCGAGCGTGTAATTGCCGAGGCTGCTGATCAGCTCGACGAAGGTATAGTTCTTAGTCGTGTCGGTTTTGTTGCGCGCAAGCATACGTAGTATCTCTTCCTCTTCGAAGGTGCCGAAATTCCCGGGCGTTAGGACGCTTACCTCGCTGGCGCGCGACAAACCGATTAGACCAAGAATCGCCCAAGTTCTCAGGAACGTCCTCATTCTCCTCCCGTGATCGGCGAGATCCGCGTCAGAAAGCCGAAAATTCTCCCTACTCGAACTTCCACACCGGCTTGTCGTTCGCGCGGTCAGAAGGATTCTCTTTCCTTCCGTCTTGCGCGATTCCCAGCGGCAGTCGTTCCCCGGAAGATCGACAGCGCAGCTAGCACGACGATCAGAGCGTGGTCTAACGTTCGCACTCGCGCAATCTGTCCTCAGGTAATGCGAGAAGGACTCATGAGGGATCCTCGTCGCGGCTTCGTCAGGCAATTCGGTGTTCGTTCGAGTCGCCGGGGAGGGGGGGGGATGTTTCTCGGGATCCCGAGCGGAGGATCGATCGCGATCAGGCGCAAAGATCCGATCGGGGAATCGTAATCGTGAGTGTTACCGAACGTCTCGCGGTCCCAGCATTGTCCGCCCGTTCGAAGGTGAGCTTTACGAATGATCGCGGCACTATCGCGTAACGACGAAGTCACCTGCGGCCACCTTACGAACAGGGCGCCGCGAAGAGGGGTGAATACTGTGGCCGCTTGTCCTCTCCCACTCCTCCACGTTCAAGAGGACCTTGTGTTCAACGAAATGAGTGAAGAGATGTGTGCGAACGACGGGAAACATCGCGGCCCGGGTCACCCGGATCACTCGGTGATCCGAGTGGGCGATATGACGATATCGTTTTACTTTGAAGGAAAGACGGATCGACGTTTCATTAATTTTTCCTCTTCTTTTTTTCCTGTACACTTCAATACCTCCCTGTTTCGCAAAGATGAAAAGCCAAGGGAGAAATTTTCTGTCTGAAAGTTATTTTCTGCACGTCAAGCGGTTCGCGTCCGTCAACTCGGTCTACAATCGCGCGCAGTAAATTTACCGAGAACCGAGAACCGCGGTCTTTTTCGTAGTAATTAACAAGTAATTAAAGACAAACTATAAAATTTGTATATACGTATATGTATATACAGAATGATCCGGAACAATTTCTTGGTCTTAGTATACCATATTCTTGAGCAAATTATAAGACTATTTTTCCTCTTGCAAAATGTTAATTACCACCGATGCTTAATTACTGAGTTATTAAGATAAACAGTTTGTTTATTACAGACCAGGTGCAGAAAGCAAACAGGGACGGAAAATTAACCGTTTACGCGCGCGCCACGCGAATTATGGACATTCCTTTCTCCTCGTGGCTTCTTCAGGTAAAATTAAAGAGAACAGAGATTAAAAATGTGATGATTATTCGCGTCTTACAAGTCAGGTGATTCGTAGCCTTACAATTTTCCAATCGGTTTCGCTAGTGAAATATCGAATATTTTATTCTCAAACGTTACGTTATGATATCGTATCCTACTAATTTATACTAATTTATAATACTCTATTTGCTATTGCACCTGCGATTATTAAAATTTTTAAGTTTTAAACATAATGTACTAGGTGCGCAACTAAGTTTCCGGGTTTCACACATGCATAGCGCTAACGACACATGTAGTCGGCATACATGTCTGAAGTTGTGTTTTTTTTATAGCTTGGACATCTGTTAACAATAACCAGTCGTAATATCGCAACGCATATCGCAACGCAAAAATATTTTTTCTAACAACGAAGATGTCGAGTTTTGTGCCAAATGAATAGCATTTGAGGGAAGCTTTGCTTTTCTGCTTTAACTTGAAAAAAAGTGCAGCTGAAGCATGTCGTTTGCTTGAGGAGGCCTACGGCGAACATGCACCATCGAAAACTACCTGTGAAGATTGGTTTAAACACAGAAGTGACGATTTCGACACTGAGGACAAGGAAAGCTCAGGAAAACCAAAAACAATTGAGGGCGCCGACCTGCATGCGTTATTGGATGAAGATGATACGCAAACACAAGACCAACTTGCGGAGGCATTAAACATGACTCGCCAAGGTATTTCCAAACGTTTACATACCATGGGAAAAATTCAAAAGGAAGAAAAATGGGTGCCGCATGAGTTGACTGAGAGACAGATGGAAAATCGAAGAGCCATTTCCGAAATTTTGCTTTTGCGGCATGAAAGAAAGAGTTTCCTGCATCGAATTGTTACTGGCGATGAGAAGTGGATATATTTCGAGAATCCCAAACGCAAAAAATCGTGGCTTTCACTTGGCGAAGCATCAACATCGACGGCACGGCCAAATCGCTTCGGAAAGAAGACAAGGCTCTGCGTTTGGTGGGACCAGAAAGGAATCGTGTACTATGAGCTGCTGAAAAGAAGCCGGGCGAAACTGTGCAATGGGCATCGCTACCGACAACAACTGATCAATTTGAACCATGGATTGTTCGAAAAACGACCAGAATGGAACGAGTGATATCGCAGCACGACAACGCTCCGTGCCATCGCACTTCCATCGTCCAGGACACCATCAAAACGCTGAAATGGGGTCTGCTACCGCACCCGCCGTATTCGCCAGACCTGGCCCCTTCCGATTATCACTTGTTCCGGTCGATGGCGCATGGCTTGGCTGGGCAACACTTGGCCAATTTCGAACAAGTGCAAAATTGGTTGGATGAATGGTTTCGGTCCAAAGACGCGTCGTTTTATCGTCGCGGTATTCATGTATCGCCAGAGAGATGGCAAAAATGTGTAGCTAGCGAGGGACGATACTTTGAATAAACCATTTTGTGTATTTCTCTTGAAATTTTCCATTTTTCATTGATCAAAAGAACCCGGAAACTTAGTTGCGCACCTAGTATATGAATGTTATCATGCGTCGAACTGCACATCGCACCAAGCGCTCAATGTCAGCGCCTACGCGGCGCGCGCGCGCGAACGGTCAATTGTTTTGTCCTTGTCTGCCTTGTTTTGCCTTGTCTTCCGCAATCTGCACCCGGCCTGTGATAGTCGAACTATTTATCTTAATAACTAAGTAATTAAGTAACTAAGCATCGGATAACATTTTGCAGGAGGATAATAGTCATAGAATCAAGTTCAAGAATATGGTATACTAAGAGCAAGAAATTGTTCCGGATCACCCTGTATATAAATTTTTGAGGAACTTAAAGCTTTTGAAAGTTTGAAAAATAAAATTTTGTCACCGTTTCTGAATTTTTTCTTATCACTTTCAACTACTGAAAAGTCTCTTTGTTTTGAAAACGTTATATATAAAAGTAATTTTTTACAATTCGTTTGAAGCGTACACATTTTTTATCCAGAGGTAGTTTCGTTAGCTTGGTTAGCTTGGTTAAGATTATTTAATATTTTCGAGTCCTTTTCTACAAAATCTTTAAGCACGCCCTAGATAACTTGTATATGTATTTTTTTATAGCTTGTCGATCATCGCAAGAAAGACTGCGATATTTGGTACAGCAGTATTTCCAAACATTTAACTTGCGCGCTTGTCACGGTTCGTGGGTCGAAAAAATTACGAGTTTCTCGTGTTTCGAACACGAAATTGCTCACTCACCTCTTACGCGCTAGAAAGTGTACGCGTGCAAGAGTGTTAACGGGTCGACGAGGGGATCGGAGACATCGAAGCGGGAAAGCGAGTCGCAAAACGTTGCTTCGGATATAAAACAGGCGGTCGCGAGGACAAACCTGATCTGCCGCAGAAAGAAATCCGAGATTTCGAAAATTGTCGACGAGCATTAGTGTAACAATAGTTCTGTAGAACAACATTAACATATCCATCCGTCTCTTGCTCTCTTGCTCTTTGTCGGACATTGTTAAGATCAGTTGCGAACGCGCTGCGTCTCAATACTGTTCTACGCAGTGGTCATTAATTAAGATTCTACGGCGGTTTAGCGTGGTCATTCATAAGCGAGGCGGAATGCCGGCGACTCGAGAGAGATCTATTTACGATTAAGGTTATCCACGTAGCATTCTGTCGTCGGTTTTGTTAAACGATCGCAATCGCTACCAGCGGGGCCTTGAGACACCGTGAACGCATCGTTGGATGCTAATCATTTCGTTAAACGATGCGCAGCGGAGGAAAGGGCGGACGGAGTGGAAAAGCTCCTAACGTGCAACTCGATGAAAATTGTAAAGTGAACTTTCCCTTTCCTTTGAGTAACAGGCTTATGTCCAGTGAATGAAAGCAACATACATACCGCGACGGTGAGTACGTACATATCCAGTTCCTCGCAGACTCATAAAATAGTACTGATTGAACTTTCATTGGTATCACGTTAATTAACCCGTATCTCTTTCTAGTCGAATAGGGTCTACGCGAGTGTCAGCGGTTACAGGATGTATCCAGAGTGTCATGACGGAGCAGCCGAGAGTCGGAATATTAAACCGTCAAGTCAGGGCGGAATATAAAAAGCGCAAGACGTCAGACCGCGAACGACGACACATTATATATTCCATTATATATCCCAAATAGGTCAAATTATTTATTATATAGGTACGTCCCCCGAATTTAACGAATATTTAACGAACTAATCGCGCATGAGAAGATACCGAGTCAAAATTTAAAATTAATATTCATAGAGAGAGAGAGAGAGAGAGAGAGAGAGAGAGAGAGAGAGAGGGAGGGAGGGAGATAGTTTAATTTTCTTTAATAATAATATATTAATGAAGCTCTAATTAGTTAAACAGTGAATTCCCGATATCGTCGGCTCGTAATATCTGCCAGTCATCTTTAACCGGGGAATTCCTTCGTGTTCGGAGAATTAATATCCATACGAGATTAATCGTATGCAGATTTTGATCCATCGAATCATCCGCTATGTTTCTGGAATCAGTGACCGAGCTCCAAAGATTGGGACATATCATCAGATAGGAATTTCGATGTTTTTTACAAATTCAAGGACGAGTCCAGCCGTCCAGGAACTTTGCGCTTCTATAGAGCGATCGACGATTTCGAGAAAATTTCACGACAAAATACATAGAATGTGAGGCAAATAACAAGCGGGTCAGGTATGCGAGAATGAGAAGAATAATCGCGCGTTTGGAAATTCAATAGAAGACATTTAATGAATGTAAACATGGTGCGAACGTTCCTTTCGGCACGGAGATGTTTTTCTTGTCCTCTGCGAGAAAAGGGATCGATCT